CCAGCACCACTCGCCAATCCCTCTGCTCCAATGGGATGGCTAACACCCTCTGGGTAGCTACGTCCAAGCCGTCCCCGCTCTGCCCAGCGCGATTGAAATCGAGCTCTGCAAACAAAAAACATAATCAAGATTTAGTAATCAAAAGTACGAAAGAAACAACGAAGTTCTCACCAGTGGCTCGCCAGCCGATCGGGATCTCGCCCGTGCCCCTGTCTCCGAAAACGGCCTGACCCTTCAAGAAAAAGTAGCGGTCTTTCCAGTTTTTATCACTAGACCGCAGGTCGGTCACCAGATGAGACTGGTCGTGCCTCAAGTTTAGCAGATATCGGCCCTTCTCCTTATCGTTCTCCTTCAGGAAGTACGAGTACAACAGCTCGTGCAACCCGAACACAATTTGATGCCGAACACACAGATCCTCCAAGGCCATCAACAACCTCCAGGCGTTCGGCATAAGCTGGGAAGGGGCGATAATGAAGTGATTCAGCACCTCCCAGACGAGGCGAGGCACAGGCAACCTCAGCCCATCATGAAACCATTTCTCGTACACGCAAACCCAACCTTCAGCCTCCCAATCAATCCGCTCGTACGACCGCAGGGTCCGGACTTTGACAAAACCAGGGATATGATACAGTGTACGGATACGCCACACGTCACTATCCCTCAGCACGGGCGGATAATCCCTGGTCAGAATCCCACTGCCTTACTGGCTCGGCCCTTCCTCAGAGCTACTACCGGATGAAGAGGGACTGCCAGCTCCTCCGGAGTCTTCTCTACTCCTACCATACCGACCCGAGCCACTCAGCCCAGCTCCACTCGACCCTGGAGCAGCAACACTAACTGCGGTCGACACGCCGACCGGAACGCTCCCTTCAGGCATTATCACCATAGTAGGGGCACGCTCATACTCGTCCCCAACGTCCACCACCTCTTGACTCGAACCTGCTGACGTATCGTCTGACATCGGATCACTCGCCCGTCCCAACCAACCGACTCGTTCCTTAGGGGACTCAAACTAAAGCACTAAGTGTCAACTAACTACAGGTCGCCCTTCAACACTGAACGATGCCCCTCAAAACTGGCCTGTTCAACCTCGGTCGACCCGTTCTACCGAGGTGGAATCCTAAATAGCCAGTCGTCCCACCTAGCCGACCGACCGAAAGAAAAAGCTCGCTAGTCGACCTGCCCGACAACGAGAGCCCCTGCCCTGGGTCGACCCCTCCAACCTAACGACCCTAAGCCAAAATCAGTGGAACACCAACTCGTTCGCCCCAGACGACCGATCCACCTCCAATTTCAATCCTAGTCGCCTACTCACCTCGATCACTAATCCCTCAACCTAAACTCACTCGCCCTGAATGACCGATCGCCTAATCCACCACACGCCTCCTCGCCACTCGGTCAGACGTACCGACCGACCCAAACAACGCCAAAGCCGACTTCGTCTTCCAGACCCAATCCAAAAAACCCAGAAAAAAATTCACCTACGACCAGATTCTTCCCGGATATCCACCGGAAAATTCAAACCCACGCCTATTCACCAAAATCCTAACACCAAAACGCTTGGAAACCCAGTTTAAACCCACTCAAAAACTCAAAACATCCTTATCCTGCTTCCCAGAAATTTCATCAAAAAGAAATCTACCTACAGAACAGCAAAACGACCTCAAAAGGAAAAATTACCTTGGATGATTGTAGAGAAGACCACCTTCGCTCAAGAAACTGGGACAAAAATGAAGAAAAAAGGGAGAGAAATTTTTCAGATAAAAACCCAAAACCAACGCGAATGGAAGATGAACAGCCGGCTCTCCAATTTTGTAAAGAAAGTGTAAACACGTGGCAGGCTGTGATTGGTCAGGTGTCAGGAGTCTCTTCGTTTTCTCGCTCTCGAAACGACGGACAGATCTCCACCATACACGTGGCAGCGATCCGAATCACCTGGAAAATCGTTTGTTCCGTACGGAAGCTGCATCTCGATCGCCCGTTCCTTCCGACCGACTCCATTTGTACTGCCTGGAATGAATCCGACACGTGTCCAGTCTACACGCGCCAACAAATTCACTTGGCCACTCGATCCACCCGACCGACTTTTCGGTTCGGGGGCCCTCCCAAGCATCCCATGCTCAGCCAGCCCGGAAGGCCTGGTCGACCGATGCACGAGTTGAGAATGGTCTGGGTCGAACCATCTTCAGAACAAAATTTGAATCTCGCCCAATCATCCGTTCGTAAAGAACGAGTGGACAACATGCACCCGAGACGCCTCACCCGCTTAGTCGTCCAATTATCCCGACCGAACGAAGCTTTTAGTACTTCCTGAACCTGTCTGACCCGACATGACGAATGAGTGCCTCTTTAACAGTCCCCTGCCAGTCGTGCGGATGTACCGACCGATCGCATCTGGCTCCCTACTCTTCAGCTCGCCGAACCGACCAGGCACCGCACAAGGATAGAAAATTTTGGGTCGGGAGGAGATACCGAGCGAGGATCAATCAAGGATCACCTGCAATGGTCAGAGCGATCACTTCAATGGTCGTTCGTCCATGAGGGAAGACCGAGCTCGCCTTCTACGTAACCTACTCTCTGACTTGAGTTACTCTCAACTCAGAGAGTGGGGGACAAACTGTTAGGGCCAAAAATCGTCCTCGGCTCAAATAGGGAAACAAGATCACTGGTGAAGAATGACCAGGCCCAATCTTGCAGAGGCCCAATTCGGATTAGCCCTATTTGATATGAAGTATAACCGGCCCGAACTACATGGGCACGAGCCTCTTAAGCCCTGTCTAATATCTAGGCCTATGGGTGAGCCCAGAGCCCATAGCCCCTTCAATATTTTCCCATTCTTGATCAATCCCCTATTCAAGGCCGTCTTCCTCTTTCCTGGCGACTTTCCCACTTGAGGGTCATTCTCCTAAATGGAATTAACTTCCTATCTAGACACTGATAAAGACAGCTGATTACGGCCCTGATTCTTCTAGGGTTGGCATCAGAGTCACACTAGGACTCCTGCTCCCACCAGGATTGGAAGACCAGACGACCACTATATAAGCAGAGGCCAGCCCTCTCACAAGGGACATCGACATTACACCTTCACACCCAAGACTCTTTACTTGAGAGTCTCGCTTATCCGTCGTAGTCACAGTCCCTGACTAGACTTCCGGTAATCTCTCATTCCCTATCCCTCACTATATTAGCCTTTCAGCCTTGCTGACTTGAGCGTCGGAGTGCCTACGGCAAACACCACCCTGGTGTTTCCCGTTCGCTTCACGCGTGTGTTTCTCTACGTGTGCAGGTACAGCAGATCGCTAGTGACCTCAACCTCACGGGATCAGACACCCCTTTCCGTACAGGTAGATTTTTACGTCTACAATATACAGCATGGCAACTTGAGACGAAGAAAAAGAGAGGAGGAATGAAGACAAAGAAGAATGGGTTTTTGTTTAGAATTTTTTTTTTTTTTAATTAAAAATATGGACGAATGGACGCCCGTCTAAATGTAAGGGACGAGCGTTCATTCCTAATGGACGTCCGTCCAAACGTAAGGGACGGCCGTCCCCAAAGTTTTTTTTTTTTTTTTTTTTCATATTTGGGTCAAGGGCGGGCGTCCATTATTTGTGGGCACCCGTCCAAAAGTAATGGAGCCGTCCTTAATATTTTGTAAATTTTTTTATTATTTTATTCTATTTATGGACAGGCGTCCTTTAAATAGGGACTTCCGTCCCTGGTATATGACCCCCGTCCATATAATATGGATGGGAGTCCATGTGAGTGAACGGTCGTCCAAATTTGATGGACGGCCATTCACTAAAAAAAAAAATTGATAAAAAAAGCAGACGCCTGATACACGTAGGCCGATACACATTTTCGGTGCAGATTTTTCGGTGTCCGTAGCTTTGTTGAATAAAATACGGTATTAGAACATAGTTGGAATATTTTACTGGCACCGAATACAAATGTACATGTTACTAATCCTCATATTTGGGCCTCCAACTCTTGAATAGGAAATGCGATCCAAAGACCGAAATTTACCAGCCAGAAGAAGCCTCCATCCAGCCCTTGGATTACGGCGCTGGAGCCAATTTACTGATTATGCATTGCCATGCAACATAATTGTTTTGTCATGTTAAATTTACTGAAAGAATGGCGCATTGTGATAGCTAGGGGGAGCTTGAATTAGGGTAGAATCGGAACCTATGGATACCTAGAGTCTTGGTTTCGGTTTCTGCTTGGAATCAATCTATAGAGGGTCGATTTTGGTTCCAAATGTGGTGAAATCAACATTGTGTGGGCTCAGGTTGAGTTCGACCACTTAAGGAACTAGACCTAAACTTAAGAACCAAAACTGAAACTAAGGTCTAGGTATTCGAAGTGGAACCAATGCGTACCTGAGAAGTTTTTGTAATTTCTATAGACAACTGAAATATATTTGTAATTTTTACATGATATATTTGTCTTGCGAACAGAAGAAATATCTTTGTAATTTAGTGGGAACGGTGTCGGATACTCAAACACGGAACCAGAACTTGTACCAAAGGTTCCGGCTCCTAAGGACCGATTGGGTCCGATTCCTAAATCCTAAAAACCGTCAAGTTCGGGTCCGAGTCCGATTCCAAGGAATTGGGCCGAGGACTCGCTCACCCCTAATGATAGCAATAAAATTCAAGATTACACAATTAAACTTAAGCCGTGTATATTCATNTCTTTGTAATTTAGTGAGAACGATGTTGGATACTCAAACACAGTACCAGAACTTGTACCAAAGGTTCCGGCTCCTAAGGACCGATTGGGTCCGATTCCTAAATCCTAAAAACCGTCAAGTTCGGGTCCGAGTCCGATTCCAAGGAATTGGGCCGAGGACTCGCTCACCCCTAATGATAGCAATAAAATTCAAGATTACACAAGTAACTTAAGTTGTGTATATTCATAAATATTTAACTTGATAATATTTGAATTTAATAGTTAAACCAAAATCGTTCAAATATACACTTATATTTGATAAAAGAGAACCAAACACGATGAAATGATCTAAATATACCGTTGTATACAATAAGGTTATAATTTACTTCCATGGGACATCCTGATGCCCCCTAAAAAACAATTGGAATAAAATTAGCTTTCCATGCTTTGAGACTTTAAGAGGAGACTCCAAATGAATCATATGATTCATATCCACTGCGGGTCGTAGCTGCTCTCCAGCTATTTATACTTGCCAGGCCATGATTCTTCGGAAATATAATTAAGTCTTTTCCATTTTTTTCCCTTTTCATCTGCACCGGATTCCATAATTTATATCCCCAATTCATATTCAAATGTGAGCACAAGACTTAGGAATAAGAATTTTACTCACTCAAAACAAAAAAGAGATTGCCAACCTGCTGACAATTGAGCAAAAAAGTATATTCTGCTACCGAAGTTTAGTGTTCTCCTGATAGCATCTTCAGCTTCTGCAAGATCAGGAAAAGGTCTTGAGCCACAACACCAACCGTTAAAACTGGTCTGTTTAATCTATACAAATGATGAAATGATGCTCAGTTTGTGACAAATTTTAGAATGTTAGATAGGTTAAGTTGAATTTGAAGAGCTGCCTAGCTTAAAGTTTTCGAAGTTCCCTTGGCAAGTACACTTACATGGACCTGCTGTCTCTGTGTATCCATTCATAAGCAATATCATCAATGAAGAAACTAACCCTTCTTAAAATTATGATCATGAAACTGTGATGATGATGTTATGACTACAGATTACTACAGGAAATTTCAAAAATCAATCCATCTAGGATAGCTCTACAAATAAGTCCGGTCAGATCCTTTGAAAGACTATGTTAAGAGTGCTAAAGAACTTTGTGATAAAGATCACTCCTAAATGGTGAAAACCTGTCCTCATCTTATAATGCAACATGGCAAGAATTATTGAAAAAATTAATGAACAAAAAAAGAAAATTTCATTACCGTAAGATGTACTGGGGGATCATCAAAACTAGTAGAACCTAGGACAACTTCCCTCATTAGTTTTGTTGTAAGCTTGTGACAAATACGCAGCTGATAACAGCATCAACCATTAGTTGAGATCCACATCACATCTCATCTCACCATGAAAACAATGAGAAGAAAAATAATCATGAGAAATTCTACCTCAGATCGAGTTGCCCCACCAATGATAAATATAAATATACGTTGTCCCATCTTCCTAATATCAGGTGCTTGCTTCAAAAGTGAATCACTACAAAAGTCAGCAGAAGAGCAATGAGAACTTGAAACTCCAGGAGTTAACAATCTGAAATAATATGCTGCAACAAATCATAACGTTACAAAACACAAAACATTGGGTTAAATACGCTGAACCCCCGAGGTATTGTTAAACCCGTCGTTTGAGAAATGGCTATGAGCCCCTGGCCATTACCTTAGGGCTTTTCCGTTAGTTTTAACATATGCAGGGCAAAAAGGAAAATGCATCATAATTAATAAAAAAATGTATATCTTAAACCTGAACATAAAACCACCCCCACCATTCATTCCCCAGCCGCCCCACCGCCGCCGCGAAACCACAAGCAAGGCCGCGACTGTCACACCACCCCCAACAGCCTCAAGCTCCAAACCCAATCTACCTGCTGCAGCGCCGCCCCGACTTAATCCCCTCTATAGCAGTGGTTTTGGTGTTGTGATTGTGTGTTTTGTTGTTCAACTTCAGTTGTTTCTTTTTTTTTTTTTTTTTTTTTTTTTTTTTTGGCGATGATTTGGGTATGAGAGGTGGTTTAAGAGCTTCATGGTGTTACTGTGGGAGTTCGATCTTGGGTGCTTGAGTTGTGGCGTTTAATATGGCGCTTGGGATTGCATTTTTTTCTTTTTTTCGAACTGATTTTATTGATGAGCTGTCGTTGCGTGCACTTTTGTTGAGCCGGGTAGTGGTGCATGGTAGGGCGGGTGGGGGCATTACGGGCGTTCGTTGAGAATAACACTGGTAAAAATAGTTTTTAAGATGTAGGTGAACCTGAGTAATTAACCGTGAGTGCATCAACAATATTTAAATTAAAAAAAAAAAATAGTGAAACAGGATCAAATGCATTAAAATATATCCATCTGAAAGTTCAAGTCATGGATAGAGAAATAATGTGTAACAAATGGCAAATAATAGCTGTGGAGTACCTAAAACTTTCATCGTCAGATTGAGCTTTTGCCCAAGATGGAGTTCGTCTTGATCTCATTGAATGTGCAGGAGTTTTCCTTTCAGGAGCAGGAGCAGCAGAAGCTGCTTTCTTCCTAACTGATAAGACTGGGGTGGCTTCCTGGGCAGTTTGCTTTGGATCATTCATACACGAATACTCATTCTTTGGCAAATCATGTTTGTGAATATTTTCAATAAGCTCCTGAGAACAGAAATCATGTCATATGATACCATAAACCATTCATTCAAAATATATAGATAACTAACACAAATTAGAAAGCAGTTTGACTGGTTTTACTCATGAAGGCAAAATAGTCTTTGCATCAAAACTGGCTTCAATTTGCGATTGTTTGCAGTGTTGCAGTTAAGCTACTTCAAAATCATTTCTTCAAAAGTGAAGCTGAATAACCCACATCTTAACTAACAACTTTATTTCTTAATTAAATAACTAAATAAGGATGAAACTGTAATTTCATATCTAGATACCAAAAATACAATTTTAGCATCTCCCTATACAGTAACATTCATTGTCATTAAACATGCTCCTAAAATTTGGATGCCATCATACAGGAAACAGTAAGAAATCATAGTTGTTCTTTGTTCATTAAATATTTGTCACTGATTGGAAAGAGTGCAAACAAATCATGCTGGACTCAACATGATAAATTTCAATGTATCAGAAGCTACAACAAAACAGTTGGATGATAACAAGTTGAACAGGCAGCTGATATACTACACAAAATTGTTGATCATGATGATTTTTATAAGTTGAAAGCATCCATTTAACAAATCAATTACAAAGTGGTGTGGGTAAGCAAGACATCAATTGAGAGGACTAGTGTGAACAGGTTTTCATGGTTTATATCATACCTCTATCATGGGATAAAATCGAAACAGTTGCCATGTTTCTTCCTCACCAGTCCGATCTTTTCTTGCTTGCTTAGTCTATCAATCAAAAAGAAATGTTAACAACTTTCAGACCTTAATTTAATAACAGTCTGAAGGCAGGGTCTCGAACTAGTTTAATAACATATTTTTACCTTCTGGCCGCCATTAAACTTAAGAGAGAAACTATCAGTCGAACTCTTTTTGGAATTTGATGATCCAGCAAGCAACCACATGTTATTAATAATCTTCATATCCTCAGGTGATAACCTTGCCAACTGATTGATAAATAAATTAATAAAAAGAACAACAACAACAACAGCAATTCATGCAACTAAATATATATTTTTTTCTATTATGTGTTCGCAATTGAATTGATCCTTCAAATCTAGTTTTCGCATACTTAACCACAAAACTATGTGAACTTGAGTTTGTCATGCTCATGCATCAGTTCTTCAATGTACACTATATAGCATGTCTCTGTGAGTTCCATTTTTTTTTTTTTTAAAGAAAAAAAAAAGGTTGTAAGTTGAATTGTTAAAAATCATTAATAGAAATTCTGTAGCTATATACCTGTCGTAACTTTGATGCTTTATCATCCTCAAACTTCTCAGGATAGACACAAGCATAAATCAACAACAACCGTAACTTATTTTCAGGGGTCGATTCCTGTGTGAAGAAGAAAAAATGATAAAAAGAAAAAATCACTGGAAGAAGGAAAGAGTATGCACTAACTACAACTACTCATTACATCACCTGCTTTGTCCTTAAGAAGTTGATGACATCCTTTGCCCCAGCATCTCCAAAAACAAGATCCTGCTCAAGTTGTCCAAGTTCCCGAAGCCCAGTGTCTCTAATTATTTGGTTAATTTTTCCAGCAATCTAAACAGGAATAATCAATTGAAAAAATCAGCATGAAAGAACACATAACTTCACTTATTTTAACCAGTGCTTATAATGCTTCTGAGATCTCAAAACAATCATTTAATTACCATTGAAGGCAAAGGAAATAATTTATAGCTACAAGAAACTTCATTGTATTCCTGCTTTTGTTTTAAGTAGACCACATGAAAGAATTCTTTGAACTGTTTTCCATGGGAGTAATATGAAAACCATGTGGATAATTTAAAGTTCACTGAAATCCAAAATTGGGACTATCTGAAAAATTAAGTATAAGTGATTGCAGATCTGTGTTTGCTATATTTCTTGATATCCTGTGGAGTTATAGAAGTTGCAACTTACAATTATAACTATGAAAAATAACTGGAAGAATGATTTCCCTTTATTAGTCTGTACTTTTAATGGCTAAATGCATCACATTTCTAGTAGATTTATATGTAATGGCACTAGACCGGTACCACTCAACAAGAAAATGACATTTATAGATGAAGAACAAACCTCTACATGGAGAGAGAGCTTATCAACTTGTTCACTGTATTGTGGCAAAGATTGAACAATTTTCTGCATGTCTCGTGTGGATAATTCACCACCATCTCTGCATAAAATCACACTTACGCATGAGAAATGTATGTAAAAGTCAAGTGGTTACGTGCAATTTAAGCAACAGAGCCATAGAACATTGGAAAGATCAGCATCTGACCTGCTTTGTTGAATTTGTGCAGCTTTGTTCTTCGATACGAAGTTTGTCATCCTATCATGCAATTTTTCACTAGCCTGATGTGCTAGTTAGTGAACTAGAGCATTCAGAATTATAATGTATTCAAAGGCAATAGACTTAAATTGCATTAGACATACATCTGCTATATGGGCGTGGCGAAGCTCAAGCCAAACTGGATCATTATCTTCGAGAAGGACCTCCTTTTTCTCAGGTTTACCACCTGTTTTGCTTGGAACCTAATACACAATATATGTTCTTCTCCATTAAGTAAAACATAAAAAGGGAAAGGAAGAAATCGCAATGAAACAAACCAATAAATGGTCATACCTCAAACACATATTTATTACCGTCCATATTCAGTAAATCGTGGCACATAGCATCATAAGTCCATTCGTGTATGACAGGAGCAATCTAAACATTCAAGTTCAATACATTCAAAAATAAAAATTGCTAGAGTATGCTAGAAACCCTGATAACAAGATAATTAAAATCAACAGTAACCTGGTCAACAGATCTATCTAAAATGAGCAGCTCGCATGTTTCAGTCTTTGGAAAGTTAGGGATAGATTTATACTTTTCAATACAGTTCCAAACAGCAGTAGCAAGCTTTGTAGGTATAAAATCACGAAATGCTGTCATAGATGCATCAGAAGCCTTGGCAGCACGATAACGCACGAAGGGGTACTCCTGAAACCATTGGAGAACACTGATCAAAGTCAGACCTGCCACTGGCCTTGATTTCATTTGTGAAATTATTAACTACTAGCCTTGAGCTACATCACAAACTTGGAACCTAGTGAATGAAAACATGGTCATTTGAGTCAATCTCTTTGGAAGACAAATAGAAACATTTAAAGAATGGAAGATGCTGTTGTATTATAGATGATTAATACAAATGAAGGTGACATAAGGTAACTCGTTAATAATATCCTAATCATGTAAACCACCTAATTACCACTGCATTCCTACCTTCAATGAAGCAAACACTGTAGCAATTCGAGTTGCCATTGTGTTTAAACAAGTCTCAAATTTACGAGAATTCTCAGCATTTTGACCATAGAGATCCTCTAATGCTCTATCCTGATCAGTGATAAAAGCCTGCAATATGGGATGTTAGCGACAAAGCAAATATTGTCCATAGACAAGAGAAAATCTGAATTAAATCTGCAAATAAATGTGCGAGCATAGCATAAGAGAGCATCCAACGTTCTTGAAGATTATGTTCGCAATGGTGGTAGGCTGTAAGTTGACCAAACAAAGTATCACTGGAATTTTTTTCTCTCTAATAGGTGGATTCATCCATGTAATTTACAAAAAATTAATGAGTTTGCAGCCCATAAAGATCCAAAAGTAAATAGATATTGGATGATGGTAACTATTAACAAAAAGCACATCACCGAACACAGCACCGATGGAAATATATAAACAACTGATGTCACTGCATACCTGACTATCTATAGGAAAATACTCCAGATTCATCTGCATATTATCAAGGCAAAAAGAGATTAAAAAAATAAAAAAAAAAAAAAAAAAATAAAAAAACAACTACATGTAAAATAATTCATACAAAGCAAAATGAAAATCTGAACCTCTCTCAAAGCAGCTATGCGAGGCAACACACTTGAATCCATCTTGATGTGATTAACCAACTCTTTTGGAATAGGTGAACTGAAAAATACAAATGCTCTGGAAAAAAGAAGACGAGAGCAGTAGAAGAAGAGAACAACAAAACACAAATGATCAATGGTAAATAATACGGTTAAAATACGTAGAAGGTCTGAGGGATGCCAATCTCACATACTTCTTGTATAAAGGCTCCCGTCCAGACATGTCAGACAAGAACATTACAACACTGCATGCTAGGAACAGATGTAGTTAAAACGGATCCAAAATCCAAAAAGAGAGCTTCAGATTAAGCGGCATAAAAAATCCAGAAAATTATGGAAAACAGTAAAAATGTAACATAATATGAAATTATATGTTTTAATATGACATTTTATCAAATAATTTAATCTTTTGAGTAGTGCAATACTAGCAAGATATGCTCACAATGTGCAATGATTTAATGTTAGGCAAAATGAGATAAAGACTAATCACTATGGGATATTAAAGATGGTATATAAGGTGAAATAAAGAGGAAACAGTATCTATCAACCAAATAAAGAAAAAAAATTGAAAGGAAAAACTCGTACTTTTCTTTTGTTGGCTGGATAAAATACACAGCATCCATGGAAGGTAACGGTTGTCTTCTCCTGAAGAGGTCTTCCACCACTGCAGTATAGAAAATTTAATTAGTTTAAGTTATGAAAGCAATCACATATAAAAATTATAATTTAAAAAAAAAAAAACATATTAAGCAATGGTATGACATGGAAGATACACTTAGATTCGAGCCCTTGTTATTAAAATAGCAAATTAACCATCACCAACACCATATATTGGAAGAAGATAAATAACTGAACACGTTATAAGCACTACTATAAAACTTAAAAAAACCAACAAGACTAGCATCACTCAAAATCTTATAAATTAGGAGTAATGCGCATGTTCTGATACTTACATGAAACTCCTTGGTCTGTTATATCCGCCATTTTACATGAATGAGACATGACTTTCACTGTAACTTTATCCATGATGAACACCTATCAAAAAACAGATAAGATTGATTGAATAGTGTAATGAGAAAAGCCTCTCATTACCCAAAGTAATTTCGAAATTACACACGAACTTTACAATAGAATAAAATTAGACCAAGTAAATAACACAAACTTTCTAATAAAACAAGCATTGAACACCTTCCACGATTTTGAATCTGCTTTAGCTGATCCCAACATTTCATATAATAAACCTACATTGGGTAATAAAACCCGACCAAAAAAAGTGATGTTAGGAAGATAGCAACAGTCAAATGCTAATTTTTTTATAGATCAAACTGATCTATGAAGTATCAACGAAAAACAAAAATAAATTCAAACTATAATCTTGTATCCTTTATTCAAGATTTTGAATTTCTTTTATAAGGTTTGAACTATTTGAATCCATCGTGTATTTTTAATTTTATATACATTTTCTTTGGTAACGAACAGAAAATCAAAATAGTTCAATTATTCTAAAGACAAGAAAAATAAAAGGAGAGAGCTCACGATCACGGCCTTTTTGACGAAAGAATTTGTACTCTGCGCCATGAGAGGACGATTCAGAATCCGAAAACGACATTATTGAATGTTGTGCTGTTAGGCCGTGATTGATTAATCGCTATAGAAAAGATTTTTGCAAACTCAATAAACAAGAAACAACAACAGAGAGAAAAAGGAAGGAATTGTGTTTTGTCTGTGAGAGAGAGGAGAGAAACAAGGCGCGCTCTGAGAATGGCCGTTAAAAACTTAAAATGCGTGGGAACGCGTTTTATAGTACGCACACTGCGCTATTGAAATCTTCAATGAATAAAAGGGCGTAATAATATCCTTACGACGTCGTCTCTGTTTGATAGATGCGAAGTCTCAATTATACCCTTGCTTATTTCTTCTGTCTTTGCCAACTTTATAACGGTCAGAATTTGTTGTTTCGATTTTCGAACATATAGAATTATCAAATTAAATTTTATTTTCTAGAGCATAAAATACATTGGCAACCTGCATAAATTGCCATTAAATTCAATATCTCTTCAACCTATAAAGGATTTAGAAAAAAATAAAAGAAGCCTTGATCATTGCCCAAGGAGTGGATTTTTGGTGACAATTTGAGATCTTTTAGTGCTTTGTCGGGAAAGAAACGTGCACACAAGTTGTAGAGATGAATCATATAACAACATTAAAATAATAAACAATCTCAGAGATGAATCATATCATAAAATACAATTAAAATACATTAATAGCTTACACCATTCTCATGAACGGCAGCTTTCTATAACACCTTCAAATTGATATAAACAATATCTTTTCTTTATGCAACACGGATAGATTTGATTACATGAATTTACATGGTGACGCCATAGCCTGTAATTCATAGAATCAAAATTCTAAACAGCCAGCGAAGGCGCAAGAATTTTATGACCATAAAAGTGCTTGGCAATGGCATATCATATTCTTGCCAGTGAATTATTGGGCAATAATTTCAATAAACCATAGTGTATCATTTTTTTCTTTGCGGCATTCAGTTGATTCATCAAACATTTCATCCAGCCCATATTTAAATTTGAAAGCCCAAGAGCTTCATAGTGTCAGGGCATAAAGTTTAAAAGTCGAAGAATAGTGACTAGAAGAAGATAAATTGTAGAAAGCGTCTCAGGACTCAGGAGCTGTGACTGGAATAGGGGTTCTACATCAAAACAGTACAAGGTTGTTCCCAATCCCGCCTGAGATGATCGGTTTGGAATTTATATTGGTTTAACAAAATAAAAAATAACATTGAGATAAATTAGTCTGCATAGGACAAATACAATACTCATCTTGTATTCGTATCAACCATCTTGTATTGAATCCATAGAAGCTAATCTCATCCAAGCCTACAAAAAATATTTTTAAAGTTTAGAAAGAAGGAAAAAACACTCATTTGTTTAATTGGTATTAAGAGAAATGGGTTAGAGTTATTTATCGAATCAATGGTACTGGGGAACTAGAGAAAAAATAAACGATTAGTTTCTTAGCAACAAATTGTAACAAATTAATCCCAGGCAGTGGTGTTGATTGTTGAACTAACAAGGTAGAAGATGCTCTTTTGCACTTAAAAAAGATACGACTTTTGTCTTTGAAAAACAGAAATCGTACAGCAAGCCTATTTCATCGAGGATCCTTCCATGAAAACCCTTGCCAAGATGAAGCACAAACTATAATGTTAACTTAAAAAGATGGATTTATCAGTCCCCAAATTTCAAAATAGCTGGATATCTGTACATGAGCCATCAGAATTCACATTTACCACATATACGAAGAGAACAAACTATAACAAGTTTGACTTTTAATGGATAACATTAGTCATCTTTTGGCTCTCATCTCATGAGAAAGCGTCCAGCTTCATCATCTGTTACATCACTGTTCAGGAAACGAAATATGGAAAAAAGTAATCAGATGGCTGCTAAAAGAAATCAACACTTACAGAATGGAAGTAAATAATTGAAGAAATGCAAGTATGTGAAACCTGTCTATGGCTTCTGACTTCGGAATTAATGAGAGTTCTTTGGATGCAAGTAATTCACACAAACGGTCAATATTTTCTTCCTGACAGAATTTGCAAAGACTGCGGAGGAAATCATTGAACTGTTTTGGTTCCTGCAAAGGAGCAACTTTCTGAAGTTAACCAACAGCAGTCCAGCACATTAGTCTTGGCATATATATACGTACACACACACACACACACACACACACCACAGCTATTAATTTTGCAAAAAGAAACTTGATAGAATGAGAGAGAGAAGAATACTTGCTCAAGGATGCACCCTTTACGGAGGGCAACTAAGAATTCCACTGCTTTAGGATAATTATCACCTTCATGGGACTTCACTAGCTCAAAAATTTTCCTTTTCATATCCTCAATTGCTTTACCAACCCATTCTGGGCTATCTCTTCGTGACATCATAGCCACAAAGTCTTGGACAGGGGTCAAATCCCCAATTTTCTCAATCAGAACTGCAGGTTTGCCTTCAATGGAATTGAGAGCCTGTGCATCAGAGACATCACCATCAGCATCTCCCCCCTCTGAGCCAGATGGTTTCTCCCGCAGGAAGCGTCTAGTTGATTTCTTCAGCTGTAAGAAACATCATTTTAATACTTCAATCTCAATACATATAAGAATGGAGGAAAGACAATTCTTAATTTAAGAAATGACCTTAGGATTCTCCTTGAGTTCAAAATGTCTACGAAAAGCATCAATAATGGACTTGCTTTCAGCAAGAAGTTCCGGATCACACTCAGTGATCTTCTTGAGAGTTTCATCAAGTGGAGGCACAGCTGCATCTGGGTCCTTTGATTTCAACTCAAGATGATGATAGAAACGCTGAAAACACATAACATTTGTCATAAGTTTCAGTAAAATTAACAATGGCATACCCATTGAGGCAAAAATGAAAAATAAAAACTCCCCTAAATTACTCTTGTCATCTTTCTGAAACAATGTTTAAGCTGGGAGTTTCCTCATCTGTTAGGTTAGTAACCAAGCATCATATCTGTGACTCAGAACACAAGATGTTTCTTTGATGAGACAACATGAGTTAAATACACTTAGACAACTGTGTTTTACTCCTGTACATGTCAGCAAACAAGAGGACAGAATAAACCTGGAATGGGAATCATATCCACTAATTGCCAAGCTAGTATAGTCTCTATACAGTGCACAAACCTGGACTATAGGAAGGGAGACTATGGGATGCGAGAAACAACCTACCGTTCTGTAGAGATGCATTGTAACAAAATGCTCAGACCACCACAATTTCGACCATTGCATAACAATATTTTCCATACAGCTAAAGATAAGGTCATTGACATAAAAGCAATAACATTTCAAAGCTACACTCATCAGGTGAAAATTTTTCATCTTAAATGTGGCCTTAGGACAAGTAAGTTTCAATTCTCATAAAAGTAATGCTCATTATAGAAACAACCAACCTTATCCTCCACGATCTAAAAGAAATATAAAGTAGAGACATCATATTGCATGTACAGTTTCCAACTTATGGCATCAGTTAAACAACCAACCACCTCCCTCACTCCCAATGACCATGCAGGCTCGGTGTGCACCACAAGAGAATACAATAATGATAAAAACAAGTTTAACGCATGAATTATAAAACAAACAGCACATTATCACTTTACTTTCATGTTTTACATTAGCTCATAAGTATTCAGCAGCATCTCAAACAAACAACAGATTTTAAATCTCAAACCAGATTGGAAAAGCTCTTTCAAGAATTTAGAATAAGCTCGCACAGGAAACAGATAAATAATCAAACAGATAAATATAGTTCACACAAAATAATGCAAATCAAAATACCTCCAGAACAGGATTTGGCGTAAATTCAGGCTGCAGGCTTTCCCCTTTGCCAGATGGTGCAAGGTCAAGCATTTTTACCAGGTTATCTGCTACCTCTTGCTGTTGCTCATTTGGTTGCCAGGACATAGGATAATTGCTGAAAGAGGGGAACTGAAACTCTCGAACATCCTCAATAAAAGGAAGGACATTGAAGTAGAATGAATCGGGCTGTCAAGCAAGATTAGAAGCAATCAAATTTCACTAAGGAAAATTAATCCTACAATAGAAATTGAAGCCAGGATAAACAATTAGCAGTTTCAAGGTAAGGACTGTATGAAAAAGCAGAATGAACCTACAATGTTATGTTTTTCAGACAAACTGGGAGTCAAAACCCCAACAACAACACTCTGCTGTCCTTGTCTCCAGACACAACGCAAAATTGCAACTTTATTCATTTCCTTCATTGCTCTTGCTAAAGCAGAAACAGCAAGCATCGCTCTTGTATTACCCGGTTCAGCGATGAAAAGATTGACATCTTTCATGTAATAGTGACTACGATTAATAAAAAAAAAGTCAGAAGAAAGAAGTTATAAGACAAAAGCATATATTTTCCATCAAGATTAACTGCAATCAAATAACACATATCCAAATTAAGGCAGAGTTTCTAACCGCAATATGTTTGAAGGATCAGTAAATCCCAGAAGCTTCAAACTCTTCTCTGGTTTGAACTTCACAGCCTCCCATTCAGCAGATGATATAGGAACCACTTGAGGTCCATAGCGATAACCTTTAATCCTTTGTTCTGGAGGAACAGCTTTACTAGGATCTTCAACACTTTTGTACTCATAATCTACCTTCACTTCACGTGTGGCAAACTTATCAGTTGGAGGCGCTTTATCAGAATATTTCTTCAGCGTGGGAAACTTCTCTTCAGCCGTTTTCTTGTACACCCATACCTACTTAAAATTGACAATAAGATGAATGGCAAAGTTTTTTAATTTATTCCTCTTTAAATGGAAATCTAATGTAAAATTACAAACCAAACCTGAGAGAGCTGAATGCAATATAAGAAAAGTTCAAACTTGTGATATAAGAAATGCAAGACAACAAAAGAAGGATAGCTAAAGGTGGACTTAGTGACAGGTAAATCCCACAAACAATCATAGGTACAAACAATAGCATGCAACAGTTAAAAATAGTAAAATTATCAACAACATATGCTTAAAATGCTATTTCTGCAACATGGCAGAAATCTCACCTTAATCTTCATTTTCTGGCCAAGTTCAAGATCACCTCTAAATATGGTGACTGGAGCTATATTTCGAGTTCTAAGTGCACCTAATAATGAAGTTGGACTATCAACATACACAGTCTTGGAGCTTGATTTCTCTGAAAATAAATTCAACAAATTTTCATTCTCGTCTATTATTCTCATATTTACGTTCCCACATGAACTTCTTCTGACAATAATATTTTCCATTTTGATGCCATGTGCAGCCATTTGCACGGCAATGGTGCTGACTTGTTCTTCTTTGGTTCCTTCATACGGATCTTTAATAGGACACACTGCATCTGTTATAAGACAGATACGTTTCTTTCCTTTGTTGGTTTCTCTATATTTCTTTATCAGCATATCCAACCCAACAACAATTGCATCAATAACTACCAAAGTTAAGGCACTACAGATGCAGATAAGATAAAAATCATTAGAAAATGTTCAACTAACTAGAAATTACTTCTCCACTAAACTTAACACCTTATAGATTATACTAAAAGCTATTCATTGACAGGTTCAAGTGAAAACCAAAAACAAAAATGCCAAACTGATGTCAAAGAAAAACACTAAAATAACATAATAAAACACAACATCTTCATGGACGTAGAAATAAAAATTTGAAAAGAAAGTAAAAAGACTGAATCCAATGCATTGTTTGACTGTAAGGATTGTTTACATAATATTAAAAAACACGTTTTAAGTACCTATATATTTATGTATATTCCTAGGTAAGCATATAATATGGCCAAATACGCAAGTACATTTTCTAAAGTCAAAGTAAATCTACGGAGAAATTCCATTTTTGAACTGAAGGAACTTAGAGGTTGTAATACTGCAAAGGAGAAGGTGCATGGTGCAAGAAGACAACTACAGCAACAATAGTCTTACAAGCTCTCCAGAGATTAAACTTGCAAAAAAATCTGAAAAGGAATGGATACAATCACCAGCAACAGTTCCTCGAGGGAGCTGTTTAAAAGCTTCAACAAGGTCTCCATCAACAACTTTGATATTTCTTAAAACCACAACATGTTCATATCCACCCACTTCATTCGTCAGGTCATTGCTAGTGTCTGCAGGTTCCAAAGAACATTAATTATAAGTAAAACTTTCTGAATAAGTTACTACAAAAATTGTTGAGAATTGATGATCATGGAATGTCTTGGTTCACTGAGTAGACTGAAATTATTTACAAAGCCTCGTATTTCATATACTCTGCATGCACAGATTCAAAGCCATAAAAATTTGGACAAATGTAATTGACTAGTTTAAAAGGAGAGGAGAAAAAACACTATACATCACCAGCAATAATTAAATAGGTTAAAAGCCTTTAATATACTCCATGAGGCATCAGTTACCCAGAATTGCTCATTAAAAGAGGAAGTACCTTCAGTTCCAAATAAAACAATTCCAACTTCATCATTTTTTCCGTAAATCAGCTGCATAGCAAAATATCAAAGAGAATTAGGGTAATAGCTCCTACAGATTTAGTCCAAAAATCACTAAAATTTCTTTCTTCCACTCAAAATACAGAAGAAGTCACGTGTATCAAATTAACCATAAGAGACAAAATGACAAAAGAAGCTCAAAACTCTAAGGGTTACCTTCTTTTGTACTAGCATGGAGCAAAGTTTTTCAACCTGAGGAAGAACACTGTGCATCGACGGGCCAACATCGAGTAACAATAACAATGCTTCCTGTTCCCAAATGCACAAACCAGGAAAAAAAAATCACATATACAGAGTTTCACCAGTTTGACTATAAGAAAGGGAAGAAATTAATTTGACTGTTAGGCCTCTTCAATTACTCTTTCCGGCAAAGAAGTACTTAAAAATTACTTAACCTAATAAAAGAAATTTTCTTATGAATCTATCTTTGAGAGCATCAGATTCAACTTCTGTATTTTAGCTTTAAAAAAAATAAAAATAAATAAGATTTTGAGGTCCACAATCTCCAATAATCAACTTCTTTGTCTTTCAAATTTGGTTGGTAAAAAGATTCACTGTTAAATTTAAAAAATTCTACCACATAAGAAGACATAACAACACAAAAATAGTTAAACAATTACTAAATTATTTAATCGGCGAATACAAACAGTAGATGTCATTTTGCGCAGAGGAATGGCGAGTGCAACGACTAAGTTCACATTTCAATTAGTTAACAGTAAAACCCTAGAAAAGTATTAGAGAAAAATAAATAACGAGTACAATCACTGCATCTTACAATTGATTGATTAAACATAAGCCATAAAAAAAGAAAACAACAACAGTGTTCTAATGCTTTCAATTAACTGCAAGTAAAACCCTAAAACCTAGCACATTTGAATCATAAATAATCAAAAGATTGATCAATAAAGAGACAGAGAAAGTTGTTATAGAGAAAATTGGCAAGTGAGACTTACCCTGTTACGAGCCATTAGAGAGAGCAATTGAAGAAAAGCTTGTCCCAGAAGCTGGATCATGGAATGGGGGGTTATATTTTAAAATTCCGTGATGGTAACCGCCTTTCTCTTCCCGCCTCGGGTTAACAATTTCAAATTACATTATGACCACAAAACTTGCAAGTATTTCATTTTGCTATGGTAACAATTAACAATATACAAATATGACCATTAACGAAAATAAAAATAAAATATGACATCAAGGGTAGTAACGTAATTGACCGCAACGGTCATAAAGTACGCAGCTGATATTTGAAAAACTTCAAAATAACAAAAAAAATTAGAAAAACCGTCAATGGCTCATCTTTTTCACGTTTTAATAAATAAATTAAATTCAGTCAAAAAGCGACATCGGCTTAGGTAAGCGCTCAAGATAAGCGCATAAAAGGCTCTAGTTGCGGCGATTTTCCAAGCGAGTTCAAGGGAGAGAAAAATTGAGCTTGAGAAAATGGCTTCAATGGCATCACCGAGCTCTTACTGTTTTTATAAGAAGCATAATAGGGGCTACAATGGTTCTACTCTTCCCCGTATAAGCCTTTCTCAGACTCAGCAGCCTGACAACAAACCCACCGACCAAACCAGTCGAAGGTATTCTTCCTTTCTCTATCTGTTCTATAAATATGTTATATTATATATTAAACAATAAAAAATTGAAATTTCCTATGCAAACGTTTTGTTAATTTGAAGGGAAATAATATTGAGGAGCAGCGAATTAGCAGTAGTTGGAGCCATATTCAACTTCAGGTACATATCTTTTTGGTTCATTTTCATTTCATTCTCTGTTTCTCGTCAACACCCGGCCATTCGCAAATATTCGACGAAACTCTTGGAACTCTCTCTGCTACCACCGTCGGATGTCGTAATTTATGCTTCTAATTCAGAAGTTGAATTAATTTATGTTTGATGCAGCGGAAAAAAGCCTGAATATTTAGGTGTACAGAAAAACCAAGCAGCTTTAGCACTGTGTCCGGCTACCAAGAATTGTATATCAACTGCGGAGAATATCAGCGATCTCATTCACTATGCCTCACCTTGGTAAAGCAAAGCCCTCTTTGTTGTGATGTTTGGTAATTTTTGGTGGTATGGGCCAATTGATTAACATTGCAACGCGTGAAAAATATGCACCGACCACTACATGTGGATAGTTGAAACTGACTGGTCAATTTACATGTGATGCATACAGGAATTACAATCGTGGTAGGAAAAAGCCCGTTACCAGAGATGTGGCAATGGAGGAGCTTCTTCAAGTGGTAACAACTCTTGTTATATTTATTTTATTGAACAAGATTACTTCATTCATTGAGAATTTACTAATATCCATCTTACAGGTAAAATCAACAAAACCAGACAGATTTACCCCGATAATTGTGGAAAAGAAAGATGATTATGTTCATGTGGAATATCAAAGTCCGATCTTAGGGGTATGTTCATCAGAGACTACTGTTTTGCCACCAAACATAATTTAACATAGCTGTTGATTTTAACACACTGTTAACGTGCTGATTATCTGTCCTCGAACAGTTAGTAGACGATGTTGAGTTCTGGTTTCCGCCAGGAAAGGAATCGATTGTGGAATATAGATCTGCATCACGACTGGGAAACTTTGATTTTGATTATAACAGAAAACGAATCAAGGTGAGCATTCACAACAATCTTACTAAGCCAGAAGACTCTGATTTTGACGATTAAACAACTGACGTGAAAGTTAACTAAACCTGAAATTAATTATAGGCATTGCGACTGGCACTGGAGAAAAAGGGCTGGGCTCCAGAAGACACCTTTTGAGGGGGGGCACCATTGTTAAGAACAATGATATTCAAGGAAATTTCAACCAAGAGTGCTCAATGCTTGATTTTTAATTTTTATACGCATACAAAAAGAAAAGGGAACACAAGATGTATATTCACTATATTTGAATCAACTTTGATGTAGTTCTACTGATTTATAATGAATAATGAAGCACAAATTTTACATTTTCGGAAAATTTTTCCAAGCCATCAGTAAAAATGTGAAGTCAGATTTACTCTATTGATTAGGGGGATGCTCCAATGAATTGATCCATTAAGAAAAAACATGAGATCAAGGAAGAGCATGCATCATGTCAAATGAGAAGGCGGTGTGAGGGCTTTTATCATTTGACGAAAACAAGTAGTCATTCAAAACCAAATAGCAATTGAATCATTTATGACACCATTACCAAATCTAGTTTTCCAATGCAATAAACTGTAGATACATACTCCTGTCTGGTATAGATATCATCATTGCAAATCCACTACAATGGGAATGCATGGTGCACACTGGATTCCTTAAAAAGAAAAACCACAATGACATGAGAATACTGAAAATTTTGTAAAGATAAAATCATGTTCCAGCATTCCACTACAGTTAAACCAGCGGCAGGGTTCTGAATAGAGAAACTAATCCTTCCTCAGTTCCATGTATTCACGGTGAAGACCTTCTTTATTTAGGACAACAATTTCCAGCTTGTCTCCCTGTTAAATATCAAATGACACGTTAAAGAATAGGCAAATGCTTAATATGCATAAGGATTCTTCTTTAAAGGATTTTACACCTTAGCAACAACAGAAAGCAATCAGGCAAATTAAGAAACAGTTTGTTACTACTGTAATTATAAAAAAGGAAAACAAAAAACCCAGAAATTCTAACTGCAGGCACATGTATATACATGCGTCTTTTCAGAGTGAAGGTGAGCACAAAACTATTTATCCTGCCTCCACAAGGAGAAAGTAAATAAATTAATTGTTTGGAATGCTTGTATCTGTACAATCCCTCAGTACTTACCGTTTGAAAAATGAATACCTAAGATAGTAGGCATGTGATGATTTTCCACTAAAAATTAAAATATCCCAGACTAATGATGGTGGGGAGATAGCACCAAGATCTACCTCTAGAATGAGAAAAAGATTACTGATAATATCTACAAACCACACAAGAAAGAACACTAATCCTATCAATACATGATCAACAATGATGTATAACTAATTCTGAAGTCAGGCATGAGCAACGAAATTGTTCCAATAAAAGCATATGTACAGCTAGATCAATGAAGACCTTCTAAGATTGAGGTATCAAAAAGGTAATCCTGTAAAAAGATGCATTCTTATATGATGAGGTTCCATAAATTTAGAAACAAACATTTGCTGCAACTTTACCGCCTACTTCTAAGTTTACCTGGAATAAGAGTAGAATTTAAAGGAAGATAAACTTACAGTGTAAATATCTCTCTCAGTTGCTGATGCAAAACAAGTTTTGACCAAATCAACTGCTTCAGATTCTGAAAGTGGAGTAACAGCATCCTGGACAGAGCAAGAAAATTAAAGCATAATATGTAGAATTAAAGAACTGAAGAATATGGGCTGTCTAATAATAATTTAAATAGTATACCTGGGCAGGCAATAAGAGAGGACTAGGAGACTTCAGTTGGTTATCCAGAAATGGCATTATGAGCGTGGAACCAGAACCTTGGGAGCTATATCCAACTCTCTCATAGGAACCAACAGCATCATATGTGTAGACACAACCCTTACCTGAAATTTGGAATAAAAACCATGTGTATTAGAAATTAAACAAAGAAGCTCAAAACTGGCACCGAAAGCTTGCAACAATTTTACCTTCATTGTCAAGGCCACCCAAAACATTAAATGAATAATAAGGAAAGAAGCGCTTGTAGTAAAGGGTATTGGAGAGTAGTTGAGCCATTGCAGGGCAGCTCACTTGTTTGTTGTGCTGATGCTGATAGATCTGTTTCCACAGAAATGCCCAGAAAAGAAAACTAGTAAATTAGTGCCAGTATGTGTTTCTAAACGGACCAGTAGGATGGAATAAAGAAACCTTCCCATATTAGACAGTGCAGAGACATCCTTAGATTTAAAGTTGGTATATAAACAAGTATAATGTAAAAAATTATAATTGCAAAAACTAATTTTGTAACAGGTTTATATACAAGAAGTTTTCAACATAATTTACATAATAATAATATTTGGTGCTTCTACTTTATATCAAATCCTTCACAAGAACAACAACATCATCAAACAGATTAACTAAAACCAAAGCAAAACAGACAACTGGAAAATTATTACCAATCTAGCAAATATAAAATTATGAATGGGTAAAAAGATATATGAACAGAAAATTTCAGTGCCAATAATTACCCACAAACATGACTAGTCAAATATGACAATGCAGTCAATAGAAAATGTCTGATAAATGCCTACTCTAGGATAGCATACTTCAAATGCTCTTTCTGGAAGAAGATTCCAAGATATAAAAAAAACCAGTTAGAGTCTTTCTAAGCCTCACCAGGTGCCTTGCTGCCAGTTGCTTTTGTAAGGCTTTGACATCAGCTTGAAAACCAGAGGAGGCCATCACGCATTTGTCTGCCCTGTAAGAGGTTGAAAAATAACAATATAAAAGACATCATTGATAGCTACAATTAAAATGTCTAAACCACACTATACACCCATGAACAACAAAAACATAAGAATCAAACTCTATGAGCGTTCTTCAACTGTTGTTTTCTCCACCTAAAAGCCAGAGATTAGAGTCAAGTTTTCTAGCTGTACAAGTCAACATCGCAATTCCTCTATAAGCCACAACCACAAATGCAAGCTAATATGAACACAGTTCTATCCTTATGTCATCGACATGTTGGATTATTCAAATGTTGAAGCACGAAAATAACATTCAGCAGATCACATTAACCATACCTCTGAATCTCCATTTATGCCACAGTTCTTTAATCAAAGATAACAGTATGTCAAAGTGTTCAACTTGCTAAAACAAAGAAATTCTTCATGATAGCAAGAAAATTTTTCCCAAGTCTCTTTTATTCATGGAGTATTTTAAATTCATAATCAAGTTAATAAAACAAAGCATTACAACTGGAATTCGGATTTCCATGTTTGCCCCAATTTGTTTATAGTATCCCATTGTTCAGCTAAAAAAGAGCAGAGATAAGAAAAAAACTATAATAGAAAAAGGTTGAGAATGAAATGCACAAAATCTGACATCGCACGCATCGTAAAAACCCTAATAATTGAAACTCAAAACTATTTATAAGCAAAAATTAAAAAAAAATTAAAAAATATGAGAAATCAAAATCAAGAAAAAATTGAGAAAAAGAAAATACAAGATATCTTATGAAGATCCGTACAGTTTACAGATTTTGGAGTAATCGCGAGTGAGAATACTGTAACCAGTCGACATTCGAGTATCGGCTGCAATAACACAGTAATCGGCTCCGGCAATTGCAACACAAGTTCTGCAAATCACGCGCGTGTAAAGCAAATAATAATAAATTAAATACCTATTAAAAAAGCTCTGTACCGAGAAATCAAAACAGGCGTGCAGAAAAAAAAAAAGAAGTGGTACCCTCCATTGTTGTCGTATGGAGACCAGTTGGCGTTCTGCTTCGTCATGCCGAGAGGAAAGACAGAGAGAGAAACTAGGGCGAGAAATTGAGCAAAGAATGAACTTCGGCTTTGCTTTTTAGTACTGAGATCTCACACTGTCTTTGCCAACACGAAAGAAAACGATCACTTAAGCGACGTCGTTGGATGGTGTGTGGGCATTTACCCTTTATGTGTGCTTTGCAAAAAGGTGGGCTAAAATCAAATGGCCCAACTTAATCCACGTAAAATAAGGGACTGCAAACCTCGGGTTAGGCCTAGCTTTTTTAAGTACGGGCCTAGGCCCCGCTGTGAATTAAGAAAAGAATTTTATGTTGTTAATAAAATATATTAAATTATTATTTAAATTTATTTTATCTTAAAAAAATTGAAGGAACTTAAAATTTCGAAGAATTTTACCGGACACAAGCTGATGCCTTAAGCACTGCGATGGGCCTGATGCGTACAAAATATTGGGCCCAATATAAATCAGATATTTAATTGAAAAGGAGAAAGGAGTGTTTTAAACGAACATCCAAGTTAATACACATGGTAGCGTATAAATAGATTTGGAATCAAAACCTGGGCAACACGTAGCCAAAGGCCCCAAAGCCAAGAGTAGAGACTACAGATAAGTGAAAGGAAAGGTAGAAGAAGGCCATGGGGGATCTGTTTGGATGGCTACTGGTCTTCACCCTTCTTATTTCTCTACTCGCCATTCTTAGTTACCAGGTCATTTCTCTATTACTGTCACCCTCACCCTTTGTTCTATTTTATTATAATAAATATTTGTCTAATTTTCTTCTGTTTGTTATAATTTACATACTTTTATAATGCTAAAATCAAAATGCATGGCTTGTTATGACGTGTTTTGTGTTTCCTGTTTTGTGTTCATATTGTTTTTGTTTCGAATATTAATCCAAAATTAGCTTTTGTTTCTGTTTTCGTGATTTTTGTTATTGAAATTTAATTCTCAACATATATTTTACCCTGTTAAAAAAGTTGCTTCTGAACTTCCATCGAAAGTGAAGGATGTTACTTTAATTTAGGGTAATTTAAATTATTATTATTATTATTATTATTTTGTTGATAATTCAATAAATACGGGACCGTCATTGTCTGGACTACTTGTCAATTCATAAATTACAGGGGATTCATTTTAATTTTCCAATTAATATGTAGAAGTTTAGTTAGTTTAAGAACAAAAATATTGAAATGGGCAAATTTCTTCTTGTGCACAGTTGTTGATAAACTTTGCCAAACAAATATCTAGTTATATTCTTTTAACTGTTTCCTATAGTCTGTTGAAAACGGTTTAGCTGTTTAATATAATCCATTCTTGATTTTTAGATTGAATTATTGGACAAAATATTATTTTTTAGGAAATTAAAATTTCTATCAAGGGAAAAGCTGTTTAAAAGAGCAGTGTTCTCACACTTGATGTTTTAGCTGCAGCTCATGTGCTTGACGGACCTTGAAGTCGACTACATTAACCCATATGATTCAGCAGCTCAGATAAACATGCTAGTTTTGCCAGAGTTTGCTACTCAAGGAATCTTATGCATCATATATCTTATAACAGGCCATTGGTTTATGTTTCTCTTGTCCCTCCCATACCTGCACTACAATGTGGGACTGTAAGTTTCTTTCAACCAGTTAATTATGATAACATTTGAGCAACGACATGATAATATCTGTCAATGTTGCTGGTTGATATTTCTTTGGATCATGTTAGCCAATCTTCACTTTATATATCATATCTTAACTGTAAGCTGTGACTTCTTGATTGCCTTCTTTTTTCTCCCAGTTTTGAACTAATTACATGAGTACAATTTCATTTAAGTTTAACCAGTTTTGAAATAATGGAAATGGTCATATGTATTCCTGTTAGCATTTTTGCATACTATACTTCATCGTGGTTTCTGAGGAAAACATCCATTTAATATTTAGACCAACTGTGGGTTTTTAGTTCCCTTGGTCCTATTGGTTTTAATTTTCTTAATGCCTTTGATACAGTTAGGTAGTATCTGGACTGCAATGATATAAAGTTCGTTTCCGTCTTGCTGTCATGTTGAATGCAAAATGAAGGCGTACAAAACAATATTATGATATGATATGTTATCCCGTGACCAGGTATAGGAGGAGACAACACTTAGTGGATGTAACTGAGATCTACAGCCAGCTGAATGGAGAAAAGAAGCAACGGCTTTTTAAGCTTTGCTATCTCATAATCCTCTTAGTCTTATGTATATTCTGGTATTATGACAAAATATATGTTACTATCCTTAGTGAATCATTCATTGGACTTTATGAAGCAATTTATTTTATGTGGTCTATGATTTTAAATGTTTTATAGGTTACTTTGGACAGTTGGAGAACCTCATGATTAGTCAGACAGCAGGTCTCCGATCAAGTTTGCCCTCAGTAAGTATTTACATTGCTCTTCTAGATTGAGGGTGTTTTAAACACCATAATGAAGTAAATGCATATTCAATTGGATAAAAGTGTAATGAAGTATGTACAAGCCTCCACCCTTTTGATCAGAATCACTAGAAAAGATACAAAAATTACTGTCATCATTACTAAATAAGGATTTATAATAGCATAAAAAATAACTTAAAGAGTTATGATGACAAAATATTGAACTCGTGACTGTGTTTATCATTAAAGGGCAACCACGCTTGTTGACAAGTGATGTGGAACAACCTGAGAAATTGGATAAATTTTAATTTGAGTGGTGAAAATCTGTTGTATTATTTTGTTGAATAAGTTGAATCCAGGTGGATGGGTAAAGTCATTCTATGTAATAATATTAGTGGAGAAGGCAGTGTCAGTGGCAGCAACAGAGATGATGATATTGGGTGAAGATTTGCAGTTGAAAGAACAGTGAGTCTGTGGATTAGTAGGTGGCTTCATTTCTGATGGTAGTTGTGGAGGCAATTGGTGAAGCAGATTTTAGATAATTTCTTCAAGGATCTTATGCTGGGGGATCTGTAATACTCCCAGGAGGCATATGATGAAATCTAGCTTGTAAAGTTTATAATGTCCATGGGCCATGAGAGGGTGGTGCTGGTGGCTATAGTTGGAATTGTAATGCAGCTGATGCTTGGTAGGGTGATAGCATGTCTTTCATAGGTTGAATTCCTGATTTCTGTGTTCATGTAAATAAACTCTTGAGTCTAGCCTGTAACTGTCGGGTCGCATTGGTGGAATATAAGAATATTATACCCTTTTTTTCCTATTTTATTCTGAATGTAAAAGTGAACAAATTTCTATCTATCAGACCAAAGCTATGGTACTTGGTGACAAGATGCTATAGAATTCTGACTTCTATTTATAACAAAGTTGTAATTGTATCACGGTTGAGCTTCTGGATTTACTTAATTCTTTTTCATAGTGTTGGTTATTGCCTCTTTCTGGCCATTGCTTATTACCATCATTTGATCAGTTCCAGGTTTTTCTTCTGGGTGTACTGAGATGCAAACTTCTGGGGATCGGATTGGGAATTTTGCGGAAGTAATCAAAGAGTATGACAACACTTTCTGCATGGTTGTATGGCAGCTAGTTTTTCTCCGTGCAGTTCTTTTTTGNATATTCTGGTATTATGACAAAATATATGTTATTATCCTTAGTCAATCATTCATTGGACTTTATGAAGCAATTTATTTTATGTGGTCTATGATTTTAAATGTTTTATAGGTTACTTTGGACGGTCGGAGAACCTCATGATTAGTCAGACAGTAGGTCTCCGATCAAGTTTGCCCTCAGTAAGTATTTACATTGCTCTTCTAGATTGAGGGTGTTTTAAACACCATAATGAAGTAAATGCATATTCAATTGGATAAAAGTGTAATGAAGTATGTACAAGCCTCCACCCTTTTGATCAGAATCACTAGAAAAGATACAAAAATTACTGTCATCATTACTAAATAAGGATTTATAATAGCATAAAAAATAACTTAAAAGAGTTATGATGACAAAATATTGAACTCATGACTGTGTTTATCATTAAAGGGCAACCACGCTTGTTGACAAGTGATGTGGAACAACCTGAGAAATTGGATAAATTTTAATTTGAGTGGTGAAAATCTGTTGTATTATTTTGTTGAATAAGTTGAATCCAGGTGGATGGGTAAAGTTATTCTATGTAATAATATTAGTGGAGAAGGCAGTGTCAGTGGCAGCAACAGAGATGATGATATTGGGTGAAGATTTGCAGTTGAAAGAACAGTGAGTCTGTGGATTAGTAGGTGGCTTCATTTCTGATGGTAGTTGTGGAGGCAATTGGTGAAGCAGATTTTAGATAATTTCTTCAAGGATCTTATGCTGGGGGATCTGTAATACTCCCAGGAGGCATATGATGAAATCTAGCTTGTAAAGTTTATAATGTCCATGGGCCATGAGAGGGTGGTGCTGGTGGCTATAGTTGGAATTGTAATGCAGCTGATGCTTGGTAGGGTGATAGCATATCTTTCATAGGTTGAATTCCTGATTTCTGTGTTCATGTAAATAAACTCTTGAGTCTAGCCTGTAACTGTCGGGTCGCATTGGTGGAATATAAGAATATTATACCCTTTTTTTCCTATTTTATTCTGAATGTAAAAGTGAACAAATTTCTATCTATCAGACCAAAGCTATGGTACTTGGTGACAAGATGCTATAGAATTCTGACTTCTATTTATAACAAAGTTGTAATTGTATCACGGTTGAGCTTCTGGATTTACTTAATTCTTTTTCATAGTGTTGGTTATTGCCTCTTTCTGGCCATTGCTTATTACCATCATTTGATCAGTTCCAGGTTTTTCTTCTGGGTGTACTGAGATGCAAACTTCTGGGGATCGGATTGGGAATTTTGCGGAAGTAATCAAAGAGTATGACAACACTTTCTGCATGGTTGTATGGCAGCTAGTTTTTCTCCGTGCAGTTCTTTTTTGTGTTCATAAATCATAGATTTACCATGCACTCTTTGATACGAAAGTAGTCTAGTTGTTCTTTCTAATTGCCTAATGAAATTATTTTATTGTTTACCGTTTGGTTGCTTATGTGTGCATATATATATATATATATGTTTTTCTGAACGCATAGTCAATTTATCTTACTGACGCCTTTCTGATGTATAGCTGATGCATAAAATCTACTTCTTCCGAGTAAACATCCGAATTAAAATAGAATTTAACAGGGCTTATCTTGGGGTAAAGCTTTTTGTGTTTGTATCATTCCAGAATCCAGCTTGATGCAGCTTGCAACTTGCTGATTGATGATAATTTTTAACAAGTTGCAGTAAAAATTACTGGGCAGTGTTTTCATGCTTTACAAATCGGGTCTGACTCACATTGAGTTAAAATAGTGACACAGCGTTGTAACAGTATGTGACAAGTTGGGTGGAAGCTGGTATATGCTATCTGTGTCTACCTACTCTCAAGTCTCAACAAATTTAAAAAATAAGATAACGATAAAAATAAAACTTATCCAGTCTAAATGGTTAGAATGTATGAGAAATAATGTGAATAAATATACAGTCTTATGTTCATTCTCTATATGAATATCAACATTTAAATGGTCTGGACAGCTCCATAATAAACACAAACATAGACGTCATAGCTTGCCGACAATATAAAGCTGTAAGTTAAATTCAAAGAAGATCCATGTTTTCCAGATGTCAATCTAAACAGGTCCCACCTTTATTAGATAATCTGACAGATATATACATGTCTGATGACATGTCCTCCAATGTGAATTTAGAGATACACGATGAAAGTCAAAAGTAAGACAAATTTTCCACAACATATTAATTATTAGGTGAATGAATGTTTACACTTTACATATCTATTGGATCTCTGAGTCACTGTAGATCAGATGGCATCTTTCTTCCACAAAACGGCAATTTATATGAGACGAATACTACCAAACATCTGAACTTTGAATTTGTCTATTAAGCTTTATTGTTCTTCTTCTTCTTATTATTATTAATTTATTATTATTGGAAAAGAACCATTCTGATAGTCTCATCTTCAAAAAGGTTGAAGGTTTTCTTATAGTTTTCAAATAGATTTTGGGCTTCTTTTTTTGTTTTTTTTTTTCAATCTTCTCCAGTTTTCCACAAAACAGACAAGAGGGTGCCTCCATTGAAGATAAGCAAGTTCAATCAGTCAAAATGATGATGCCATTTGATGTTGGGGACGTTTACGTCATCTTATGAACCTACTAGAAATATTAGATTATTGAATATGTAAATATATGAGCTGCCATTGTCTCGATCTAGTTATTGAGTAATACAAACAATAAAATTATAAAGATAAGCAAGAAATATAACGTTATTCTAACAACAATTTGATAGAATCACTTTTAAAATGTTCCCTTTGTTAATTGTCATTTACGCAACCACTTTATATACATGATATGGCAATAGGCCATTCCCCAACAGCCGAAAACCTTTTCAGCTTGACTGAGTGGATGTTTGGAGTAAGATACTTTCCATCACGCATATTTAATTGCACTAGAATCTCCTTTGCCCCTAACCTAATTAATGGCCCTGATTTGGCTTTTGTTACAAAGGTTAATGGTTGTTTTCTGAGTTAATGACTTTTTCCCACCCAACTACTGGCTAAACGATACTTTTTCACCAATAGACTTTTAAAATATCATTTTATTATCCAAATTTATATTCTAACAACGAACAGAGAGTAAATTGGTTTAGGCTATTAGAGCTTTTGGAGGGAGGAGACTGATGAGTTTTTTAGTGGTGGAATGTTAGATTTTAGTGGTTGGAATTGATCAGAATTTGACTTAGGAGAGGCGGCTGCGTAAAACTTAATCACCCGATTACTGACGATTGATGGGTGTAGGGTTTAAGGGATTTTGGTGAGCGATAATTGGGAAAAAGTGTGATAGTGTGGGATCACAACAATGTCATAATCAGAAAAAAAAATATAAATTTGGATAATAAAGTGGTATTTTAAAAGTTTGTGGGTGAAAAGATGTCATTAAGTTGTTTACTCTTGTTTTCTTTGGATCATCTATCTATATATATATATAATTCATTTTCCTTTTGACACAATCCATCTCTTGTTTAGAACAATCCATGAGACTATCATAATGAAGGTAAAATCATCACAGTAAATATCACAGTTTATTTATTTTGGTAACAGTGTAATATACATATTTACAGGTTTCATGTTTAATCACATTCTGCATATCTTACACATGCTCCTTCATGAATCCAAAGACAGAATCCAACAACTCCATCATGCAATCCATGGCTTTCAATATTTACACCATATGATATGACAGCATAAGTAACACAATTTACACGTTGTTATACAGAAGATCGTGTGTGGAGCCTTCTAGCTAGTGTTAATTTGGCAGTGTAGCTGATTCTATGTATAGAAGCTTCTCAGCAATTGACTCCTCTCTCCATTTGCTATTGACTTTGGCTATGAATTCTTCTATTTTCCTTTCTAAATCGTTATCTATCTCATCTTCACTCTCAACATCTTCTGTACCAAGATCATCATCATTATCTTCATCATAACCATCATAACCATGACACTCATCATCATCATCATCATCATCATAGCTATCATCATAATATGTTTCATGAACTAGAGGAAAAGGATTAAAGAACCAATCAAAATCCATTGCAGATGGCTTTGAACTCCCAAGAAAGATGGTGATAATGATAACATTAAACATCACAAACACAGCGTCCCTTTTAGATTTTGCCACAAAGATGAACTCATAGGTATAGAANACACCATATGATATGACAGCATAAGTAACACAATTTACACGTTGTTATACAGAAGATCGTGTGTGGAGCCTTGTAGCTAGTGTTAATTTGGCAGTGTAGCTGATTCTATGTATAGAAGCTTCTCAGCAATTGACTCCTCTCTCCATTTGATATTGACTTTGGCTATGAATTCTTCTATTTTCCTTTCTAAATCGTTATCTATCTCATCTTCACTCTCAACATCTTCTGTACCAAGATCATCATCATTATCTTCATCATAACCATCATAACCATGACACTCATCATCATCATCATCATCATCATAGCTATCATCATAATATGTTTCATGAACTAGAGGAAAAGGATTAAAGAACCAATCAAAATCCATTGCAGATGGCTTTGAACTCCCAAGAAAGATGGTGATAATGATAACATTAAACATCACAAACACAGCGTCCCTTTTAGATTTTGCCACAAAGATGAACTCATAGGTATAGAAAAGAATTGGATGCTTAGACAAGAATATGAACAGGAGCAAAGGGATACTTAGAAAACAAATATACACAAGTTTTGGTATTGCAAGCTTCTTCATGTTCATCCCCAAATGCAGCTAGCTTCTGTTATTGGGGGAGTAGCCAGGATCACTTAATTTTTGGTGGCGACTTATATAGCCACTTAATGAAGTTACTCATTAAACAAATAACAAAAGTAGACCAAGAAAGTGAATAGGAATTCTACTTCTCTAAGCAAGGAGGATTAATTTAATTGCATAAACAATGTTTTTATTCAAATGGCAGGAAATTCCACAGATTTTGACAGCTGGGGACGAATATATACTCACAAGAGAGGCAGGTTCAGAGTCCGTGACAGAAAAGATATCCAACTATTAGTAAATTAAATGTTGACTTGAAAAGTTTTAAGTCTTTCTTATTTTACATGTCACTTGGTCGGTGGAATTTTGAACCTGAACACCAATTGAATAATTGAAAGTGGGCGATCTATCTTTTTCTTATGTGTTTTTTTAAATCATATTAGGATGTCCAAATCAGTACACCTCATCTAATCTTTTTAAGCCTTAAAATTATTAATCAGAATAAAAATCCTAGTAATCATCCCTATTAGTATATAAGAGAATTTAAACTCAAAAACTTATAAAACCTCTTTTTTGCTTTTTTACCCTAATAATCACCCCTATTAGTATATGAGAGAATTTAAACTCAAAAACTTATAAAACCTCTTTCTTTTTTTGCTTTTCTACCGTAAGATCAGCCAATGTAGTTTTTTCTTCGTAAGTTCCATGAGGATGAGACCGATCTTAGAGAGTTATATATATGTGTGCGAGGCCATATTCCAAGTTCTTGATTATTTATGGAATCAGTTAGCAAATAAATCAGACGATCAGCGAAAATAAGCTATACAAACGGAGTAATTAGAGTTTAGATGATTAAGTTGGGTACCAATAAATTTGTCAGTCATTAAACAACAGACTAGGATAACAGCCTCCACTGAATTAGCCTAGAAATCAGATGTAATGCCTGATCCCACCTAAGATTAACAAAAGATTAAAAAATAATAATAATAGTAATAATAATTGTCTTGTTTGGAAAGAAAAGCATTTAACCTAAATGGAAATCCTGTAAACCTACGTCATCCTAAAATTACATAGATAATTCAGATTAAGAACAAATCTCAACTCTTCCAATGAGTAGTATAATACCAATATCAGAGGGATCAATAGTCAGCGAGAACTTGAGATCTTGATTTGGCATTTGTCATGTTAACTTGCAGGAAGAGAGATGTTGATGTCGGTCGTCGAATTTCTAGGTTCCTGCATGGTGCTCCAGTTTTCTCTTCCGAAGGCAGGTGAAGGAGCAAGGCTTGGCTTCAAGGCGCTTGGATTTTGCTGCCCATTTCTATCCATGCTCTCGTTTTCGGCATTTGAAGTAGGTACGACAGTAGAAATGCTAGGAGGTAGTGCGACTGTAGCCGGCACAGACTCTGCCTTCTGTTTCTTGGGTTTCTGTTCTTGATGATTGGCTGGTAGGAAACTGCCTACCACAACCTGACAAGTCCAAAAGAAAAAAAAAAAAAAATTCTCAAGACAGGTTAGGAAAATATTCCAGGCCATGATTTTCGGATCTACAAATATTTCGGTCAAAGTGCTTGGGAAAAACAACAAACTATCAGGCAATTAGAGGAGCATAGGGTTAATTTTGGTTCTTTGTTCTTCATACTCAAGAGAAGGTGCCCTCTGGTTAGTTTTGCGGAATTCCTTTAGGTTTTGTTGCTATCTCAAATAGGTCATATGTTATTTTGACAATAGGCCTACACACTGATCTTTCTATTCCTAGTCCTAAATATTGAGAATAAAACTGGAAACGAAAAAGATTTACCTGCACAGGACTAGCTGCTACCAGAAGTCCAGCAACTCCTCCTCCTACAACCCGACCATCTGGACTCGCCAAAGAGACACTCATGCCACCTGATCTGCTTCTTGTCCCTTGACTCTCAGTAGGCATAAATGATCCAGACAAGGAAAGAATTTCAAAGCGACCCTATCAAAATTTGAAAGAGCAAAGAAAAGTTTTCTTCAAAATGAGAGTAGAAACTTGGAAGACTACCAAACCCTTATGCAGCCAAGAAGTAATTACATTTCCTACTCTAAATTAAAAATTTCAGAGATCCAAAGCTACACACTAATATTCACAGACAAAAAATTAACACAACGGGAATAGACAAGTAAAGGGATAAGAAGAGAGCAAGGAGCCAAGGAGCACCTTTCTCTAACAATTTCATAATAAAATATTTTCAAAGTGGAATACAAAATGCCAGACCTCATATGTCAGTGTGCCCCCGGAAGAATCAGGTTGACGAAGTGTAACATTTGAAATTACTCCATTAGCAGATAGGATGCAAATTGCTCGAGGTCCTTGTTGGGAAAATGATATAACCTTCATTGTAACATCCTTCAACAACCAAAGAAAACCACCAATGAAGTGAAATATAACATAGACTTTCACTATTTCTTTTTTAAATTAAGAAACATCATCCTCACCACTGAAAATGAGAAGCGAAAAGTTACACTCATTTTATATAAGGTAAACCACAAATATTACAATTGACCATATCTTTAACAAAATTAAGGTCACTCATTAAAGAAGATATATGTTATAAACAATATACAAGTGCAATTTCCATTTACATTATAGTTGAGGGCAAAAGCAAGGACTTCATAGTCACAAAAAATAGTGGACCCCACTTGCTTAAGGCTTGGACAATATTAATGAATCAGAAAGTGAAATTCAATCTTTATGGAATTAATGAAATAAGTTTTTTCTTCTATAACTAAACATACCTCGCCAGCATTGACAGTGATGACATGGGGCGTAAAATTTGTACCAACAGAACAAGCAGATGACTCACCTATAAAATGACAAACAAGGAACAGGTGAATCTAAAAAGTTTTGGCATTTTAAGCAAAATATATAATCTGCTACTGCAGACACTTTTAGTCCTGTTATAGGATTGTGAAATTAATTTCTCAATCTGTTGAAGCCAGGTTTTTTATACTAGTAGGAATAAGTAGACTGATTATATCTACAAAACTTCAAGGAGAAAAATGGCTAACCTGCAATGACAATCTTCATATTGAAAAAAATGATACATTATAACACAGTTTTTTTCTTTGGGTGTGTGTGCATGGGTGTGGGGAGAAGAGGGCAGGTGGTGTAACAAATGTTACCCATGCCACCATACAAGCATCTGCCATGTTAGCATGATAGTCAGCAAATTGTAATAATGATCCCGAATAATAAAGATGAGTCCACTATATGTTAGATGATTCCACTTTTCATTCCACTACTACATTCAACCATGAGAAAGCATAGCTATATGGTCTCCATGAAAAATTAGCCCCACATTGGATGTGTTAGAAGGTGGATCCGAAGCATAAAGTTCTAAAACTGCCGAATCAAAATTGATTTCTTAACTTCAAACTTCTGTTAATGAAAACAAGGCCTGACCAGGGTTATGACTATTCTTTTGGGGTTGGTATATAGGCTTAATAAATTTTCACAGCAGAACCTTGCCTTCTATATTAGCAAAGCAACAGAATGATGAAATTTACAAGTGTCCAATTAGTCCAGATGCAGAGAAGATTAAACCTAAATTATACTCAACAGAGGTACAAATATACAAAAAAGCATTTAACAACTCAAATTAAACACCAAAAGGCGAACAGTTGCCTCAACTGGACCACAAATATCCTAAGAGATCAGGAATAAAAACAACATATTTATCTTCAGCTTTTAAAGCAATTTCAAATAACTAAAACGCAATACCAATTAAGTATTTCTCCAGTTTCTGTTTTTAAGAGCTTCTAGTAATATCCTTTGAATAAAGGCAAAAAGTCAACAAGGTAACAAATCTTAGCCACATGAGAAATATTCCTCGCCCCCAAACCAAACCCTGAATAGCCCACCCTTTAAGTCTATAGAATCAGCATTATACTTCCAAATTTATACAAGAGCATCTCATAACAAGGCCCCACATAAACTTTAACCAGTATTATCATCAATGAAAGATTTCATGAAAGGAATCTTGTAAAAGGGAATTTTGAATTTTCAAAACAGGCTAAAGAGTAGTCCCAAAACCCAAGTTGGAAGGTAGTTCCACACTTCCACTATCAAATACAGAAATAAACTAAAAAAATATTCACAAGAATTATCAATGATCGATTCAATAAACTCAACATAAGCTCAAACCAAACACCATGCTACTAATCAAACAAGAGAAACAGCTTGAAATTAACTTATTACCAAAATTGTCCGTCCCCATTCTCTTGAGCTGCTTGCTTTCAAAACTACTGAACTTCCCTCTTCCTCGCTTCCCAGAGGAGAAGTCACCAGAAGGTGGAGCCGAAGATGAAATAGGCATTGGTGACAATGCCATAGCAACACTCCCATCTGGTCCATATTTCCTTGGTCTACCTCTCTTCTTCTTTTCTGTGGGTCCAGTCAATCCTACACTAACTGGGGACGCAGCCACTGCAGGGGACCCATCAATTTGGCTCGGATTTTCAGTTCTTGGAGCCATATGGTAGGCTGATGGAGCTTCAGCTCCTATCACTGTAACTCCTGAGTTCATTCCTTCTCTTGCTTCCATGCATAGACCAAATATCACTCAAACCGTCCACTATCGACAAAACTAGATAGACCTACCAGCATCTACAGCACAGACCTGCATAGACTTCACAAGATATTAACTAAATTAATTCATATTCTACCCGATTATTTTAGGGGAAAAGAAAACGCAACATTTCTTCAACCTTTAAAACGTGCTTCTCAAGCCAGGTTTCTCTCAGAATACTCGAAGAACAAAAAGCAATTAAAAAAATTATACACAAACAAAAAATATAAACTTAAAAGTACATCAATCTGAGCAATTTAAATAAGCATAAAAATCAATATCTTAAAATTGTAGCCAAACTAAAAATTAAAAAAAGTCGGAACAAATCTATTTTCAGCTTACTATTTCATAAAAATCATTTAAAGATCAGACAACGTTAACCAAAAGTTATCAGAAGTTAGAGAATAATTTTAGAAAACAAAAAAAGAAACCACAACATGGCACCAGAACAGTTACTGTAAGCTCAATATTGTGTTAAAAACTTCAAAGATCAAAACAAATGACTAAATCAACACTCCATGAATCACAATCAAACAAAGCAAAGCTCGAACTCACCATTTTCCTGAACTTAAAATGTTCAAAATCAGTGACTTAAACTACTGCTAAATAAAGAAAAAAAAAATTACAACAAAAAGTCTTTAAGTTTCAAAGATCATGACCTGTAATATTGATTCTGACACTCCAAAAAGCTCTTCTTTAACTTTAAACTGAAACTGTCTGTTTTAGACCTTTTCACATTTGCAGAGCTCAAACAGTGCTTTAGAAGTTTCTTCGTAGTGAAATTTCAAAAAATCACAGTACGGTTACTAAGAAGAAAAAACTTTTTGTTTGTTTCCTGAGAAAACAGTTTCTCGAGGAAACGAAAACCGGTTATTTTTTCTACTTTTCAGTTGTCGGAAAACCGCAAGCCGGTTTTCCCTTTATCTGTGTCTGAACAGAGTCTGCTTGTGAGAAATGAAAATAATAAATACAATATACCTAAAAACTAAAATAGAGAAAAAAAAAATTAAAAACATTTAACAATTCGGAAATAATTATTAATTAATTGCTAAACCCGATAAATACAATTTGGTTAAGAGAAATTTCACGTCCGTGAGGGAAATTGAATTTTGAAAATTACATAAATGGATAATTTGGTAATTTGTTAGAAAAGTTATGGGAAATAATGAAAAGAAGTAGTGACTTTTTTTAATTTTGCTTCCTGTTTTTTCATTTAAAGCTGCAAAGGTAGTGTCGTTGGGCCGACCTTTTTGTTGCCGCTGACCTGCTTTTTTGTCTTTTTCCAGCAAATAAAAGATTGCATCCCAACTAATACCCCTTTACTTGTTTCTAAATTACCAAAATTTGCCACTGAAGAATCATCTGATGGGTGAGATTTTAATTGGCGTAAACTGCCAATTGTCATGCGTCATACTGTATTCATGGTGATGAACCCTCTTTAAAAAATTATTATTATTTTTTTTAATTTGTGTACGTGTTTATCACAAGCGTTTAAAAACTATTGAGTTTTAATTTTAGTTGTGTGGATCATTTTCATTTATACAAGTTTGACAGCAACAACTTATTAATTATGATCTCATAGATTAGAAATGGAGTTAATGGTATGATTAATGGCCTTGTTATTTTTATATATTTATTTTTGGCATGGCCTGACTGTCAATTTTATTCCGTGCGACGCGTATGTAGACATCGACATAGGGGACAATTCAATCAGTCAGCAAAGCAAAAATCTGATTGGGTGATGAAATGAGGTGAGGTCCATCAAATAAAAGAAACTGTGAGAAGGAAGAAAAAGTCAACAAAATCCTGACCTGGGTTGGTGAATAAGTTGTTGCTTGTCTACACTTGTCCGAGGTAGCTTATCTCTCTCAGGCACCCTACGTTATTGTAGTGCACAATAGCACATGCCCGTTGGATTGAAAAATTGAATTGTTTATTGGGCCTGGCCTTTATTTTCAACATTTGATTAATATAAAAATAATAGCCGATAAGCGTCTTATTCATATGGAACCACTCCTCCAGCACACTGGTCAAAGAAGAAATCATATGGAATGCACATGCCTCGCTAATTTCAATGTGCTTTATTAGCTTTCATTATTTATTATTTTAAATTGAATATAATCAAGTATGAGACAAACATAGACAAAATTCCCAATTATAAGGTTTGATAAAATGAAACCAAGCCAACATGTATAATTTCCTTCAGTAGGAAATGTTAACTTTCGGAACAACATAGAATCAATCTTTTCACTGTTCAAGCATCACGGCACTAAATAAGTTGTGCTTTAGTAGATTAGAAAATTAAAAGCCAATAAGAATTGACGACTTTCTTCACAACACAATAAGATTCAAAAGAAAGCTGGTTTAATTAATGGCAAAGAAAACCAGCTCTCACCTCTTCGAACGAGTATTCAACATTTTCTACCATCTTTTTGACTGCTTTAGCACCAAAAGAAACAGAAGGTGTGGCTGGTGTCATGGCCATAAGCATAGGAATAGTTACTGTTGAAGGAGTTTTTGGCTCCGGAATTGGGATAGTCCTTGGTGTTTTGTTCTCTTCGTTGCCAACGAAAGTTGACTTGGAAGGTGTCACCACCGCAGTATTGCTACCAGCAAGTGGTTTTTGTAGTGTCTCGTTCTGTGTTCGTTTCTGATCTTCCAAGAAATTTGCGATGTTGGCCTTAGAGGAAATAGCCAAAGAGATAGGAGAGAGGGGCTTTCGGACCAACTGTGACTCAACTTCACGTGCCTTTGCAGCACCCGAGGGGCGCTTCTTTACTAAATCACCAGCAATCTCGGAAGTTCTCCTACCTGTAAAGTGTAAAAAAGTCTTAAGAATATGCATACAATAATGTTCCTACCAGCCCGGTTTTCCAGTCCCTTGACTGAATGGGTTCAATATAATAAAAAGTGAATCTCATTTTGAAAAGAAACTCTCATTAAACTATGTCAACTGTATAGTGCACGACTATAATTCTTGTCAGTGACAAAAGTATGTAGTCTAAAGATGTGACAAGTGTATCCTTATAAAGAGATAACATATGATAAAATTGAATATATACCAGAACAGGTTGCAAAACTTCCAGATTGCTGGTGATTTATTTGGGGACTGTTCCTATTCAAACACTCAAACTTCTTATTTGAATGCACACGAACAGAAGCCTTTTCAGATTTTAAGTTGTGAAGCATCTCCCCACCAAGGGAGAGTTTCCTATTACTTGTTGCTCCTGATAAAGTTCTGGAAGCCTTCTTTCCACTCTTTGATGGACTGAGTTTAGACCCATAAATTGCTTCCTTCTCTGTTATCGCTTGTCCCTTAAGTCTCTTTTGATCCTAAAATATAAAAATAAGTCAAACAAGGTTCATAAAGAGAAGCACGCTCATAAAGAGAAACATGTTCATAAAGAAATCTCCCAGTCCATACTCTCTGTCTTTGCCTTTCCTGCTCCTTCTCTTGCCTCAGGTCAGTGTACTCCTCAAGCATAGAAAGAAGTCGTACCTAGATAGCAATAGTCATAAAACAGATACATGAAAAAATAAAAAATAAAACAGTTAAGATGACATCCAGCTCAAGCGAATAATATGACTGAGTGCCATTATACCTAGAATAGATTTGACCAAGTCAAATTTTGACATTATGTAAGTTTTGTCCAATCAAATTTTCATAAATCATCAAAGTGCTTACACCATCATATAAGAATTCAGCGCCTCTTTCCTTCTCCCAAGCTGTGATTTTTGAAGTCAATGATTCCACCATCGCTGCTCCGATACCAAAAAAAAATAGATAAATAAATAAATTACCGGTGACAGATATCAAAAAATTATTTTGGGCTAGTATTTTAAACTAAACATGATCTACCAATCTATGTTAACCAACTTCACTATAGAATTAGTGTATGCTTACACTAGAACTTGCCACTAAAAAGATTGTATATTAGTAACAAATAATAAATTTGTGGGACAATTAGAACCATTGGTCCAAATCCTATCTCATTGGTGACCAATAAGGAATAAAAGCAATATCATTACCAGGGATTTTGTTAACCAGTGCACGAGCTTTCTCAGCACGTTTCAAGGTAAGATGTGAACCTCTTCCGGCATTGTAACGATTATCATCCTAAAATTTCCAACCATTTATAAATAGCTATTGAAACAAGGGGTAAGAAAAAGAACTTTATAGTTTGCACTAAGACAAACCAAAGAAAAAAAAAAAATCTACCCTGTTGTACTCTTCCAACCAGCATTCTTCTTCACGCGCAGCAAACCACTTCTCAACCTTCTCTAGTATTTCTTTCCGGCTAAAAGCTTCCGCTTTAACTTTGTCAATTTGGAGTTCAAGTTGTTCCAACAGGTAAACTGGGTCCACAGAGCCTATACAATGATGGTAACACAGATGAGAGGATAATAATCCAGCTATACAATAAACCATGTAAAATGGATTGTAGTTTGAAGCGAAGAATCATGTGATGCATCAGGACGGAATTTCAAGTTGATTGCTCAGTACACTCATTAAAATCAAAGCTTGAATTCTTGAAAAGAGAAAAATCTATTAAAATACGAAGTACTTCCCCTCACACATTCTAACACCATATTACTCACAATAAATTTTCACTAGCGTAGCAGTTATTACCTGACTCTATAGCTTTAATTGAGTAATCATCAAGCACTTCCGTGGTCATGTGCATCTTCTTGCATATCTCCTCTAGTTCAAACCTCCTTTTTAAAACAAGCTCTTTCATTTTACTCGATTTGAGCTGCTCCAGCCTAGATACTTCGCCCTCAACCTTCAAAAGAAAGGCCCACATAGATATAGTTATAAACATTTTGTTCCCCAGACAAACAAGAAAGTATGCAGAAAAAAAAATTAACTCATCATAATTTCACCATATTAAAAGCTCTGAGTTCAAGATAACTCATACATATTTAATGTTCTTCACGGAAAGCATGTTAGGCTCAGTAATTTCATGTTCTGAAGCAGCAATATTTTTGGTGACATGTTGAAACATCTGTTGCTCCCCTACAGGTGTATCCATCAAACTCCATAACTCCAACAAGGATGTTGCAAGATCTTGAAGCTGGAATAAGAATAGCTCAATGGGTTAGAACTTAAAAGGACAAGCAGAAGAAATGATTTGGAAACAAGACATGAAACAATAACCATATTTACACAAGTACAAACCTTCTGTGCTCTCTGTATCTTGACCTCTTGAAAACTTCGAATTTTCATTGTCAGCTTCTCAATCGTAGAGTTAGTTACATCTTTTGTTGCGTTGGAATCATCTAACGTGGGGTGAATTTTACAAATGGTGTCCTTGAAATCTACACCAAGTACCAAACATAAAGAATTTAAATTGCTGAGGAGGTCCGCTACCTTCTTCAAACGGTTTCTCTGTAGGTAATGTGTAGCAAGAATCAAAGTACGTCATTGTGATATTGCGGTTCAAGTTTGCAGGAGAAAAAAAATCTAGATTACATGCAATTTCTCATCTATCTTAACATAAACATGATGGCTAAAAGTAACTACAATGTAGCATTCATTTCCAAATCTAACAGCAGGAATAGTGTCATACATGTAAACAAAGGAAAATAAAAATTAGGACATCAAACCTTTTCAATTTGAAGATCAACTAACTGCATGTGTAATCCTTCTAGTCTTTTCACAGATAAATCAGTCTCATCCATAACAATCTTATACATATTATCTTGTGTATAAATCTGGTTTGATATTTCCTGTAACTTATTTAACACTTCAGCAAATTGACTCTTTCTCTCTGTCTTCCTCTTGCGCACATCCTCCAATTGTGGAATAATGATTTTAAGTTTTTCCTTCAAATTTCCACCAGCCTTTCGATCACACTGAAGTCCTCAACCAAAACATACAAATTATCAACCACATAAAAATTAAACTATATTAACTAAGAAGTAAGTTAAAACATCAGTCTTGTTTCTTCAATCCAAAAGGAACTTACATTCACAGGTTGCTCTCCCAGTGAAGAACATATATCAGCAATTTCAGATTCAGAAAGAGCAATTGCTCTCTGAAGTTGAGCTCTAGAAGTTTTTGCCTCGTCTATTTTTCTCCCATATACTGCCAAGCACTCATGTTCAATCTCCATTAATGTCTGATCCCTTTCAACATCAGGCTCTCCAACTTCATCCCATATTTTCTAATTTCAAAAATAATCAACAGAAAACACTGCCGACATTACTATCCACTATACCTTACTTATAACAAGCCCCAGAAATCCATTCAACAAAGGGAAAAAAAAAATTTAATATTTTATGTAGAGTGTAAGCTTTTGAAAAAAAACCTGAAGTTCATATAGCAGAGATCCACAGGTCGTTTCGGTTCCCACAAACTGATTGACATGATGATTCGGCATGGTGAAGTAACAATCACTGCAAGGGGAAAAAATTCCCATAAATATAATTCTACCACAAACTAATTAACATCTTTTATTATTTCAGGAATGAAAGAATAATAAGAACAAAATGTTGAAAAACTTTACGATATAGCTTAATTCGGATGATTATGCCTAATTCTACGGTATCAACAAAACCCTACATTATGGTTTTGCAGTCAAGAATTTCAAATTCTGGTTTAGAAAATTACTCCCACTTTACTTAGAATTTTATTCAAAGTTTAACAGTGAATGAACTCAACTCATCAGATTAAAGATTTTACAAGGTACACTACTAATAATCAGTAAATATACATAATTTGGAAAAAAAAATGATTACTATAAAACTCTGGCTCCAAAATTTTTGCACTCACCGTAAATGGCAGAAGATGCACCGTTAAATGCCTAATTGAGAGCGGGAGATTCGTTTTCGGTGAGTAATCGATGGATTTTGAAAATGGAGTAAGAGAGCGGAGAGAGCCTTTACTAGCATACGCTGGAGTCCTTTGAAATTAAAGTATACAAAAGTAACGCTTGAATTTGGTGGGAGGGAAATGGAAATGAGAGGGGAATGTGAGCGTTAGGGACCGTTATATTGGGGAATGCAAATGTGGAGCCTGATCTTGACGCGTCATCACGCGTCCGGTAAATAAATTTTGAATTTCAAAACGTCGATTTAACCGTGTGAATGCATTACCCTGCCTATTTTAGATTCAGGGTGACGCTGGCTGAATCCACATGAAATGATTTCTATGGATTATAAAATCGTAATTGTGGGATATTACCGTTAAATTTAATATTAGAAGTTAAAACCATCTACTTAAGGGTTGTTTTTTTTTTTTTTTTTTTTTTTTAACCAGGCCGTTCAGACGACCTTGCACTCGTCTCGATTAATCTACACGATGTAATAAACACCTTAAAAATATTTCAAGTAAGTTACAATTGTAGTTGGTGGTCCTAGTGTGGTTTTAACCCAAGAAGTTAATGAATGGAGTAAATCTTTTTTACCACCAGACTAACCCTTTGGGGTTATCATCGTCGAGTTGTCCAGATCAGCTAGCACGTACCTCAACTAATCCCTACGGTCCCTTACACCTACAAGTCCAATGGGCCAAATAAATCATAAATTTGATAAGCGGTTACTTTGTGTCACTCAAACACAAGACCTTTAAGTAACCTACGATCTTGCCATTTGGCACGAGATATAATTTTATTTTTATTTTTTTTTTGGTAAAAAAATGTAAAGATGAATAACCCCAAGGAGTTGTTGCTCTGGCGGTCAAGGAGATTTGTTTCCTTCCTTCAGTTAATGGGTTCAAACCTTGGAGTCACTACCACATTATGACTTATCTGGTCCTTTGGATTTGTAGGTTATTCAATAGACCCCAAAGATTAGTTGAAATACGCACAAACTGGCTCAAACACCTCGGTTACCAAAAAAAAATAAAAAAATAGATAAATGAATATAAGAAATTAATGTGTCTATAAAATCTTGATAGCTCTAATTCTAGAAAACTATTGTAAACCTTGGGGTCACCTACTATATTATGGTTTATCTGATCATTTGGAATTGTAGGATATTTAATAGATCTCGGGAATTAGTTGAAATACGAGCAAGCTAACTTAAACACTCTAGTTACCAAATAAAAAAAGATGAATGAATAGAAGAAATTAATTTATTAAATATTTAACAAATTTATGACACATCAACTATTGGGCTGTGCATATGACCTTCATGTCTATAAAATCTTGGTAGCTCTAATTCTAAAAAACTGTTGTAAATAATCGACCGATTTAAGATATATAATTTGAGGTAACATTACAGCAATTAATGTGTAAAATCTAATTATTCAAAATTTCAATTTTTTAACGTATTGTATATATTCAAATATAATTATACTTATCAAATTCTCATGTCAATATATTCATTACCAAATGCCATACTACGCTGTGTAGTGTGTACCATATATATTGACATTTACCATCATTTATTTATCTTTTGTTTTAGAATGGTATAAGTAAATACAAATAACCCCACCTTAAAAAAACCACAATTCAAAAGCAAAGGCATGAAAAAGAGAATGAGTAGTAGCTGCCTGCTAGCAAAAAAGACAAGTCAAATGATAAAATTCATCTTTGACTGCACAGATTTTCATAAATTACTGTTTAATTTATTTAAATACAGTTATAATCACACACACACACAACCTTTGGTTAGGTTAGGTATCACTGATGTATGTTTTTTTATTTTCCAAGAATATTTTTTGGTAGTAGGCCCAATAGATTCTCATGATAAGGAACATTATTATATGAGAAAAAAAAAAAAAAAGTTAGGTATAGCTAAAATTGTAACAATATTTATTATGTTAATAAATGTAAGGTCCAAAGACTTGCTTTAGTAAGTGATATATATAACAAAAATAAAATCATTTTTTAAAAATAATTATTACCTTTTATATCAGATTTGCTTCAAAATATTCCCCGCTATTTATTTGTTTTAATATTTTTACTAATTTATTTTTATAAAAAATAATTTATATTTAACATTTTAAAGAACAAAGATGATCATGTGTGGTGGGAATCATACGAACATAGGCTGAGGTCGTGATTCTAAGTTTTAACTAACTAAATCTATGATTATGGAACTACACGTAATCAGCTCCCAATATTGAAATTAGAATTTTATAAAATAAGCAACGAGACAAAGAGAAAAGGAAATAAAATAATAATAAAAAGGAAGAGAAGGAGAGAGAATATAAAAAGGCAGATGAAACTTTTCAAGTTGCGAAGAGAGAGAGAGCAGTGGAAACCCTTGAGGTCTAAAAATGTCAGAGCAACTGAAGGAAGCTTAGGAAGTTACCGAGAAACTGTTTTTTCCTCATCATCTTCTTACTATCTTCTCTCATGAATACCCACAAAACCGAAGACGATCTCTTCCACCACCACCACCACCACCACCACCATCACCATCATCATGATCTGGCCCCACATCCCTTGATCATCACCCACCAAACTGAATCTCAGCCGTCCATTCTCAACCCCAATCACGATGACCCTCCTTTCTCTTCTCTCCCTGAAATCGTTCTGTTTCGAACCTCCTCCGACGACTCTCCAAGTCACTCTTCCTCCGAAAACGACGACGCTGCAACTAATAACACCAACAGTGATGTCAATAACAACAAGATGCCAAATCAACCCCCGGCGTACATTAGCCCCGAGCCCCATATATCGACTCAATTCTATACTTTCAACGCGGAATCGCATGCGTTGATGATCCGTTGCATTTTGGAGCAACGGCTGGCTACTCCAGCCGAGATCCGAGCCGCCACGCCGAGAGCCGTTCTTAAATCGTGGCGCTCCGTGTGGAAGGACCGCAACGAGGATACTGCGTACCTGACCGCGTGGAAACGCATCCAGGACAAACTGACGGCCCATGTGGACCCCGCTTCTGGTAACGAATTTCTCTGTTTCAAGAATAATTCACAGCAATTTGTTTCTCACTTTAATCAATGGCAAGATATTGTTATGAGATTTCACGGCGATGCCGACTTAAAACACTTAGGGCTTAAAGAAACAATAGAGAGAATTAAACAAGTGTGGACCGTAGGCGCTAAATTTTACGGTATACCGGAAAGTTACATTAGGGTTTGTGTGGCTGCGTGCCCTGTGTGCTCTGCCTCATCGGGGTCCGCTTCGAGGAGTAAACGGCGTAGGTTTGAGTATACTGAGTCCTTTGATGTTCCTGCTAAAGAGGTTCCTCATAGGTTACAACAATTAGCGGCCAAACATAAGGTCGTGCTTTGTATTAGACAGAAGTATATTAGGTATAAGCCTTTTATGGCTGAAGTGAAAGATTATGCATGTCATAGGGCTGGAGAGCCCGTGGCAAAGAAGTCTAGGATGTTGAAGAGGGAACCTTATGCATCAAAGAGGTGTGGTTGTGGGTTTAGGATTAGGGCTATAGTACCTATTGCAAATTATAATGAGAAGGATAAGACATTTGTGTATCAAGAGGAGGGGATGGCAGTATTTAAATTGTATGCAGTACATTCAGGGCATGAGCCAGGGCCATTGGATGGGAATGCAAGGATTATACATCGGGTTGTTGGGACAAAAGGTGGTTATTTGATGGATCAAGAGATGGTTTATGGAGTGAGAGAGGAAAGTGAGGGATTTGGGTTGTTGGGGAAGGATGAGAGTGATTTGCCGCTTTCAGTTTTTCAGCAAGTGCAGGAATTAAGAGCTGAGGTTGGATTGCTAGAAGGTAGACTTGGGAGAATTCCACATGAGTTACTGGGTTCAGTGTCTCAGGAATTGTTTGATGTGTTGAATAAGGTTAGAAGTATTGGAGAAGAGGGTTCAAAATCAATTGGGCTGATGTCTGACAAGCCGCATTCAGATGATGTGCTGGTGGGGGAAAGTGATTTGGCACATTGGAGAACACTTGGTGATGGGAAGGATACAGAATTGATTGAGGATGATGAAGATAGTTTTGGGAGAACACTTGGGGATGTTGTTCCTTGGGACCAGATGAGAACAGAATGTAGAAGTGAAAAGGATCTGATGAGTGGGCCTTGTAAACCTGATAAGTGGTTGAAGTGCAGTGATTTTGATGATAAAAGCATTCTCGACTGTGAAGATACTAAACTGACCAAGCCCATGAGACATGATGAGTCAATAGTGGGAGATGTAAGTCTTGTCGGTCTACCAGTTGATAGTTTCTACCAGGATAATCCTAAATGGTACGATTCTCCTTGCGGATTGGACTCCAGTGCAGATTGCGGAGACAGTGGCTTTAGACATGGGGAAATTGTGTAGATTCCTGAAGAGCCTGTTAACCCTTTCTAACTTAGTCGTGAGTTTAATAGTGCCCATTCATCTATTCTTATAGCTGAAACTGGGTTGTACATTTATGTATACTCAAGATTGGATCCTCTCACATGCTTTTAGGTTTGTTGTGTGTAATTCTGTAAAGTATAGCCAATTGGGCTGCTCTGCAAATACCTTATTATAACTCTTTGTTACCATTTTCTGGACCTTCATGATTTTTAATGGGGTTCTTTCTATAATGCACATCAGTTCTTTTCTACTTGTACTGTATGTATAAGTTGTTACTATTTATCTTCTTGTTGCGGGACAAAATAAGTGGAATTCACTTTCGATCATGTGTATGCACTTTTCCTCTCTAGTCTGTTATTTTTATAATCTGTTTTCTGTAAGCATTTATACTTGTTTATATCATTGATGCACTTGAATCTCAATGTGCATATTTTCGTAAAATATTCACTGTAGTGATAGAGGAGTACAGCGGTGGGTTTCTGATGTTTTCCATTCCTTATTATTCAGTAGTCATTTAAATTGTAGGCATCTATGACTCGGGTGCTAAACATCCCATCTCCTCACTTTCTGCATTGCCATTCATAAGTTTGTTGGATCATAAAGTTGTAAACCATTCATGCCTTTCTTTTATGAGTGTCATTCATGTGGAGATATGAAAGACATGTATTTGCTAGTCTTTTATCGTCTATTTTATTGTTTTTCCCCCCATGAACCTTTCTCCTAACAATGGAGCTTGTATGCACTTGGCTTGTATTGTTAGTTCTAGGTGCCACTGTCAGGTTTATACATATGGTGCCACTGTCAGGTTTATACATATCATAAATTGTTTGTGCCTGCTTCCTCGGGCACCAAAGGTCACTATACCTAGCAATACACTGCGATATGGAGTCACCATGAAGATGGTTGAATGTTGATAAAATGAAGATTAAAAAAGGTATGCACTAGGGAATAAGTATGTACAATTAGAGTTAGCAAAAAAAATCTGTTTCACAGTATGTTTAAATATCACAAATTTAGTATGTACTTGTTAATATGCCTAATGATTCTAAATATGTTCAGGCAAATAACATACATGTTTATCTTATGAAGCAGTTTTTGAAAAACGTTTATGCAGAGTTTATTAAGCAGCCCATTTGTTTCATACTTTCATATATGAATATTTTCTGTACTAGATCTTGCACTTGCATTTATTTAATTATTTTTGTTTGAAATATTTGGCTACTTTTTCAGTTGTGTTAAATTATGCCAATTGTAGATTGCTGTTAGAATAGTTTACTTCATGTTTAATATTTACAGGCAAGTGTGGAAGTCATATATCGGAAGTCAGTAGTTGTTGATGGAGTCTGCTACCATTTGTTCTCTCACTCTATTATGCAAAATGATATTTGCAGCTTGAACAATCTGATGGTCATATTCAGGTAATAGGTAGAAATTGAACTTGTATATCTAATGTTATTGTCTAGTATTTGTAACGTCAAAAGATTTTTGATTCACTCAATTCAGTAAGCATTCTTTTACGACCTGTAATGACTAACCCGCTAGTCAAAAGTTCTTAAAAAACTTGGTAGTTTTTAGTTATCAACTATTGTTCATAAGTACAGGCATGGGTTTAATCTAGAAGAATGGGAAATTTTGGTAATTATGAATACATGGTTTTGGTTGTCACCATTTAATTAACCATTGCCAGGACAATCGAGAATAAACTATTCCGGTATTGACATGGCTATTTAGCTTCAAATTCAAGTTTGGTGGTAGGATTTGCTGTCGACCATCTTCTAGTTTATTGGGTTGCAAGTTTGTTCTTATCTGCCTTAGGTAGGCAGTCTGCTTTCAGACTGCAGTTGACAAAAGAATCGTAAATTTACTTCACTCCTTTTGGTGCTTCTTTTCTTAGACCGTTTTGTCTTTTCTGTAAATACTGACAAAAAGCCCAAGAAAGGCTGAAGCGATGCTGGAAGCCCCATGAAAAGCATCTTGTCAAAGATTCACCTATAGTTATAAACAATTTCTTGTCATTTTCCTTGTAATAAATGAAGAAACGGAAACTTCCGCTAGACATTGACTTCAACTGCAAGTGACTTAGTTCTACTTAAGCTATTAAACGATTTAAATAATCTAAAGAGGGTGATGTTATTGAAATTACCATGTAGAGTGTAACTGTGATTAGAAAAATGATGTTGCCATACTGGTTCTCCATAGGTCTGATTAAGTGTTTTGAAGATCAATGATGTTGCTCTACGAACAATAACATTTATCTTGTACAAGGTTAGACCATGCATCATCTTTTTCATGGCTAGAATTAACTTGAATCCAAAGTCTGACGGTTCCAGAGCTTTGATTGAAAAAACTTGTTTTGTAGACGCTCTTACCCGCACATTTAGGCTCCGTTTGGGTCATTATTAGATAGTTTTTAGAATAATATTTTGAGAAAAGTTTAATTAAGTAGGTATTACGATGTAAAATTTTAAAAATTAACAAAAATACTCCTTATGTTTATTTATTTACTAAACACCCTTATAATAAAATATTCAAAGTTAACAAAAACACTCCCAACCTACTCATTAAATACGGACAGCCGGCCACCACCGTCGGAGGGTGGTCGGAGTCATCGTATCTGCGCATGACTGGTTGGATCTTGTCGGTCGTGAGTTGATATGATCTTTTTCGGCTAGATCTACCGTGGATATGACTGGAAAAGGTCAGATCTACGGTTATATCTGGTCATTGACGGCTAGATCTGGTCGCATTTGGTCGTCAACGATGACCATATCTTGGCCGTCGTTGACGACTGTTACGGTCAAAGATCTGACCCTTTCTAGCCAGATCCACCCTGGATCTAGTCAAAAAAAGCTAGATCGGCGTACTACCGGCCAGATTCAGCCGATAGACGCCATTACAACAAATTCCGGCCAGTTTCTTGTAGCGGTGATCGAAATCTGGTAAATTTAGGTTGTTGGGGTTTTTTTGTTAATTTAAAAAAGAAAATGGATTGTTTAGTTAAATTAACAAATTTAAGGAGTTTAAAAGAAATTGAATAATTTAGAATTATATTTTAAAAATAGGTGAACCAAACACAAATTTTGTATTAACTTTAATGGGAAAACTATATGTACCAAACAAAGCCTTAATATGTGGATATTTTGACAATGCCAATGTAACAAAGGCTAAATGGATTGGCTTTCGTGACCATAAACTTGTACAGACCTAAAAGAATAAGTACTGGATTTTAAGTAGAGGACTTGAGGCCCTAATTGGTTTTAACATTTGCAGCGTTGCTGTAATTGAAATGACATACAAAATGGATAAAAGTAACATTGATTGGGCTAATAGCCAGGAAACACATACAGCATAATGTAATTTGGTTTAGTTAACAAAGTGAAAACTTCTAATCAGAAGTTGAAGACCGGAATCTTACACCTGGTAAATACTTAGCGATAAATTCCCGAGCTAAAGCTTGGAGTTCCCCATCGTCCAGCTCTTGATCCAATGAATTACAACAAGTAGTAAAATCTGTGAATGATTGTTGAGGCTGTAGAGGATCAAAGAGCATGGATATATTATAAGTAGACATCAAGTCCGTGGATGAGGATGAATTAAGACTTGTTGAAGATGTTGTTTGAGGTTGAGTTGGCGAAGGAATTGGAACTCGCTGCAATATTGAAAGTCGGGCCTGAGTGTAAGCTAACTCCGCCTGCAAATTTACGACCTGTAATCAAATCATAAAAACACTGCTTTTTCAGTTTTCTGGAATACAGAGGCATCGGTGTCTTTGCCTACGTCACCATTTATTTGGTCATATGATGACTCTGATGGGGGATACTAACTACTAACGCTAAGCATGTGCGCAAAAAGATCTCCCTTTTTGTCTTGTTCTAATTAGATTTGTTTTATGTTTTCTAACTTCAACCTTAATTAATGTCCATCATCTTAAGAATACGCCAAAAGGAGAGAGCTCCTCTGCGATTCAAATTTTCCACGAAAAGTTATTGTTAAACGTGTAGAGTGGTTTCTAGTTTCTAACTAATTAAACTAAGAATTCTTGAACTCAGAAAATATAATTAAATTAAAGATTGTTACTAAGAGGAAATGACTCTAACAAGTATATGGGATTTTAACCATCTTTGTGTGATGGGGTAAAATGATGGAGGTTCTTCGGCGTATTATTCAACAACTTTTGAATTTGATTTTCTTAATTATTAATAGAAGTGATTATTGGAGTATTTATTTAATTAATAACTTTAACTTTAAGACTCTGTAAAAATTAATCGAAATGCATAAAAACTTATCCAAAACACCCCAATCCCAACCAAAAAATTAAAATAAAAAGAAGCATATCGGGTTTTTAACATATTAAAAAGGAGTTTAGGTGTAATGAATTTATCCGTTGGAATTAACACATGGTAGGACCCATTCACATACTAAGATATATAATAGAAGCAAGTAAGAAAGTCAAAACCAAAATATTTGAATATTTCTCGAGCTGATCATAAGTTTGCTTGGTAGCTCCGGCAAGCAATACAAGACCGGGGACCCCTTTGCCATTCGCCACCACTTGACAGCCGCCAACTCCATCTCCCTTACGTCCCTTTTATATAATATTCATCTCTCTCCGGAGAGTACGGTCGCATAAGTTTCAATCATTTTCCTTTTTTTAATGGAAAATCAAGACCAGCTAGTAAACACCCTAATCATCTAATCTCTCTCTTCCAAGAGTGAAAGCTAGTTAGCATGGGTTTCACGCAATTTTAATTTAATTAACAACCGTCATTGGTTTTTTCAACTGAGAAGAAGAATTGACGGAACCCCTAGTAACCAAACCCTGGTTAACAGGTGCAATTCACTACCTTCACCTTGAATTACTTCCACAGCTATTCTGTATTTGCTTAGATCTAGAAACAAGAAACCGTACACAAGGTTTAGGTTTAGGTTTAGGTTAGCTTGTTATCGTAAAAAAGTGCAAAACTCAGACTGGAAAAATTATAAAACAGAGTCCTACTCCTACTCTACAGATGTGAAAACCTAAGATCTGCAACTTATGAGGAATTTAATTTTCTTTGAAGAAAATGTCCGTAGTAGTTTTTCAACCTAAAGGCTCCTAAATGAATTAAAACAAAGCATTTCCATATATGTTTTTCAATGATAAGCTAAAGCTACTACCTTCAACCGATGGGTATGTGGTTGCATGTTAGCAAATCCAAACACCGGGAGGTGGGAGGCTTCTTAAAAATATATGTAAAGAAAAAAGAGGGAAAAAAAAACCCTATTAGAAAAGGCAACCAAACATCTTCAAAACAAAGAAGTTCGCAGGTGTAATTACTTGGAAGTGAGGATGATGATCATCGAAATAAAGAGAAGGAAATAGAGCTAACCTGCTGCTGGAGAGTAAAAATATGGCCGACGGAGCCGTAAATAGGATCCCGAACCCTAGCCAAAGCCTCATAACAAAGGGTAATAACTGCATCAAGCCGCTTGTGAGCTGGTAATCGCATGAGAAGCTTAGAGGCATTACTAGCACCAAAAACCTTATGCACCGCTGCAAAATGAGCCGTGCCTTGATCCGAGTCGAAATATGGTGCAAATATGCACCCTTTTACACACTTTCTCCGTAGAAACTTGCACGCGCCACAAGGCCCACCTCCATTACTTGCATTCATCTGATCTCTCCCTCTCCCTCTCCCTCTCCGTACAGAAAACAAATATTTACTTCTTCAAAAGCTTCACCTTTCTGTGGGGTCTCGAAAGAGAAGAAGGAGAGAGGTGGGTATGGTATTTAGAGAGAAAGATTTATATCTTTTCTATAAGCGAACGTGGAAGCGTTGGTGGTGGGTCATTTAAAAAGATCAGTAGTTAATTTCCATTATATTTATATATTTATTTATAATTCCTTAAATACATATTATATGTGTGCTTAATTAATGAAAACATTAAACAGATGGCCATGGCCATTGAATTTAGAGTGTGAGGGGGTTCAGGTCATGTACTTATTTCAATCTTTAAAGCCACGCTAAGTAGAACAGTAGAAGCAGTGAAACAGATTGCGTGAAGCAAACATACATGCGGTGAGTAATAGTATCAACTTCCAACCGCCGCAGATGTGGCCACGTGCGAACCCCACGTGGGACAAACATCCTATCTAATCCCTTTTTCTCTTGTCACTTCCATTTTACCTTTTTACTCAGGAAATCGAGACATGCATACATAGACATATATAGTACTACTGCTACACTTTCTTATTTTTCTACTCATGCACTGAATTGCATTTTCTAGTAATAGCTTCTGGTAAATTGTAAGGTTCTTCCAGTGAACCTTTTGAGAAAAATAGAATTGGTTTATGATGGCAAAAAAGGGCAGATTCACTTGGGGGATAATGCATGAGGGATATCTTCTCTTTGTATCCAATCTATTGTATATTGGATATATCTAGGCTTGACATGACAGAATGGACCAGTACATATTAATGTTATGTGCATAGAATAGAATAGATATACTAAACTGGGTTTTATTTCAATCATGCATCTGTCGTAAAGGTTATGGTAAAGGTTGCTCACACGCATAAAGCAACAAAGGAAAATTTATGGAGTAACTTGTTTGGAAAGAAGCAAATTAATTAACCTACAGTTATATATGGATGATAAATATCTATGTATGTGGATTGGAGCCTAGTAGCGTCAGTCAAATCTACACTGATCCGCAGTAATTACTACCTATCAAATCATGAAAGGTGTCATTCTGAAGGCTTGTCTCAGACTCAGTCCCACACAAACGTCTTTCATAAGCAATTAAAAATAAGGTCAGCATAACCTGCAAACAGTCCCCCTAGATGAATTTGATTATATCCTAAATATTGAAAATGGCATACTGAACCTGAAGCATGAATTTAACGAAGAATGAATTCTCTAATACATCCTATTACAGTGAGTTAAAACTAAAATGAATAAACAAAGAAAAAATTTGTTATTTAAAACTATGGACGACCCTTAACACTCGGAGAGGTCTCATCATAATTATAAATTTGATTTATAATTAATGAGGTTAATCTTTTAAGGTTTGACTTTAATGTCAATCTCTTAATTTCCGATAAACAGCGTTAGACAAAAGATTACGCAGTTGAAATATAGGGCCAAGTTGGTTCTGTTCTGACAAAAGTACTGACCAAAGATATGCATTTAAGGGGGGGCTACTGAATGTAGATTTATAGTATAATAAATAGTTCAGAAAAAATCACAACCGCGCCGTTCGCCTCTTGTCTGGTCCGTGCATATGACGTTGAAATAATCTGAAGAAGAAAGAAACATGGTCTCCTCCTCGCGAGTACTTCCACGTAAATGCGAGTTTGACTATTCTTCCTGGGTGTTCATGGGCCTCACGGCTTGTAACTCAATGGTGTTGGAAGTTACCGCCCGCCAGACAGATTAGATTTAGCCCAAGATCAATTTTTTCTTTTTTTTTTTTAAGATAATTAAGGACTATACTTATATTAAGTTGTCTAATTTCAAGTCACAAAACACTTTATAAGTCTAATAGATTAGATAGTTACAAATAGAATAACTCCAACATAAAACCTCTTGATACAACTAATTACAATGGTTAAAGGGTTTATTTACAATCACAAGGAAGAGGTTAAGATATATTTTACTCATATGTTTACCCTAAAGACTTAGAAAGATCAGTAAAGTAGCTCATTCTCACCCAACCCCGTCTCGACTCACTGGTGAAGTCAGATCATGACTTAACTTTACACGCTGTGACTGTGCAATTGAAAGGCTTAAGGAATCTCAATGAGAGAAGAGATTTGTTTGTAGAGATTTCAGAGGAATACTAAAATGGAGAGAATAAAATTTCATATAATAACTATAACAATTCATTTCAAGCATCCTTAGATTTTCCTTGGTATTATTCAAATACTCTATTAATATTTTTATAATAATTAATTTAAACAACAACGTCCAGTTATAAAGAAGTGTAGTCTGGACTGTCGTGTTTTGCATAACATATCACTACTTACAATGTCGACGAGATCACAATTGTAGATTATACTAAGTACAGACTTTTTAGATTTCATCACTGTTATGGCCCAAACTTTCTTCTTTTATTCCTTTAATGTTGTAATTTAACACACTTCTCCACCGGAAAATCCGAAAGCAATCATAAAATTATGTGTTAGTTTCAAAGTTTTATAGTTTTTGCTCATTATTTAAATCCAACAATACAATGTTACAAATTCTCGTATAAATTAAGATTTAGAAGAAAAAAAAATATAATAAAAGTCACTTTTATACTTTCTTTTTCCGTTTTATACGTTTTGAAGAAAATGATGACACTATTACTTACAAAAAAAAAAAAAATGACACTATCATATGCGAGGAGCTGTTACAAGATAAACAATGTATATCAAATCAAGGTAGTGTTCAGTCAAATTGTGGGGCTTAGGCTTTCTGTCAATAATTCATCTAATACACACAGATTGGAAACGAGCGACAACACGTGACACATGTTACGAACTGTAATAGAGTTAATTCTTTTTTCTTTTTATATTAATTCAAAAATAAGAAGAAATTAATATTTAGTGATCAAAATTCAAAAACCTAGATTAATTGTTTTTGTTATATTTGTTAGAAACCGAGAAACATAGAGATAAAAGAGAGAAACGTTACTTTGTTTTCAAGTGGACGGCGCGTGGGTCCCGTTTCAGAATGATGTCCTCTTTCCGGGCCGTACGTCTTAGTCACCTAGTCATACGTGGCAATCTTACATTAGCGTCGTGCAGTGCTCTGAATGGCGAATTTTGTTTTGACCGTTTGTTTGGCTCCTAATCACTGTTACAGTGCACGGAATGGAAGACAAAATCAAATGGTCAAATTTTTTAATTTATTTATTAATATCGTCGAAAAGGATCCATCTCTGCACATTTTTTGATAACTCTTTATGTTTTATGACCATGTCACAGACTCACACACAGCCAGGATGAGTGCTTTAATTTCTTACAGCTTTCCCACGACACAAACGCTTAAGAGATAAGCTTTTCCAGTGAACCTTTTAATTTGGTTTATGAATCGGGTCCCATGATGACAAAAAAGGGAGAACAATACACTGGGAAGCCAGTTCACATAGTTTTTTGTCACCTTTTTTCCTGGAATTCAATGCATGAGGTATATGTTGTGTTTGTATCCAATCTGTTGTATATTGGATAATCTTGGCTTGATATGACAGAACATGCATGTCAGGTAAAGCTAGAGATCATGGGCCAGTATATATTTATGTTATGTGCATAGGATAGATAAATTACTAAACTGGGTTTTCTTCAATCATCTTCATAAAGTTTATCGTAACTCGTAAGGTTGCTCACACGCATAGAACAAGAAGGAAAACTTATTAAAACCATGAAGGACCCTTAACACTCGGAGAGGTCTCGATCTGATTTGATTTATAATAAATTAATGAGGTTAATCCTTTTAAGGTTTGACTGTAATGTCACCTCTTTCTTTTTAGCAGATAAAACAATGGTAGAAGGCGATTACGCAGTTGAAATATACGGCCAAGTTGGTGTTACTCGAAAGTACCGAGCAAAGGATGTATTTGAGGGGCTACAGAGTACAGCTTCTAGTCATAATAAAAAACTTGTAAACCAAACAAATCACAACCGCGCCTTCGCCTCTTGTCTGGTCCGTGCATAGACGCTGAAATAATCTAAGAAGAAAGAAACACGATCTCCTCCTCGTGAGTACATCCACTCGGCAAGTAAATTTTTTCCTCCATAAATTTAGCAGAAAGAAAAAAGCGAGTTTGACTATTCTTCCTGGTTTTCATGGCCCTCACGGCCTTTGAAATCAATGGTGTTGCAAATTACCGCCCACCAACAGATTGGATTTGGCCCAAGACCTATTTTTAACTATATGTTACCGCACAGACTGAAAGACAGTAAGGTAGGCATTATTATCAACCCGCCCCAGTCTCGTACTTCACTGGTGAAGTCATGATCATGCTTAATTTTTACAAGCGTTTGACTGTGCAATTGAAAGAGCTTCAAGGAATCTCCTATGATGAGAAGAGATTTGTTTGTAGAGATTTCAGCGGGCGGCGGTTACAGTTTAAGAAATCTTTGGCAGTACTAATTACACGTACCATTTTTGTCGAATTTCCATGAATCCTGCCAGAGCGAACACTGAAATGGAGAAGAACTAGTGAATAAAATTTAATATATTCTATAGTTATAGTCTATCTTTATATATAGCTTACTGTCATTATAGTCTATTGGCATGCTTCTCCTAAGTAAGATAAACTCATAACACTGAACTCAAAAACTGGTGTCCATTGGCATAGCGCATTATTACTTTCAAATTGTTTCAGTTGACAATTCCTTCGTATTAATTAACCTACTGTATTGATATTCAACGTATAATTTTCTGCATCCTGTCGACTGTCGGTTATTTGTATAACAGTATATTCCCACTTTTCAGAAGATGATGGATCGAAACACAATTTGTAGATATTTGAGACTTTTTAAAGAGTAAAAGTCATTGTTATGGCCCAGAGTTCCTTTTAACTCCTTAATGATACAGTTTCATTTAATAATCTTTCTTTCTTCTTCCTAAACTTTCTAAAGTATATATTACAGTATAACACGCTACTCTGCTGTTTGTTAAGGTGACATATTGTAATCTATAGCACACTGTTCCACCAGAAAACTCGCAAAGCATCATAATTTATGTTTTTAATTCTCCCAAGTGTTGACCGCACGAGTGAAGAATTCATAGGGTCCCCATTACAACAAATATGCATTATTCAAATTATATAGATGAGGCTATATGTTCCTGTTTGTAAAAGTTTAAGCAAGCCCGGGCTTTTTCAAATCTTGTAGGGACATTGTTTCTCCAAGTTCCTACATTTATCAATCAATCAAACTAATAATACAATTATATAAATATATCTACCAGTAAATTAATCTCTACTTTCCAAAAGATTGTCGATCAAGAGCATAATTTTCAAAATTAATAATCAAATTAGTTGTATAAAGGTACTTTTATTTATATTATATAAATTAACTGTTATTAACATGATTTTTATAGACTGTATTTTTTATGATATTTTATAGTTTTTTATTATTACTTTAACTCCAATAATAACAATATGTTATAGATTCTACATATAAGTTAAAAAAAAAAAAAAAGCGATACTAAAAAGATCAAAATCGTACATTGGGTATATCAAATTAAGACACGTGTTTGGTCAAATGGTGGTGGCCTTGAGTCTATGCTTCCTCTACACAGCAGTACAGCACACGGTGACGCGTCGTTACGAACTGTAACGGATTTTATTCTTTTTTCTCTTTTTTTTATTAAGGGCGAATAACTTGTGCATACCCAAGGTTTTTCATAACGATAAGTTGGTATCTAAAAGGTTTTGAAACAACAAATAGATACCTTCTGTCATGTTTTGTTAGTGATTTCTGTTTATTAATAGTGAAAAGACTAAAATACCCTTGAAAGTTTAAATTTTAGTTTTTTATAAATTTAAAAATTTCTAAAAAGCCCCCTAGATTTACAAATTTAACTAAATACCCCAATATATAAAATTTTTGTAAAATAACAAAAACACTCCCGCCACCCGCAGTGCCAGATTCCGGCCACTACTGCCGGAATCTGGCCGGAAAGTTGCGTTACGACACAGACCTGTTGGATCTGTGTCGTAACGCGTCAATCTGGCTTTTTTCGGTCAGATCCGTGGCTGATCTGGCCGGAAAAGGCCAGATCTACAGCTAGATCTGACCGTCGACGCTGCAAAACTCCATCTGCGGCGTCGACGGCTAGATCTGGCCGTAGATCTGGCCTCTTACAACCAGATCAGCCACGGATCTGGCCAGAAAAGGCCAGATCTGGTTGTTGCTTCGACTGCCAGATCTGGCCGGAAAAGGCAAGATCGGCAAGTTACGACACAGATCCGACGGGTCTGTGTCGTAACACAACTTTCCGGCCAGATTTCGACAGTGGTGGCCGAAATCTGGCACTGCAGGTGGCGGGGGTGTTTTGTTATTTTACAAAAATTTTATATATTGGGGTATTTAGTTAAATTTGTAAACTTAGGGGGTTTTTTAGAAATTTTTAAATTTATAAAAAACTGAAATTCAAACTTTCAAGGGTATTTTAATCTTTTCACTATTAATAAACAGAAATCATTAACAGAACATGACGGAAGGTACCTATTTATAATTTTAAAACCTTTTGGATACCAACTTATCATTATGGTAAACCTTGGGTATGCACAAGTCGTTATCCCTTTTATTAATTCCAAAAATAAGAAGACATGTAATATTTTTAGTGCACCAAAAAATTCAAAAACCTGTATCAATTGTTTTATTTATTTCAGTTAGAAACGGCGAAACATAGAGACAGGGGGAACAGAAACGTTACTTTGTTTTCAAGTGAACGGCGCGTGGGTCCCGTTTCAGAATGATGTCATCTTTTACCGGCCGTTACGTTCTTAGTCACCTAGTCATACGTGGCAATCTTACAATAGCATGTCTTGAACGGGTGCTTTGAAAGCCGGAATTTTGTTTTGACCGTTTGATTGGCTTCTTAATCACTGTTTATACAATGTTGTGGGCCTTGTGGCACAGAACGGAATGACAAATTGGTCAAATTTTTTAGGACATTTTTGTGATAAACCATGTCACAGCCCACAGATGAGTGCTGTAATTTCTTTACAGCTTTCCCACGAAACAAAGGCTCAAGAGTACAAACAATCATTAACATAATGATAGTTGTTACCATAAAAATCACCATTATTATGAACTCCTGCATTGGAGAGATTTGTCAATACGCATCTTGCTCTTGCGGCCAACCTATTTGACCTGTAAAATTAATGATAGAGATATAGATATAAATTTATGCGTATAATTTTTGGTGGTTATATCTCTATATATGTATAATTATGCTTAAATACTCATATCTGCATTTCCTTTTTTTCATAAACGATATGGCGTGCACATCACAGAATAATAGCCTCTTCACTACTTTGTCTATCGTTCTCTCTAATGTCTAAATTCAGGTATTAATTACTCTCTTGATTGAAGTGTTTAACTTCCTTAATTATATAAGTTGAAAAGGCAGAATTTATTGGGCATACTAATTATAGTTAAAACTGATTAAAAAAAAAAAAAAAACCAGTGGCCATTCATGTCATTCTCAAGAACTCACTAACTTCAGAGGGGTTTGATTTTCGCTTATTATATTGTAAAAGGAAAGGAATTGCTGAGTCATTTTCAACGTTGAGAGAGAGAGAGAGGGTTGGCGTCTTTTGTTCTCTACGCTGCTTAATACACGCAGTGGCAAATACAAACAGACGCATTGACACGTTTCGAGTTCTAAAATCTATTCTATTGTTTTGCAAGGCAGATTCAGATATAGCAAAAGCAAAGTTGAAGATAAATATTCATATTTTATGTATACAACCAAAGAAAGAGAGAGAAAACAACATGAGTTTTGTTAGATAAATTCACGAGATGAAGGAAGATAAATGAGAAAGAGCAGTTGAGAATAGCTTGGCTTATCGCATGTTTGCTTCACGCAAGCAGCTAAATGGGTGTTTGCTCTCTCGCGTGGCTTTAAAGACTTCATCTAGCGTTTTAAGTCCCCATTAAAAAACCAAATACCATCTGTTTCTATATACCAAAATAACACTACCCCCAACAACCCATCTCTAAGAACACCCTTCATATTCTTTCTCTTTTCTTTTTTTTTCTTTTAAGTGCCCCTCAAACCCTAATCATGTGTGATAATTATTTATAAAGAAAGAAGACACAAAATTTGAGAATAATAACTCTAATCATGAGTTCAAACCCTTGCAGCAGTGGCAGTGTTGGCGGTGGCGGTGGCAGTAGCAGCAGTAGTTGTGGAGGTGGTGGTGGTAGTGGTAGTGGACCATGTGGCGCGTGCAAGTTTTTGAGGAGAAAATGTGTGCCAGGGTGTATATTTGCACCTTATTTCGATTCGGAACAAGGTGCAGCTCATTTTGCTGCTGTCCACAAGGTTTTTGGGGCAAGTAACGTTTCAAAGCTTCTTCTGCATATTCCCGTTCACAAACGGCTTGATGCGGTGGTTACGATATGCTATGAGGCTCAAGCTCGCCTCAGAGATCCTGTTTATGGCTGTGTTGCGCACATCTTTGCCCTTCAGCAACAGGTAATCAGTCTTTGCTTCATCTTGTTAAGGTTCGTCATATTATCTTGACTTTTATCCTAGAAAGACAACTTATTTTTGTTTGTTGCATTCTTTTATGTATAACTTATCCTTAAAGTGATTTGTCTTTGGAAATTCTCCTTTTCTTTCCTTCCATTAATTTAGCTCTTTTTTTCACAAACGGTAACAGAATTTATATTGCAGAAACGTACAGTGATCTTATTGTGATCTGATTTTGTTGATGGATTATCACCTTGCATATACATATCTCAAATAAGTAAGTTTTTTCATTTATACCCTGGTCAATGAAGGGTAGCCATGGATTTAAGATAGTGTGAGTGTGTGATATGAGAAAGCAATTTGGTTAGAAAAGGTAGCCAGAGACTTCTGAGAGATCAAAACATAGGGCATTCGGTGGTGCTTAGTCGACAGTTTCGTGCTTTACTGAAATCTAGAACGTTATTTGTTTGATTAAGAAATCATTATGGTCGGCGGTTACTACAATGGTTTAGCTACCCAAACAGTTTCTGCTATATTTCTGTGCAAGTCGGGGATATATTTTGCTGGTTTTAGGGAGATGGTCGGCTTGTTTCTTCTTGGAAGTTGATTCTTTATCCCTATTTCCAAATCAGTTTCCTGTTCGCCCCACTGTTGAATTTGTTGGGTTCCAATCACAGCACATAACATGCGGGCAATTATGTCAAAATATTCATCATAACAGCAAATTAATCCACGGAAAGAATTAATCTTTTTCTCAGCTAGCTTCCTTGTTTTGATGAACATGCACTTCTTTGTTTAATAATGGACACCTTATGTATTATATAAAAAAAGATCAGTGCACCAGGAATTGGAGAGCTGCCGGGCTGGCTGGAGCTATAAGTCTATAACTCCAACTTATCAGCTTAAGGGGTAATAATTAAGATCTGCATACTACTTATTGATCCAAAGATTTCGTACTAATGGGGTATTAGGTTGGGTTGATTAATAAATATTGATTCGTTGCATATATACTTGTTCCTTGAGTATCTTTTCTTCAAGTAACCTATAGTGTAAGGAAAAGTGGAATCCTGTGATCCTTTACTTCTCTTTTTCTTCTTTTTTTCTCGTTTTCTGGCACATGCCAATATATATACGGATATATGTATGTTAATCTGTTCTTGAGAGTGGTTAATTATTCAACCACCAACAGCTTTGGAATTGGGTATTCCACTTATCTTACATTTGGGCAATTATATATGCGTTGTAGCTGTCACTATATTATGTTATTTCTATGCAACAAGAAACCTTCATTTGTCCGCAACACCATGTTCTAATGCACATTATTCAAGCACCCTCTCTTATTAAATTAACGAGTAAAAGTCCTCAATTATGTTTGCCATCATCGAATGAATGATCATATGTATTCTTGTTTTAATTTATCACTTGACTAGCGGGAAAAGTTTTAGTCTTTCTCCATTGTCGAAAGTTACGTAGTAATTACCACGTGGTTTTAATTGATTTCTTAAGGGTAAAATTCAGAATTGGTCAACTAATTTTTTCTTTGTTGGGGGGGCTAAATTTCTTATACAGGTGGTGAATTTACAAGCTGAACTCTCTTACTTACAAGCCCATTTAGCAACTCTGGAGCTTCCATCGCCGCCGCCACCACCTCCTCCTCCGCCACAAACTCTAATGACACCACCTCCTCTTTCGATATCTGATCTCCCATCAGCCTCCTCCATGCCTGCCACATATGATTTATCGTCACTTTTTGATCCAATGGTGCAACCTTCATGGGCCATGCAGCAGCGCCAAATGGATCCACGTCAGTTTGGAGGCCCTTGTTCTTCGCCAACCGGTGGGGGTGGTGGTGATCTTCAAGCTTTAGCACGAGAACTCTTGCATAGACAAGGGTCTCCACCACTTGGATCCGTCCCATGCACTGATGTCTCATCTTCACCATCTCTTTCCAAATGATGATCACCGTGTCTGACCTTATTAACAAGTACTATTTGCATCGGAATTTATGTTGATCAAAATACTAGCATTAGCAAGAAGAAAGCTATAATTTCATGTTATTTCACTCATCGTGAGCAAGTTCTCTTGATAACTGATCTTTATATTTTTGGTATTATTTTTGTTCTTTACTCAAACATTACTAGTGAAATTCAAATTTAGTTTATGGAAGTTTTACATTTACGGGTTCGTCAGTTGACGTATCTTAAACAAAATAGATTGTGATATAGATCGACAAGAACTTTGACGTCTCACAGCTCTAGACAGTTCGACTTACGGAAGAAGGGCCGTAATAATGTGGAATCTTGAACAAGGGCCGCAATGCGTTTAGTGTTAGACGTAAACTTACGGAAGAAAAACTTGGGCTTTAGTTAATATCTTACACCGAAGCCTACTTAATTTATTATAACACATCCTTCAAAGTTGTAAAAGAACTAAAGGCCCACCACCGGCCAGTCCGGATATCATTTCTGTGCTTCGTCCCATCAATTGGGCTGTGGCCTGTGGCTCTTCAAGGAACAATTGTTACTTGATCATATCTGATGCTAACACGATTACGATCAGAACAAGGGGGGGAAGTATCACATTCAAGAGTTGGGACTGAAAAACATTCTACAGACACCAATGAAGAGTCTCATAGGCCATAAGAGAGTATGAAGCAAGGATGAGTATGCCAAAAATCAGGAACTACAATGAAATCAGCAAGAAATTTACATCTAGAGAAGAAGAAAAAGAAAAATAGATTGCCAATGGGTAATGACCCCATAAAATAACTGCTGATTTTACAGGACTTCCATCTCTTTGTCATCTTGGCATTCAAAAAGAGCCTAATTTATGTACATGAGAACTGAGGCGATTTCCCATGATTGAAACCAGAAAGGGCTTGAACATTTTGATTAGGAGGCAGGAATTTTGCAAGTTGCCTCTCTAAAAGCATATTCTCTCAAGACATGTTCCACCTGTTCCACCACGCCAAGTCTTTTGAACCACCCAGCTAATACACTTGAAGCCTCTTTTCCAACAATAATTCCATCACTCTCCAAATCCATCAGAAATTGCAAGGCCCTGTTAAGGTTGTTCTCCTTTTCATATGCAGCCAACACTAATGCTACACATTTATCACTAGGTTCAAAACCAGCCTTCCTCATATTCTCAAATGAAACATATGCCTTTTCACTTTGACCTGCTATCTGATAGGCATTTATAAGGAGCCCACACATCCTAGCATCTGGAGTAATACCTGCAAACTGAATTGCATCAAACACCCTTTGAGCTCCTTTGGAATCACCAAGCAAGGAATAGGCTCTTAACAATGCCTTGTAAACTTCGCTTCCTGCATATATATCTTGTGTATCCATTTCTCTAAGCAAAACCTCTGCTTGGTCATGCATTCCAGCTCTAACATAGGCCATGATCATTGAGCCATATGATCTTTTATCCAATGGTTCACCAAGCAGCTTGATCTCTTCAAAAGTTTCTTCTGCAAGCTTAAGATTGCCAGCCTTGCTGTACATGTGGACCATGGTGGTTAGGGTTACCTGATCACAGATGAAGCCTCTTCTCTTCATGACTAATAGTATATTTTCAGCAGCCTGAAGCTGGTTTTGTTTCCCATAACCATGGATTATCTTTGTATAGTCACGTATATTAGCTTCAAAAGATTCTTCTAGTACAGCAAGTTCTGCCACCTAAAAGATTGCAGCAAGTCATGAATTCAGCTGCAAGTTGAAAATTTCACATTCATTCCCAATTAAAAGTACTAGAAATTCTCATAAAAACTAAAGAAACTGTAAGGAAATTCAATCTCTTTGTTAAAACAAGTTTGAGAAGCTAGCTTAGAGAGCAGATTATGAGGAAGGCCAAGTTTAAAACATAAAAAGCAATTAAGACTAATATTTAGCTGAGTTCATAAATTTCATTTTCAATTCAAAGAATGGGTCAATCATTGAGATTTTATCTTTTTTAAGAATACATATATATATAATTCACAGGGCGAAAACAAACAAAGCAAGATCAGATTCTCGTGCAAAAAAAAAAAAAAATTATAAGGTCACAAATAAGCCTCTGGAAACAAGGAACATCAGCAATCTTTTCTTTGTAGGGCAAACTAAGGCAGCTGAAAGAGAGGAAAAAACTAAAGCTCTATCATAATGCAGATTAAGTAATCAAATAGAGAACACCTACCCCAAGTGCCACATGTATATGCTCTCAAATCCTAGTAATAAATTGGTTGCTTTGATTTGATGGAGTAAGGTAAAATATCCCCATCAATCAAGTATGTAGAGTTAGCTGGGGACTAACAATCATCTCATAGTATACTAACAAGGGAGACTATAGCGTTGACAGTGAGACAGTGCTCAGTTGATAATTAGTCCTTGCTAATTTTTGTAAAATAAAATACACTCTTATACATATAATATATCCATGTCCAGAGGAACAGAGAGTGGAAACTTCAGTAACATTCAACCTTAATTTTTTTTTCTAAATGCTCCTGGGATTAATGCAACAAATGCTTCCAATAAGGGTTCCCAGCAGTATCCTCAAACATATAAATCTTATCAAATCAAGATGAAAAAAATGGTAATTACTAAGTAATCAAACAAATATCAATCCTCCAAACAACATTAAAACATTCAATACATTAACTTTTCAAAGTTTGGAATTTTGATAACAAAATAAAAAAAAAGTCATACCTGGAGATACAGCGGATGTTCCTTTAGTTTCAATTCCTTAAGAACAACAAGCCAATCAGCTCTCCTCGGCTTCGTATTCCTGACCCAAGCAGCCAACAAGTCCGCTAAACTTTCTTTTTCAGGAGAAAGGCAAATAATCTGCTTCATGAGTGCCCTGCATCTTTTGGTCATTTTAGGTGGAAGTTTAGATATGGCTTGCTTTTGTTCTTCTGTGATATTGGGGCCAATCTCAATCCACTGAAACCTTGCTTTTTCTTCTTTAGCTCGTGTTTTTCTCATCTCTTCTACATTAATTACTGCTAATGGAGTCGCAGAATGAATTTTCCGACAACCCCATCTCTCGTGGTTTATATATAAAAAGCTCCCCCAACACTGAAAGAAACTTGGTTTTGTAACTCTACGTTCGCTGATTATTGGGTTTACTGTGGCGCAGCAACAGAGCGTGTTGGAACAATAGGGAGGAGCCATGACTGAAGTGTAAAGAAATCAAAACCGTAGTTGCAGCATCCATTGACTGACAAATTAAAGATTAAGGCCTTGGATTTCTTAAAAGCTGGACTCGTCCACAACCCATTTGATTTCCAGGGTTCGTAAGCCCAAACCCATTAGAGAGAATAATCTAAGCTTCCCAAAATAAATGTCATCGTTAAATTGACTCTGTCTTGTTAATTGTTAGATAAAAAATAAGTTTAGACAAACACTTATCTTAACTTTATCTTACAAACGTTGATACCATAGTTTATAATTAGTCTGTTTGTATTTTTTTAAGCGACACTTTTTGTTGGACAGACAAGATCCATTGCAAACTGACTAATTACGAACTAACACAACGTTTGTGAGAGAAAGTTTGTAAGAAGGGTCTGTGAGTGTAATATTACTGATATCATTATTTTTTTAATAAATTAGGGTATTATAACTTAAAAATACTTGTTTAAAAAAATATAAATTTTTTACTTATTTATTTTTTATTCTAATCGGGTAGTTTAGATAATTATTGAATTGGTAGTAATATTTAATATTCTAAGTTTTGATTTTAATTAATTGCATTGTAATATGATAAACGCTATTGTAATATGGCTCTTCTATAGCAAGAGAGAACTGTTTTTTAAAATAATAATGATAGGTCTTGTTATAAAAAATTTCAACATCGCACAATACTCAATTCCTCCAAAGTCAATTAGGTATTGCAGGTTGTGAATTTTATGTGAGGATGCGCCATTAGCTCGAAACAAACAATAACTCGGATCAAATAGTGAAGCAGCGATTAGATATGACTACAGTATTTGGGTGATTATCTTTTAAATCATGGATAAGTATTATCTCATAAAATAAGATCCCGGTAATAGTCTCTACAGTTTTAGTATGTCAATACAATTTCAACTTATCAATCACGCTAATAATCATGAGATTAACTTTCTAAAATCATGCCGTTATCCCTGTTTTTTTCTCTTGTAATTGTTATACTTTCATAGTATAAAAACCCCGTAAAGTCATTGTAAAGGGTTGAAAAAATATAGAGAGGAGAGATTACTATTGTAAGGCAAAAACACTTAAATAATATAAACAGTAACCATAGACTTGATTTGAATTTACCAAACTAATTTAAAAATAGGCTTTGATTCTTTTTCTTAGCAATATAAGTTATTTTTTTGCTGCTTACAATCTTATTCATTCTCTAAAGTCAATTAGGTATGACGGATTTTCATCGCAAGAATAAGTAATATTCACATTGTCTTTTGTATAATAATAATCGTAATGGTGTTTGGATAATAATTAAAATAAAACATCATGATGCATTGTAATGAAATATGAAGTCAATCGTTTAAATTGAGAAAGTAAAGCTATAAACTATTCAACAGCAAAGCATATCACAACATATTTTTATCGTTATATTAAAGGGGTGTTTGTCTAAACTTATAAGCTGGTCAAACTTACTTATAAACTCTAAAATTAAGTTGACTTGTTTGTTTATAATTTTTTTGAGCTTATAAGTTGAGCTTATAAGCAAAAAAAAATAAGTTGGGGAGAGGTACTTTTTTTTTTGTGACCAAGTATATTATTACATTATCCTTATTTAATTTTAAAATTCTATAGTATACCCTTATTTAATGTAGTACCAATTTTAGTCATTTTATAATAAAATGTACTTATAAGCCACATTTTACCAAATACGTCAACTACGTATTAGTCACTTATAAGTACTTTAACCAAACACGTAATTGCTTAAAATTTCAAATGCTTATAAGATAAAGTACTTGTTGCTCATAAGTTAATTTTCATAAGTTAAGACAAACACCCAAAAAGTCAATGATGTATTATTAGATCAATGAGTGAAAGACCAACAGTGAAAATATTCACACATACATCGAGATGCGATCAAAAACCCTATGGGCATACATTATTGACCGTTTGATTAACATATTTTACCAAAATTTTGTGATTTTTTTTTTGGTCCATGTATCTTTTATTGTGAGACTGATCTCAAGTTCCGTTATATCTTATTAAATACACTCTGATCAACAGCTAACAACTCAATTACATATAACATTAAACCACAATACCCAAAATACCCTAACTGTTACCACGATATTACCCTTCTACTGTCAAGATTTGAAAGCAATCACAGCCCAGACGCCAAATCACAGCGAGGGTATTTGGGTCTAAAAGTTTCAAACTTGGACTTTCTACGAAAAACCAAACGAAAAACGCGATCTAAATCTCAACCCCCCTCCCTCCGTAACCAAGAACCTCAACAGTTCACTCTCACGCTTCTCTCTTCTTTTCTTGTAAACTCTTCATTCTGTGCGATTTTTATGCGATCAAAACCGGACTGACTACGCCGACGCTCCGACTACACTCGTCACCATTACTCAACCAATTCAAATTGAAAGCGTTATCACTTCTTTTTCATTTTCTTCATTTTTCCACTTCCAGATCTGACTCACTGAGTCACTGCTAGTCTTAACTCGGGAATGGCTTCTTCGGAAGCCGATTCCCGCTTGAGCCAAGCCCTAGCTCCAGCCCTCGAAAAGATAATCAAAAACGCGTCGTGGCGCAAACATTCGAAACTCGCTCACGAATGTAAATCAGTTCTTGAGAGACTCACTGCTGCTCAGAAACAGACCCCTTCATCACCTACAGACTCGGAGCCGGAAAACTCCATCCCTGGCCCTCTCCACGACAGCGGGCCTATAGAATATTCGCTCTCAGAATCTGAGTCCATTCTTAGCCCTCTGATCAACGCGTGCGGTACTGGCTTCCTCAAGATAGTTGATCCTGCCGTTGATTGTATTCAAAAATTGATCGCCCATGGTTACCTTCGTGGCGAGGCGGACCCCTCTGGAGGTCCCGAAGCGATATTTCTTTCCAAACTAATTGAATCGGTCTGTAAATGCCACGATTTAGGTGATGATGCTGTTGAGTTACTGGTTTTAAAAACGCTTCTATCGGCTGTCACGTCGATGTCTTTAAGGATTCACGGAGATTGTTTGTTGCAAATTGTGAGGACTTGTTATGATATTTATCTAGGTAGTAAAAATGTGGTTAATCAGACGACAGCGAAGGCTTCACTGATCCAAATGTTAGTGATTGTTTTCAGAAGAATGGAAGCAGATTCGTCAACAGTTCCGATTCAACCAATTGTGGTTGCTGAATTGATGGAGCCAGTAGAAAAATCTGATGCGGATGGGTCCATGACAATGTTTGTACAAGGGTTTATAACGAAAATTATGCAAGATATTGACGGAGTATTGAATCCAGTTACGCCGGGTAAGATTTCAGCTGCAGGTCACGATGGTGCATTTGAAACCACTACTGTGGAGACGACTAATCCAGCTGATTTACTGGATTCAACTGATAAGGACATGTTGGACGCTAAGTATTGGGAGATTAGTATGTATAAGACGGCATTGGAGGGTAGGAAAGGGGAATTGGCTGACGGAGAAGGGGAAAGAGACGATGATTTGGAGGTTCAGATTGGGAATAAGTTGAGACGGGATGCATTTCTGGTATTTAGAGCACTTTGTAAGTTGTCTATGAAGACTCCTCCTAAGGAGGCATTGGCGGATCCCCAATTGATGAGAGGGAAGATTGTGGCTCTTGAGTTGTTGAAGATCCTGTTGGAGAATGCCGGAGCTGTGTTTCGGACCAGTGAAAGGTACTCATATTTTACATCTTTATCTGCCATATTTTGTTGTCTATACACTGCAGTTTCTTAATACCTTCATTAAGTGTTACGTGTTATATTCATGATAATAGTGGTTTATGGAACTTATGATGGAGATCGACTATGCTGTTACCAATCAAGATTCGTTAAATTTCCTTGCATGTTATAATAATTAATTATGAAAAAATTGGATACATTCGACTGTAGGAACTTTTTAAGAATTTCCTGAAGTGGAATATATCAAAAGCATCAGGAAGTTGCCATGTGGTAGAGTTTGTTGTTGATAACACTAGTAGCTGAGCCTAAAAGTTAGACAAATTATTTAATGATCCATATCATCCAGTGCTTGTGATTTGTGGCACTAAAATCTTTTAGTTAGGCAAAAAGTTGCAAGTATTAATAAGATGCCTAGATGTCGCAGGGTCTACTAAATCTGAGCATTACTATTCTATTTTTAGTTTACTCCTATATACTGTGAGCTATGTTCTATTTTGTTTTAAAAAAAGTCCATATAGCAATATTTGTGTTCTGCTGAATGTGCTTTGTGGGTATACAGGTTTTTGGGTGCCATTAAGCAGTACTTGTGTCTGTCATTGTTGAAGAACACCGCTTCAACTCTTATGATTGTTTTCCAGCTTTCTTGCTCCATTTTCATTAGTCTGGTATCAAGATTTAGAGCTGGACTGAAAGCAGAGATTGGGGTGTTCTTTCCTATGATTGTGCTCAGAGTTTTGGAAAATGTTGCTCAACCAAATTTTCAACAGAAGATGATAGTGCTTCGGTTTTTAGAGAAGCTCTGTGTTGATTCACAGATTTTGGTAGATATCTTTATTAACTATGATTGTGATGTCAACTCATCAAACATATTTGAGAGGTAATCTATGTTTCATCCTTTGGAATTCAATCTTTTTTATACAATTGAACAATGGTATCAAGCTAATGCAAATTTTGAATTTTGAAGATAAGTCTCTCTGTTTTCTGTCATGAGTGTGATTGACTTCGTTCAGTATATGTCTCTCTCTTTTGTTGTAGAATGGTCAATGGACTTCTTAAAACTGCTCAAGGTGTCCCTCCTGGTACAACCACCACACTATTGCCACCTCAAGAAGTGACAATGAAACTTGAAGCCATGAAGTGCCTAGTGGCTATATTGAGATCAATGGGAGACTGGATGAACAAACAATTGCGCATTCCAGATCCTCATTCTACTAAGAAACATGAGGCAGTGGAGAACAGTCCCGAGCTCGGAACTGTTCCCGTGGCAAATGGGAATGGGGATGAGGCTGTTGAGGGATCAGATTCTCAATCTGAAGCATCCAGTGAGGTTTCTGAAGTTTCGACCATTGAACAACGTCGAGCTTACAAGCTTGAACTTCAGGTAAGTAGATATATTATAATTGGGATACAAGTATATCAGTCTTCTGACTGTTCTTTTATTGTACTGTTGCCAATGGATTCTAATGTAAAATATGTGGCAGGAAGGTATATCTCTTTTTAATCGGAAACCCAAGAAAGGAATTGAATTTCTTATTAATGCAAATAAGGTGGGCAACTCACCGGAGGAGATAGCAGCTTTTCTAAAAAATGCCTCTGATTTGAACAAGACTCTGATTGGTGATTATCTAGGAGAAAGGGAGGAGTTATCACTTAAAGTAATGCATGCCTATGTGGATTCTTTTGAATTTCAAGGCATGGAGTTTGATGAGGCAATCAGGGCCTTTTTGCAAGGCTTTAGGTTGCCTGGTGAGGCACAAAAGATTGATCGAATAATGGAAAAGTTTTCTGAACGTTATTGTAAATGTAATCCAAAGGCATTCATTAGTGCTGACACAGCTTATGTCCTTGCATATTCTGTAATACTGCTCAACACTGATGCCCATAATCCTATGGTGAAGAACAAGGTGCGTTTTCTTTTTTCATCTGACCCAATTGGATTTTTCAGACGAATGTTGATAAGTTTTTTGCACCCGTCTTATTGAAATCTATATAGATGTCGGCTGAGGATTTTATAAGAAACAATCGTGGCATAGACGATGGAAAAGATTTACCTGAGGAGTATCTGAGGTCATTGTTTGATCGGATATCAAGAAATGAGATCAAAATGAAAGAAGATGGTCTGGCTGTTCAACAGAAGCAGTCTATGAACTCAAACAAAATATTAGGCTTGGACAGTATCTTGAATATCGTGATCCGAAAGCGGGGCGAGGAAAGGCATATGGAGACCAGTGATGATCTCATCAGGCACATGCAAGAACAATTTAAGGAAAAAGCTCGCAAATCTGAGTAAGATTGACTAGCATAAACAGTAATCATAATTTTTGCTCAGGCTTTATTTTAGTGTGAACTTATTGTTTTCCTAGAGTTTATATTTGGACTCATTATAAAGTTTTGCATTTGTTAGTTTCAAGAAATCCTTTATTTGGATTTGTCTTATTGGTATGTACTGGTCTTCAAATATGCAGATCAGTATTCTATGCAGCAACTGATGTGGTAATTCTAAGATTCATGATTGAGGTATGCTGGGCGCCCATGTTGGCTGCCTTTAGTGTGCCCCTCGACCAGAGTGATGATGAAGTGATATTAGCTCTGTGTCTCGAAGGCTTTCGTTATGCTATCCATGTCACTGCTGTAATGTCCATGAAGACTCATAGGGATGCTTTTGTGACTTCATTAGCAAAGTTTACTTCTCTTCACTCTCCCGCTGACATCAAGCAGAAAAACATAGATGCCATCAAGGTTGGTGTTTCACTTTACTCTGTTCAGCTGTTTTTAGGATGAGAATAAAATAAAAGCTGGTCTTCTACCTTTTCTGCCACATCTTAATCTCTCATCTGGTAAATTTGGTGCTGCATGTCAAAGCTTTGGAACTAAAAGTAACAGAATTGTTATGTTTGATGATTAAGATGAGCTTTATAGGATATTCTCGATAAGCATTCCACTGCCTAACTTCTGCCAATGAAACACAAAAGAAATATTTGGTAGAAAATAAAAAATTAAAGAAAATTAGAAAGCAATTAAGCTGAATGAAATCTGAATGCTACAAATACAGATAGCATGTGGAGCAGTAGTTTATCATACCAAGTAGTGTGTTTGTGGGAATCTGAAAAAAATTTCTTCCCTGCATAATGACATTTGCTACCATGAACTCAAATTGTATGATCTGATTACTGTAGATGTTCTTAATGACACCTATATATCTATCATCTCTGGATAATTCATTGAACTTCATTCTGATGCTGGATTTGATATTCTACATTGTCCATAGGCAATAGTCACAATTGCGGATGAAGATGGAAACTATTTACAGGAGGCATGGGAGCATATTTTGACGTGTGTGTCCAGGTTTGAGCATCTGCATCTCTTGGGAGAAGGTGCTCCTCCAGATGCCGCTTTCTTTGCTTTTCCACAGAATGAGTCTGAAAAATCCAAACAAGCTAAGTCAACCATCCTTCCAGTTCTAAAAAAGAAAGGACCTGGGAGGATTCAGTTTGCAGCTTCTGCTGTGATGAGGGGTGCATATGATAGTGCGGGCATTGGTGGCAATGCTTCTGGGGTGGTCACATCTGAACAGATGAACAATATAGTCACCAATTTAAACATGTTAGAGCAAGTTGGAAGCTCTGAAATGAATCGTATATTTACACGAAGTCAGAAGTTGAATAGTGAGGCAATAATAGACTTTGTTAAGGCTCTTTGCAAGGTCTCAATGGAGGAACTCCGATCTGCATCTGATCCACGGGTTTTCAGCCTCACAAAAATTGTTGAGATTGCGTATGTGTTCCTATTTCTGTTGTTCCTTTTGGCATATATTCTTATTGTCTTGATTTTCATTGGTTTTAATTTGCTATTATAACTGAATTGTGTGGTTTATCTGATTTGTTTTTATGACAGGCACTATAACATGAACCGCATCAGGCTGGTGTGGTCAAGCATCTGGCATGTCCTCTCTGATTTCTTTGTAACCATTGGCTGCTCCGAGAACCTCTCAATAGCAATTTTTGCAATGGATTCTTTACGCCAGTTATCAATGAAATTCCTAGAGCGAGAAGAGTTGGCTAATTATAATTTTCAGAATGAATTTATGAAGCCTTTTGTCATTGTGATGCGGAAGAGTAGTGCTGTTGAAATCAGAGAATTAATCATCAGATGTGTCTCACAGATGGTTTTATCTCGTGTCAATAATGTCAAATCAGGATGGAAAAGCATGTTCATGGTATTGAAATTTGGATGATTCTCTATCTTTTGTTTGTAAAAATTCATGTCATAAATATTATTATGTTTTTCCTTGACATGTTAGTGACTTGATACTGCATGACTTTTTTTCTTTTCAGGTTTTCACAACGGCAGCTTATGATGATCACAAAAACATTGTACTCTTGGCCTTTGAAATTATTGAGAAGATTATCCGAGACTACTTCCCATACATTACTGAGACTGAAACAACCACCTTCACAGATTGTGTCAATTGCCTAATAGCATTTACAAACAGTAGATTCAACAAAGACATTAGTCTGAATGCTATTGCATTTCTTCGGTTCTGTGCCACTAAACTTGCAGAAGGAGATCTTAGTGCCTCATCAAGGAACAAAGACAAGGAAGCATCTGGAAAGATTTCTCTGACCTCCCCTCAACCTTTGAAAGAAGGAAAACTGGATAACGGAGAGATTATTGATAAAGATGATCATCTCTATTTCTGGTTCCCTTTGTTGGCTGGTAAGGGAACTGCTTAAATTGATGGTTTTCACGCCGCCGTACTTTTGGCTTTGCTATAGTTTTTGTACATGTTTGTACGCTCAATAGATTTATCCACATTTTCTTCAAGATGTATGTTAGAATTTTGCCTCAAATTCAATTATTTGTCTTTTATACATGCAGGTTTATCAGAACTTAGCTTTGACCCAAGGCCAGAAATCAGGAAGAGTGCCTTACAAGTGCTGTTTGAAACTTTGCGTAACCATGGTCACCTTTTCTCACTGCCTCTGTGGGAGCGGGTGTTTGAGTCAGTCCTATTTCCAATATTTGACTATGTGCGGCATGCCATTGATCCTTCAGGGGAGAACTCACCTGGACAAGGGATTGATGGTGATATGGGTGAGCTTGATCAAGATGCATGGCTCTATGAGACATGCACTTTGGCCCTCCAATTAGTTGTGGATCTTTTTGTCAAATTTTACAACACTGTCAATCCACTTTTGAAGAAGGTGCTGATGCTTCTGGTAAGTTTTATCAAACGTCCTCATCAGAGCCTTGCTGGTATTGGAATTGCTGCTTTTGTCCGATTGATGAGCAATGCTGGGGATCTATTTTCTGATGAAAAGTGGCTAGAAGTGGTGTTGTCATTAAAAGAAGCAGCCAATGCCACCGCTCCTGATTTTTCTTACATTGTTAGTGAAGAAAGCATGGTCAGGAACCATGAAAATGCGTCAAATGGACAAATTAATGGGGAGGCTTCTGGTTCTGGTATGGCTGATGATGATTCCGAGAGCCAGAAGACAAGTCGTCTATATGCTTCTATAGCTGATTCGAAATGCCGGGCTGCTGTACAACTTTTATTGATTCAGGTAATATCTTTTCTGACTTGTAACATTTTATGTTGTGAAACTATTAGATACTCTATATTTTTTTATAACATGAGGCCATGTGTATAACATAAACTAAGTATATTCCTGTTTGCATTTTATTGTTATGTACTTGGATGCTGAGCACACTGGTTTTCATGATGAATTCATATGGCATGTATAAGTCAGGTCCAGGGTTAATTTTGAAATGTGCCGAGTTTTATTGAAGTTTCTCGTTTTCATTTTCCTTCCATTAAATGTTGCCTCTTGTTTATGAAACTTAAATTTTTAAAAATATCTCCTAAAACCAAGATGAATGTGCATGCTGTAAGTTAGGCATATGAAATCAGATACCTATCTAATTGTTTGTTTGTTGATAAATGAAGTGTTGGCAAAGTTAGAATTATTTTTGTAAAATTTTATCTTTGTCAATGTTGGTTGTGAATCTTATTTGATTAAATTTGGCAGGCGGTGATGGAGATCTACAACATGTATCGGTCTCGCCTCTCTGCTAAAAACACCTTAGTCCTCTTCAAGGCTTTGCATGACGTGGCAGCCCATGCTCACAAGATCAATAGCAATAACATTTTACGCTCAAAGCTACAAGAATTTGGCTCTATGACTCAAATGCAAGATCCCCCACTGTTACGCCTAGAAAATGAGTCGTTTCAGATATGTCTGACATTTTTACAGAATATTATACTGGACAGGCCTCCTACTTATGATGAGGCTGAAGTAGAGTCCTATCTGGTTGACCTTTGTCGGGAGGTATTACAGTTCTATATTGACACTTCTCGCTCAGGACAAACATCCGAATCATATGTCAATAAGAAATTGCAGTGGGCAATACCTTTAGGTTCTGGGAGACGGAGGGAATTGGCTGCCCGGGCACCCCTTATTGTGTCAACACTCCAGGCAATCTGTACTTTAGGAGAGACTTCCTTTGAGAAGAACTTGTCTCAGTTCTTCCCCCTTCTTTCAGGCTTGATAAGCTGTGAACATGGATCAAATGAGGTACCGGTAGCTCTCAGTGATATACTAAGCTCATCAGTGGGTCCTGTTTTACTTCGGTCGTGTTGATCTTACTGGGGTCAGACGGCACATTTTGGGATGTATGCTATTCTTTAAATTGAAGTCTTATAGTTTCTTTCTTTCTTTACTCGTTTGGTTTAAAAATGTAATTGTTATCGGAAGTATAGTTTCAGAGTGTATGAAGAGTTAGTGATGATTTGGGGTTGTGGCTAGTATCTATAAAGCTCAAGCATTTCTGTTCAGGAGCTTAGCTCCTCTTTGTTCAGAATTTATAGATATCATCAGGAGCTTTTCATGTATGCTAGTTAGATATTTTTCACATACAATATTTTACTGTAGAAAAATAGAGAGGCTTTTTCTGCTTATTATTTGTTTATTTTACAGGTGGATTCCAGAAATAGAATGCCAATTGTCTAATTTTAATTCACTTTTTGACCTTTTCACTTTTCATGGTTAAATTGAATAAAACAATATTTGGTTTTGAAACGGTCCCTTGCCCGCAGGACCAATATACCAAATCATTTTGAATCACTACATTAGATCCAGAGATGACAAAGAAAGTAAAAATTAAGTGCCGGCACTTTCATTTCATCTAATATAATCAATTAAAATTCAGCTGGCATCCACCGAACAGGACTTGACCAAATCGACATTATCAGTGCAAGTGACCCAGTCAAATAAATTCTCGCTAAAGGAATGAACATTTATGAACTATAAAAGATAATGCCAATGTCTCGTGCCCACAAAATTATTGCAAACTGACAAATTAAGATTCTCTAAAAGCCCACAGTAAATGCGAATGTCACATTCGCACCCATAAGTCATAACCTCTCTTCTCTTTCTCACCATAACTACCATTTTTACCACCATTTCCAGACTGTCTCCAGTCCACAATGTCATCTTCTTTCAAGACCTGCTGGATCTCTCTACACCGAAACATTAAACTCTTTTTCCATCAAATGAGAAGAAGAAAACACAAGAGATTGTCATCTGGTTTTGATTTGTTAACCTCATCCTTCACAACCATGGAAGAGTCGAACCAATATAGACAAGTTTTCAAGGTGATGGACGCAAATGGTGATGGGAAATTATCAGCATTAGAACTAAGTGAAGTCCTTGTTTGCCTAGGTTATGATAAGTCGAAAGCCACCAAAGAAGCTCAAGTAATGGTGTCGCAGATAGACTACAACGGAGATGGCTTCATTGACTTGGATGAATTCATGGATGCAGTTCACAGTGATAGCAAAGAAGATTATCTAATGGATGCTTTTCTCATTTTTGATACTGACAAGAACGGACTGATCTCGGCGAGAGAGTTGCGAAGAGTTCTAAATAACCTTGGAAGTGATAATTGCAGCCTTCAAGATTGCCGGCGTATGATACAAGGAGTAGACAAGGACGGAGATGGCTTCGTCAATTTTGAAGAATTTCGTTCAATGATGTCTCATAATAACTAAACATATAATTAGCTAGTTCCTTTCTGGTACGCAAATTATCTTCTCAATTTCATGTAATTAATTATCGACTTATGAGTACTTGAAGAGTGGTGATTCTAGTCAGATATCCATCTGAAATTTCATTTGGTTAATTAATGGGGAAGAAAAAAATCTGCATATTTTCATCGTTTTCTCCCTCTTGTCCTCATGGGTCCTCCATCTTTTGTCCATTGCGATAGTGTCAATCCATTAAGGAAACTACAGTGTCACTAAAGTTGACTGCTTATCACATCTGACCATCTGAGATACAGCTTCTTCTAAATATATCCAACTAAACGAACTTGCAGTTTAACTTGTTTACGTTTCCTTCAATTCTATTTAAAATCATTATCCAAAAACTACTTTGACTTTATGCCAAGCATGCGTTATCTTATTCAGACTAACAAGTTGGCCAATTGCAGTTGCCATGCAGGAGATTACTTCCATGTCAAATCTTGGCTGAGATATAAATATAAAAATAAAATAAAAAATTTGGAGGTAACGTGATAACCGAAAAAACCACCGGTAAAAATAGTAAATGATGATTTATGTTTATATGGTCTCTTAAATTCGAGTCTCCATAACTCTTAATAAAGATAATCATTAGAGTTCGTATTCAATCGATAGTTGATTATGAGAGAATAATCGAGGTACGTATAAGCTGATCAACACCTTTGGTCATTAAAGAAAAAAATAAAATGTGGAAACTGAAATAGAAATGGTGTTTTCTACTTCAACCCTAATGTATGTTGAATTTGTTTAGGAAATATTAAATTATTGGGCTATTCTCGGCCCATGATAGAATGAGGCCTCTAAAGTCGTTTCACAAGACAGGATCAAATCTGCCAATTGAATTCGATGGGTTGGGATCCTTTTCACGGTGTTATTTGTCAATGGTCATATAAATATAATCAAAATTTGTCGTATGCTATAAAAATAAACGGGAAGGTGTGTTTTACATCTAATCTCAAGTTAAGAGAGAAATCTAGGTAAAGAATAACGGGATCAACGTGGTATACAACTCGGATTTTATTATATGATTTAGTCCGAGACAAACTTTTTTCCTGAGCTTAGATTTGCTGCCTTTCCGTACAGTAGCAAATAACATTCACAAAACGTATATATTATAAACCTTCAAGTTGCTTTACTTATAATCTAGAACAACAAGTTAAAATATACATTAATAATAATTGTCGCTATATATATAAAAAAAAAAAACCTCGATACATTCTTAATAATATGTATATGTACTAAGTACAATGCATTATCTTGGTTATATCCTAAGTTATATTTTAATGAATTATCTTAATAAGATAATTTAAGATATGTCACACTTTTTCCAATATTTAAGCAATGAGCATCCCAACTGGGTAATCATTTTGTTTTCCTTTGCTCCTGTTAAAATATTAGAATCAATCCATCATTTATCATGCTTTTCAAATTTCAATTTTCAAATTGAATCGATCATCTCTTATTGATAACTTTTATAATGTAAAGGAAACATAGATTAAGTGGGTGTTTTAAAGGGTTCATCATATCCAGGGCATTGTCTTCCAAGACATTTTCTAGCTACTTTTTTCTCAAGTCCCAATTAACTAATTATCTATTACTTCCACAACAATAAAATTTTCTTAGAAGATTCCGAACAATAATTAGCCCTCCCAAATATGCAGGAACTGAGCTCTATAATGCCCTCTTTATGTATAAATATTAACCACTGAGTTTGTACTTGGCTATTTATCATTAATATATAACAGTTCAACTCTAAAAGAATAATTAATTTTAATATTATCAAATCTAATCTCAATTAAAAGGAAAAGGTTCCAAAGAATTAGATGCCAATGCCAATACTAGCTAGCTATTCTCACCCTGATTAGAGTTTGCTTAGATGCTAAATACTGCTTTATCATCACTAATTCTTATCGAGAGACCATTTCAAAGTGGTTTTCAGTCGCCCATTGATAATATAATTACTTTACAACAAAATGCAACTTCAAAAAGTGAAAAGGATTCTATGGATAAAAGTGTTAAGTGGAAATTAACAACGTAAACTTTAGGGTTTATAGAAGAATCGTATTGCATTATATATATATTTATTAGTGATCAAAATCAAAAGAAAATGTTGACATTATGGATGCTGTCAATGAAATGCAATAGTGTTTGATTTGAAAGAGGTCATATAAGCAGGTGAAAGGATGACTAAATGATTCCAAACAAATCACTATCAATCACATGGCAACCTCAGTTTGGTCGGCTGTTTAGCTCTAAAATATTCCCAGTGCTCGATGTGTTTTGATTAATTAACTCATAAATGAAAGCTTTTAGATTGGCCTTCCATGGAGAGGAAGAAAAGGGTGCAACAATCTCGAGCCACTTTGAGTGAAAAGCGGCTACTAAGAGAGTGAGAACATGCGAAATTATGCTTGATTCGAAGCCATAGGTGCCCCTCACATGGAAGTGGGTTTATCTTTCTTCGTTCATGTGGTCCATACTCTTCTTGGATTAGCTTTAGACCCTTTGGTAAATTAATTGTTAATTTAATTTGAATAAGATATTGGGTTTGATTTCTTTAATAAGATAGTTGATTAGATAAGTATTACAATATTTTAATTGCATTAGATAGACCAAACGTGGCAACAGTTTTCCAAGCTTTAATTCATTTCTTCCACTCTCATGGGGAGAAGACTATGCCTTTAATTTCTTATAAAAAGAATCAATTTCTAATATTCACAAGATTCAACATCTTACTCATTTTTAAAAGAGCTAATTCATTTCGATGAACCCCGTGAACCTTACGCTGTTTGAACTCGGTTAGTTAGACTTGTGAACCTATAGAAACCAAGTCTTGGAACCAACTTTCAATAATGTCAATCCTTCAAAACTAAGTTGGGAATAATTAAAGACAAAAGCAATATATATATACTTCAAAGAGATGCTTCAACTTCAAACACCCACTTTTAGGTTTTACACCAAACAATAAAAATGCAAAGTAAGTAGTGTTTAAAATGAGTAATTCTTCTCGTTTAAAGCTTTGACCCACAATCATCATAAGAACAATGAAGCAGGGCAGTGTAAATTAATGCTGCAATTTCAGTGGATATATAGATTCTTATCCTTGTAGGTTGTGCATGTTCTAGACGAATGACACTATGGTCAAATTTATAGATTTGCCACCAAATTATTGCAAGAACTTGGGAATTGGGCTAAATTTTGTGCTATCATTGTGAAATCAAATTTGAAGAGACCTTTTTAGTTCTGAAAATTGGGCGGGTGGATTATGAAAAATCCCATCAAAGAGTGATGATTATGACAAATATAAATATAGTAGTGGGCAAGAAATGACTTAATTAAATAAATGATATATATATATATATATAGAGAGAGAGAGAGAGAGAGAGAGAGAGAGAGAGAGAGAGAGAGAGAGAGAGAGAGAGTTTTTCCTCTCATAACATAAGAGTTACTGGTGTTGAGGAGGACTTGGATTTCAGTACCTCGGAGGCCAAAGATGGTGTTGGGGACAGTTGACTATTTAAGAAAACGATTGTTTGTTGTATTACAGCCATGCATTAATTTCTAGTCTTATAAATTGATGTGTTTTGTTTGGTAGCTTCTTTTCATCAAAGAGAGATTGGTTTGTTGTATAATATTCAATTAATATATACATATACATTTTTTAAATATTAAGTTGGTTCAAATTTTCTTGTTCGCTTGCTTTTAGCAGAGGCAATGGTTGGCTTAATCGAATGAGAATGGACGAAAGTAACATGAAAACGAGGAGAAGCCGGACCGTTTGTCCCGGAGAAGACCCACCTATCTCATCCAATCACCAAATCTGTTCTATTTTTTATTCCATATATATTTCTTGATGAGCCGAAGAAAGAGGCTAAAGTGACAGCCAGCTACATGCATTAAGAGGTATTATTTTTTTTTTGGTCAGCTATCTTACTAGTGAGCTGAAACATAGAAAAGTTTAGTCATGATTTTTATGAATCAATTCAGAGTTAGAATGGCAAAGTTGGAAATAGTGAGAAACAGTGTGGGTAAAATTAAGGCAGAGAACACCGAAGGGATTCATAGAATTCAGGGCGTGGAGGTGATAGTGATGGCAGTAGTGAAAAGATATAATAAGTATTCTGTCCAGATTAGATAGTGGAGAAAGGAAAGACACCTCATTTATTCTCTTGCATAAACAGATAATGGGTAGTAGGATTGGTTGACTAAAATTTTGGCATTCATTCATTCATTCCATCTCTTGAATGGCCGCTCGTGCTCGTGCTATTTCACAAACACATGCACATCCAGTGTTAATGTTTGCGCCTCAGCCTCAGCCTCAGCCTCGGCCTCAATTGTGTGTCAGTCGACTGTCAGCGCCACCCACGCCTTTCTCTAACTCCACCCTATCACGCCCACACGCCCTGGTTTCTTATTCACCATACACCTCCATTTAACGATGCAGTCAAACCCCCCCCCTGTTCACTTTTTCACCTACATTTCCAAACTCATTTTTATTCACCTAACTCCTAAGCTAAGAGATCTGCGCGCTTTCATTTATTTTCAAATCTAACTCAATCCCTACAATTCTGTACTTCATTATTTATTATATAATTTCTACATATCCGTTACTCTAAACAATCAATAGAAAGTGTGTCAAATCGTGAATGGAAATTAAAGATCGGGATCTAGCAAGAAACATAGGTGAGGTAGCTTTGGTGAGTCATTTAAATATGACAGATTTTGCCAACAAGGTAAAGGATGGAGATAATAGCTACCTTACGCACAGCCTTCAATTAATTAATATAACTTATTTTTGAAAAGCATAAATCATGCATGCATATCTCCACAGGGTGGAGGATGGGACATCGTTGATCTCGCTTATGTTTGAAGGTACTTGGGTATACGGTAGAAAATAATTAAAACCGTACTTGACTCGAAAGCAATTGCATAAAACGACAAGAATACATATATCATCACCGGCAAGGGAATATTCCGTCCTGTAAGGTTCCCCGTGGGTGTGCGTGTTGCACATGCACGTGCACATGAGTTGGCAGCTAGTATTACCTTACGTGAATTCATCGCAACATATGCCCACACACTCAGACAAATTAAATCCAGCACGTCCTCTTATAATTTTGACCGCATCTCATTAAGAATCACTCCCAGTCACCACTACAACTCATTTGTTTAACTGCATAATGAAATTAAAATTTTCCTTTTAATATGTAAAGTGAATAAAAACGAATAAAAGACTTAATAAAACACAATATATATAGGTCACCTTCAATCCAGCCTTTTCCATACTAAAGGCTATAGCCTAATTTGATAATATTTTTTAAATGACAACATTATTCTTGTGTCACATAGAATAAAGTTTTGTCTAGCAGTTGAATGTTTCAAATCGAACTACAATAAAATTATAATTTTGAAACCAATGTGATATGCGATGAGCAGAGCATGACAAGGGTTGATGAATATGAAATTAAGGTAATGGAACTCGTGAAGTACAAAAGATTCTATATATTTAAGGAGTGCTGGAAAATGTGCTTTGTTTAATTATTTGGACTTCTCGTATACGGATCATGCGATGATTGCGGTTTCTTTACCAGTTACTGGTCGTCAGCTGTAGATCTAAATCAAAGATTGGCCGCACTTTGCATATAGAAATTGCGACTTCATTTTCAATGAATTTCATATAAAACTTGAAATCGAAGTACTTTAGTAGGTGGAAAGGGAATAATTGTGCATGTTAATAAGAAGTTATCGTTTATTTCGAGAATAATAATGAAATATAGCAAAATGTTAGACATAAGGATGAAACATATGGTCCTTGTTTAAATGGTTAAAAAGAAAGGAAAGAGGAAGTGGGGAGGAGACACGTCTCATGATGCACAATTACGTGGACCCCATAATATAAACATGAAAATCAACATCAATGTAATAGATAAAGACTTGAGAGAAAGGGTTTCATTTTTTTTTTCCTAGAATTGAGAATCGCCCTTAAGACACGCCCTGACTCTCCTGTCGTGACCTAATTTGTTTCCGACGGGTCCACTTCAATTTCCCATGACCCACCGCATGCATCTAACTAATCTGATCTTATCTTAGTCTAATCACTTGTTACCATTCCATTATTCAAATATTCAACACGTTTAAATTTTCTGTTACTGTAAATTTAATGCAACAGTAACTCTACAAGTATCCAACAACAACTCCTCCACTGTAATATTTGTAACGCTCTGGTCTTCAGACCAACTACCATCTTAAGCCTTCAGTTTTTTATTACATCTTTGTCATTTTATACAACCAAAATAACGTCTTTTCACATAATGATAAGTCTTTCATTCTGGCACTTCTGAGTAAAATCTGGAATCACAAACTTACTCTGTTGTAAAAACATAAATGTCAAGGGATCCAACAATCATACGAAACATGGAAAGATAGTGATAGATGAGTTTAGAGTTCAAACAGTTCTGATATATATATTCAAGTTTTAAAGCGCAGTAGTGCACTGTTTATACGTTTTATGCTTTATATACAACTCATATTCGATGATGAAGCATTGAAAATAAGAAACTTTCCCCCTCATGAACAAAACTGAGGTTTAAGAGGCTGAAGCCTGTTTCAAGCGCTTTCAGGAATAAGAAAGAGAGCGACAGAAAGAAGAAGAGAAAGAGAGAGGTATATAGGTAGATATGGAAATAAAATAGAGTAGTGAGTTTTGGGAAGAAGGTATGTAAGAAGAGAAGAGCATGATCTTATAGTGAGGGTTGAAATTGTAGTCCTATAGGGTATAGAGAGAGAGGCATTAATGTAAGAGAGAGAGAGAGAGAGACATTAATGTAAGAGAGAGAGAGAGACATTAATGTAAGAGAGAGAGAGAGAGTGAACATGGGGTGTTGGGACCCATGGGTTTTGAGAGACAAAAGAGAGAGAAAGTGAGGCCCACAGCACCGCCCATGCGCACGCTCTCTTACCAAAACTTACCATCATCGATCCGATACCTTGACCTAACCCTAACCCAACAACACTAACGCTAACACTAACTCTAACTCTATACCTAAAAAGTTAAAACAAAAATAACACCACCCAAACACCACCTCTCTCTATTCTTCACCCTTCTCTTTCTTCTTCTTCTTCTTCTTCTTCTTCATTTTCATTTTTCACCCAAGTACTTATCTTTCTTCTTAGGACACACAGAGACCTCACCTGATTCAACCTCAGCTAAGCGAAACCAACTCCTCTCTCACATGAGGAGTAGATATTAGAAAGATGGCTTGATTCAGCTATTTCAGCTGAAAATTTGGTAGCTGATGCTTAAAAGCCCTTTCTTTTTCCTTTTCTAGAGAAAGTTAGCATCATTTGATCCATCTAAGTTTCATAAAAAGTAAGATACAAAGCCACAAAGCAAGCAAGTTTCGACCGAGAAGTTCAACTCACTCAGTCTTCTTCTCAATTCAATTGGGTGTGTGAGTGAATTAGGGTTTGAGTTAACCAAATTTAGATATGAATCCAGTTACAGCTCATGGCCGCCCTCTTCCTCCTCCCTTTCACACAAGAGATATTCACCTACAGCCGCACCACCAGTTTCAACACTCTCACCAACAAAATTCTGATGAAGAACAAAACGGTAACGGAAGCTTAAACCGTGGCCAAAAACGAGATCGTGATGAAAACAACACCAACAACCACACAAACATAATTGAAGACAGGGATGAACTAGCCATGGTCTCTGGAGGAGAAGGAGAAATCACTAGAAGACCCCGAGGCAGACCGGCCGGCTCAAAAAACAAGCCTAAGCCACCCATCATCATAACCCGTGATAGCGCAAATGCCCTCCGATCTCATGTCATGGAAATCGCCAACGGCTGTGATATAATGGAAAGTGTATCAACATTTGCTAGGCGAAGACAAAGAGGGATTTGCATTCTGAGTGGTAGCGGTACTGTAACTAATGTAACTCTAAGACAACCGGCTGCACCCGGTGCAGTTGTGACCTTACATGGTAGATTCGAGATTTTATCACTTTCAGGATCCTTTTTACCGCCTCCTGCACCACCGGCTGCTTCAGGACTCACTATATATTTAGCCGGAGGTCAAGGCCAAGTGGTGGGGGGAAGCGTTGTCGGCCCACTTCTTGCATCAGGTCCAGTGGTGATTATGGCGGCTTCTTTTGGTAATGCGGCGTATGAGAGGCTTCCTTTGGAAGAGGAAGAGGCACCAGTGGGGTCCATACCGGGAAGTCAGCCCCTAGGGTCGCCGGAACTTGTACAAGAGCAGCAGCAGCAACAACCACAGCAATTAATGCAAGATCCTAATGCTTCTTTCATTCATGGCTTACCACCAAATCTTCTAAATTCTGTGCAATTACCAGCTGAGGCCTATTGGGGCACAGGTCGTCCTTCTTTTTAACGCAAAAACAAACTATGCTGCTGCTGCTTCTTCTTCTTCTTCTTCTTTTCTTTTCCTTTATCTTTGTTTGACGTCTTTAAACACCTTTCATTCTTCTTCTTCCATAAGTTAGTTTATGTTTAAGATGTTGATCTTGGAATTCATCTACCTTTTATTGAAGAAGGATGTACAAATTAATGAATTTTTTTTGTTTTTGCTTTTAATAGCGCGCTTTTCTTTTCATCCCAACTCGTGATATTTTTAGCAAAAGATGAAACACCATTAATATCTTCTTACCTTTAATTTGCTTTTAACAGCAGTTCTAGTAATTTGCTTGACAACGATCTTTCAGTCTTCTCTGAAAAAAGAGGAAAAGCAACCGCCTATAAGATTGTAGGTTTTAGATTTTCTTGCATGATCAAAAGTGCAAAGAGAGAAATAATAATGTTATGTTCTTCTCTTTAAAACAATGTTTTAGGTTCATTTATATTTTCTATATATGTATGCAAAAGCTGAAAGTGTCTTAGAAATTTAGGATCTTGTCAGTAAATCACCTGTGATTATGCCCAAAAATTTAGCATTTTTTTACTTTCCTGGATTGATATTTTTAATTATGCTTCATTATATATAGTTATGTTATTATTGACTGACACTGTGATTGTGAGGTTGGTGGGTGGGTGTATGGCAAATCATCACTTGAAGAAAGGAGAGTGATGATGAGAGGAATGGGCTTAGGGTTTTCTTGTCTGTTGGTTTATCATTGACTGGTTTAGGGTTTATTATAGTAGCTGAAATGAGCATTGAATACTGGGTTACACGTGCACTGCTCTGTAAAAGCTCTTTTCCGAGGCAGCTACACTTCCATATGAAGGCAACTGACAACCAAGGCAAACACACCTCAAGCGTTAAACTCTCTCCCTTTCTCTCTCTCTAAAACTGTCATTCATCTCTAGAGAAATAAAAGAGCTCCTGCCTGAGTGAATCAAGCAGTGAGGTAAGCCATGAAATAAACACTTTGTCTTCATTTCGAAACCCTATATAGATTTTCTGGTTTTCCATATTGATCATAGAACTCTACTACCAACATTTGCTTGCTGCTTTGAGCATTATTTCTTTGAATGTATGTGATGGCTTGAGCCATTATTACGTCTCTTGATTATAGAAACTATTTTCTTTCTTTTTACTTTTACAAGGTTTCAAACGACTTATAAATTTTGCTTTTCTTCTTGTTAGATCTTTTTAACTTTAAACAGTATTGTTGCGTGTTTGTACTATATTAATATTTTCTTCTGCTTTGCACTTTTCCTTTTCTTCTATTACTGTTGCTTATGTTTCCTTGAATATTTAGTAATTTCATTTTTCTCCAGCATTTATTGATTATTCAATATATATCCTAGCTCATTAATACTAATAAGGCTCATACTTACATTTTTCCATGCTAAACGAATTTCAATTTTTTGTCATTGTGTGAACTTGTGCCTTTCACTGCAAAGTTTTATGTATAATTCTTCTTTCACAAAAAGAAAAAAAAAAAATAGAAATGCTGTATCAAATTCTAGGCGAAATATATATGTTTTCTTTCATAATTAAGCTTCGTCTTGCTACATAGTGTTCTTAATTAACTAGTTTTTGTAGAGTTTGTTTATCTTTGCAGAATGCTTTATATAACTAAATTTATATTAGTAAACTTCGTGAATGTACAAGGTTTTAATCTAAAAAAATAAACATTAAATAGTGTGGTGTGGGGTCTGTTACAAGTTGGAAGTGATAATTGGGTGGACCATATGTCTAAGGTGGCTTTAAGAAGATGATATATATTGAACTGGTTCTTCATGATGAACATCTCTATCTAGCTAGGTTCTTTGAACTTCACTTCAATGATTACCAGTACATATGAAGCATTAAGATACTATTTGTACACTCATAATTTTTCCCTTTTTCGTTTTGCTTTATTCATATATATCAAAACCCACCACTTTATAGCTTACCACATTCCCCATCTCTGCAGTTACATAATTGAAGTTGAATGCTTAGAATCTGTCAATGCCCTGATTTAAATGTATCAATGATGTGGACCCTTTGTAGGCTTTCTGGCCTAAAGTTTACCTATATAATTGTCTAGCTTGTCATCTTTCTCCTCGTTCTCCCCGGAAAACAATTGCTGACCATTTGACCATAGGTTGCTGAATATATATACTACAGAGGCTCACGGCTTTAATCACACCAAAACTTGTTTTGTGGTTACGACCTTTATTGGGATAGTTCATGTATTGCGTAGTCATAATCTGTAAGGAAAATATGATACATGGAAACAATATGAAAATTAGTGTCCACGTTGGGGGGTTGAGGTCTTGCTCTTGCATGCAATACGATTGAAGAATCAGTGGAGGTGTATTCTTTTCCTAGGCAGCTGATAATGATTAATTTATGACTGTAATATTCTAGGAAACAGCACAGAAAAGTTATTTATATATGTCGGATGATCAGATAGTCTATATTCCTAGATCTAGTGTTGGTTATTAAAGCTGTATCATTGAAGAATTTGAGCGAGTAAATTGTCCATATTGTTAGTAAGTAATAGTATTCCCCCATCACAACGAGCATTTACAAATTACAATAATCTATTTTTCTCAAATTTTGGAAGCTAGTAACACAGCACTTTTTGCAGATTGCTGAAATATAAAGCTTTTCTTTTGACATGCTGGTTGAGGGTTGAGGGTTGAGTGATGAACGTTAAGCTAATTTTCGCTTCTCATGAGTTGGTTGTTTTGACGTTACAATTATTGCTATAATTGGCACTTAACTTTGGCTTGCAGTTGCACTGTAACTCCAAAACTTCTACTTCAAGATTTAACACGAAATTCACTGTCAATTACGTTTTAAAACCCAACCGGGGTGAAACCCGGTCCCGGGTTGACCGGTCAATTCAAATATTCAACAAATACATCCCTAAAAATTACGTAAGTCCTTATAGGTTTAAAATTTAGTAAACACACCCCAAATACAAATAGTTCGTTGACTGGTTGGCGGCGATGACACCCCAGATGCAATCTCAATCGTCCTTTGAGCCCACTCCCCTTAAAATATACCCAAGATCTGGCCGAAATATGTTCGATTTCGACCAGATCTCATTGACGCCGGCATCGGCATTCTAGGTCAGATTTCATTAACGTCGACAACCCTCCCCATCACCCAGAAATTACTCCCCTCTTCCTCCCGACCAAAACCCACCTCACCCCACCCTTGTTAGCCTTGCCAATCACCGACAAAAGCCGGTTGTTGTCGCTGCCAGTTTTGTTCGATTTTCGGTCAATTTACTCACCAGAAATCAACGTCGTCACCACCATTACATTCACCGACACTTTCTCTTCAAAAGCCCCAACATCCTAGCCGTCAATTGTTCGCTGATCATCCTCCCAAATCTTAGGGTTTTGGGTGAATAAGAAAAATATAAACCCAGCCCGTTGAAGCTTTCGGTCCCCCGTTGAACCGGTTAAATCGGCTGGGCTGAGCCTAGAGTTTTAAAACATATTTACAACTAAAATTATAACTAATTAGAGCCACACGAATTCAAAAGATTTCTGGATACGTACTTTACTATTTGACTTATTAAAATAAACATATTAGATTTAAATTTATATCTTTTTTTTTTTTAGGTGAAATCTTAAGATCAGATTAACTTTACCATAAACTTTACTGCATAGTAGAAGCTCGCTGAAACATATATTTACGAATTAATAATCTTGTAACAACAAAGCTACGGACACCGAAAAACTTGTACTGAAATTGTGTATCGGCTTACCTGTACCAGGTCTCTGATTTTTTTAACATTTTTTTTCTAGTGAAATTTGGACGGCCGTTCACTCCCATGGACTCTTGTCCATATTATATGGACAGGGGTCCATATACAAGGGACGGTCGTCCCTATTTAAAGGACGCCAATCCCTAAATAAAATACAATTAAACAAATTTGTTAAACATTAGGGACGACCGTCCATCCATTAGGGACGACCATCCATCCATTATGGACGATCGTCCATTACTTTTGGACGGGCGCCCACAAATAATGGATGCCCGTCCTTGACCCAAATATGGAAAAAAAAAAATATATATTCAACTCATGCAGTTCATTTTAAATAAAGCTCATGCAGTTAGTTTGAGTAAAACTCATGTAGTTCGTTTTAAGTAAAGCTCATGCAGCTTGTTTTAAGTAAAAACCATTGTGGACGGGCGTCCATAAGTAATAGACGCCCGTCCATTCTTTATGGATGGCCGTCCAACTTTTATGGACGCCAGTCCATAAATAATGGACGGGCATCCATTACTTAAGGACGCCCGTCCTTTCTTTTGCTTTAAAAAAAAAATAAAACAAAGGACGGCCGTCCATAAATGGTGGACGACCGTCCCTTTATTATGGACGGTCGTCCGTAAGGGTTGGACGGTCGTCCCTTATGTAAAGGACGGTCGTCCCACCCTTATGGACGCCCGTCCTTTACTGTAATCAAAATAAAATAAAATAAAATTGTGTTTTAGATTAAAAATTTTGGGGAAGTTTCAAAAATTAAAACACGCAACCACTCACATGGACTCCGGTCCATATTATATTATTAAAAAAATCAGAGGCCTGATATACGTAGGCCAGTACACATTTTCGGTGCAAGTTTTTCGGTGTCAGTAGCTTTGTTGATCTTGCAATAGCGTAAAATTACTTTTGTAATTACGGCCTGTACATAGTGCGAGATCAAAGGCCTAACACTAGCCCGTTATCTTTACAAAACCATGGGTTTAATAAAACGGACAATATTACACTTACAATTCAATCTCATAAACTTTCTTTCGTAATTTTAATGAAACAACTTACTCTATCCAATTACAAACTGACCAATTATAAGCTGTAAATTTGTAAGAATGGATTGTGACTTACGTGAGTCAATCTTTTATTGTAATACAGCCCAATTCGTTGTATCTTATAATGGTTAATATTATCTTATAAAGTAAGGGGAAAAAAAAAATTCATATGAAGCTTATAAAGAAAAAAATAGGACTAAACACTACCCCATCAACTGAGTATAATTTTAAAAATTATTATCAAATATTTAATTCATTTAACAAACCTAAAATCATAAACATATGAAGGCGACGAGGAAGACCTATCTTGGGTTACCAATAATAGGCTATTCAATTTTTTTTTTATGACCATAAATGTCCAGATCAGTTTACACATATCTTAACTAATCCCCAAAAAATCAAGAACTATCAATTAAATAAAAGTTTTAAATATCACCCTTATTAGTAGTTGTGAAAACTTAAACTCAAGAAACCATATTAGATCTTTATCTTGCTCCTTTATCGTGAATTTAAAAGAACATATTGAATCATTCTTTTCTCTTTTAACATCAACCACCCCAGTGGTGGTTATATTAAAAAAATTTCACTGGTCTGGTTGGAACTTGGAACTAAAACATAATTACTTGCACTCTACTGTTTTATATAAATCAATTTATACAACAAATAAATAAAAAAAAAAAAATGAAACTTGCATTCTAAGGTTTTATATAAATAAAATATACAAAAAAAAAAAAAAATACCGGAACACGAGGTGACATTATATGTGCAGAAAAATGGCGAGTTGGCAACTGGATTTGGTAACTTAGTGAAAATGCGATAAAATCCAGGCCTTCGCTTCCTTTAATGCCTGTACAGCGGTACACAGGAAGTTTCCGTTCATCACTCCGATCCTCAAAGTGTGGGCACCAGAGAAACAATCCAAAGAAGCCAATTACTCCAATAATAATCAAAAGTCTATCCGTAATCGCCGCATTTCGGCTTTGAAGATGGGACTGGAATTCAGAGTCCGATTAGCAAGACTTCTTATGTCATCTCGAGAACAATCCCGTGAGATACGTACTAACTCCCACAAGGCACCTCCACATATCATGTCCTTTGCATTTACTTCTGAAATTTTGGAAAGAAATTAAAGTACTTTTAAGGAACAGGTCTCCAAGAATTTGAATTTCTTCAAAGAAAAAGGCAAGTAAATTTACCATGCTGCGCTAAGTGACAGAGCGCAAGTTCAAGGTGTCGTCTGATTGCCGCGGCTTCATCGTTTGCATTTTGTACAATCCATGGAAGTGCGCCATCTTCTATCAGCAGAGATCTGCCACTTTTTATCCCTGTAGTGGTGCAGCATATAGATATATATCATTACCACAAAAAGACAATATTTTGGCATCAAAATTATATTTTCTGTGCAACTTCCGACCATTAAAATAGATTAATTCCAACAGTTAAAACCCAAAAAATGAAATGCGTTAGAAAAATGGTGAACCTTGAGTAGCGGATCGGGACTCGCATTTTGCAAAGTTAGCAATTCCTCGTGCAACTTGGGATAGAACATCCGGGTGCCCACATCTCACCATTCCCAGCAAGGCCCTAATTCCACCTTCCGATCTCAGCTTTGTTTGAAGCTTATCTATGAGACAACAAATAAATAAATAAAATTCCATGACATAATAATTGTTTGAAATCAAATCAGAATCAACGAGCAGGTTAAAGAATAAAAAGAACTAGAAATCTCTTCTTGAAGCTGAAACAATACATCCACAAAGAGGGTGACACATCTTTATAGGCCACATTTTCATGCCTTCCATATTCTAGCAAAAGAAAAATTATCAAAAAACTAAAATTTCATATTATGTGCAACCAATAGTTGATTATAAATTGTGTCAGAAGTATCTCTTCGACTACTGCAATCAATTCTAGAAGGGCTCATATGCATATCCCACCACAACGAATTACCAAAAGTTCTTCCCAGTTTACAACACCTAAGCAGTTCTATAACATGAATGACAGAAAAGATAAGAAAACAAAAGAGTTGACGAAAGAAGACCATATACCATTGCCGCATAAATTAGCAATAGCTCCAGCAACCATTCGTAGAGTTTGAGGATCCTCAGCATCAGCAGCGGTAATAGATAACAAACTGATTCCTCCTTGTAGCATTATAAGTTCTTGATTAAATTCTGCAAAGACAAAAAGAAGCAACAATAATAGAAAATTATATTGAAAGCCAGATGAGATATCAAGCCTGAAGTGATGATAAAATAAAGAAGAAAGCCCCCTTGTTCTTGAAGATAAGACAAGAATCAATTTGCTATTACCATTCATTGCAAGATTGGCAATTGCTCCTGCTGCTACTCTGCGAACAGTTTCATCCTCAAAACTTCTAAGAAGCATCAGCAAGGAAGAAAGACCACCAGCTTCAACAATTTTTTCCTGATTTGTTTCTGCTCAGTACATGGCAGCACACATCAATTCTTGCAAAATTGTAACAGAGTTTTAAGTGAACATAGCAACATACATTTCTGATAGTCATGTGCATAATTACATATACTCTCAAAACATTTTTGTCCTCTTTCAAGTAATAATGTTCTCCAAGAATGAATAGCACAATACAGTGGGATGGGTAGTTTGGCTGAGACACTAAAATCCCCAGCTAGCTGATAGGAGACATTGGCAATAATGATCATAGCAACAATGATGTCAAAACATATAGCTCTGAATAATAACCGTGCAAATATACAAATGATAGAAGAATTTCCATAACATATTATCCTTGTTGTTAAAGAAAGAAAAAGGGGTAGCATATTAGTTGTCCATTCACACAAATAGAATGATGCATTTGCTCAACAGTAAAACACCATAATACACCGTTACAAGCACTCCACAGATGTATCCTGAACTAATCTGCTAGAACTACTACCCCAAAGTTTCTTAAAAAAGTTTCAACAACAAGATTCAACTGCAGCAACCTAAATTCATAAAACTTGAGAAGCAAGCAAACATCTCAAATTCTACAAGGGACAGCACATCAGAGCAGATAATTAATAACAAGGTCCCAGGAAAAAGATTACCCACCTTCAGCTGCTAGGTTGGCCACCACTTTTACAGCATGAATTCGTACATTGGCATCTTCTGACTCAAGTAATGCCAAAATCTTTTGCAACCCCACTGTAAAATTCATTAATACAGAAACTATAAGAAACATGTGCACTTAACATGGTTGCACTAAACATGGCTTTAAGTGATACTTCAAAAAGTAACAGATTCACAACCTTGTTCAAAAAGGGTAGTAATTGGTGCCTTCTGTCCATTCCCAGTCTCATTGTATTGAGAATGTCTATCTGAACCCGTACAAGCATTTCCATTCTCACCAGGACATCTTCGCATCTGTAATTACAAATTGAGATAAAATTTTGCACACAATCCTGTGTTAAAACTTAAAAGGACTATGATGGACAGTGTACATATGCTTAAGATTAATATTCATGCATAATATGCAATTTCAGTTATCCTATGCAAAAAGGTATCTTACACAGAGTGGGACTTTAATGTTTTTTATTGGATTCCACAAGTAAGCCAACTATGGAAAAGCTTGAGTTCTTCTTTTATTTCCTCCCACTTTATGTTTGAGTTACAAGAACAATGAACTTTGCCCAGCCACCAAATCATAATATTACTAGATAATGTAATGGTTAAATGTTCAACTACTCTCAAATTAGATCAAAAGAAATAATATCATCATCATCAATTATATGAACAAAGAAAATCATGCAAGCATAAAAGGATCACAAAATCAAATACCTGCTCAGCTTCAAAAGTCAATTGCATTAATTGGCTTCGTAGTATCACTATTTCTTCTTCAAGTTTCTTTTTTTGATGTGTCTCATCCTGTAGCATTTTGTGAAGCCTTGAAGTTTCCGTATCTTCACATGACTTAAAAACAAAAATAATCCCTTCAATATGGTTCAGAAATCAAGAAAAGACAAAAACTTAATTTAAGAATTCTATACAGTTCAGAATAAGAAACAATACCCCCGATTGCATATATTTCCCGAACTGACTCTTGAGCTTGTTGAGCTCCTCTTCAGCTGCCTTTCTCATATACATTTCATTTTGAAGCAACTTTCTGACCTCCGCAACTTCCTCAGCAACAGAAACTCCAGGCACCTGTAGAATATCAAAATCGAAACATAACCAACCCATCCAAAAATGATGGCAAATTCATGTAAATAGTGAAAAAGTGGTATACATAACGCCAGCACATTCACAGCAATGCAAAAGCCAGTGAAATGCCATTGCAGTCCAAAGATCCTCACATTCACAGATTCATTTTAAAAGCAATGCAATATATGCACATTATTAAATATTTAGGTTGAGGGAGTTAATATTTAATCAGATCTATAAACAATTTACATAGAAAAGCATAAATTTTAACCTTTATTCATGGGAATTTGCTAAGCAAAATGATTAACAATGTAAAGGGCCTTGAACAAGCTAACAGATAGCACTTTAAAAATGTTGAAGAAATTTTAAAAAAAAAAAAAAAACAAAAATTATCAACTATCTACGGCTTTGGAAAATATTTCTCTACGAATAATAGGTTACAGCTTTAACCAATATTTCTCCTATATTTATGAAATACAGTGCCTATATTGAGCAATGTTAAGGCTTGCCTGGCTAAACATAATTTTGACAACTTTTTCAAACAACCAGAAGAAAGAGGAAGAAATGTCTCTAGAGGGAGCATACCTCTCTATTATATCTATCACTAATGAAGCCATTACTTTCTTGCTTCCGCTGATTTAAAACCATCTTTTCCTCCAGCTTCTTTACTGATTCCATATACTCCATCTGGCACTTCAGTTTTTCCTTCTACAAAAAATGATGTGGAAAAAAATTAAACTGTGTAGTATTATACGCGCATTCACCCGTATATAAGAACTGAAACTATTAAATAACGTCAAATGGATGTTATGTGAAATCATCAAAATGAACGCAAAGACAGTGCCAACTTTTATAAGAAAATAATATATAAAATAAATGAACAAACCTCCAAGGCATCAGCAAAATTTCTTTCAACCTCAGAAATACGACTCTGAGCTTCTAAATTTATTCTCTCAACTTCATTGTCAAATGCTTTCTGTTGCCTTTCATTTTCTGCTATGAGCTTGTCCAGTTGTATTTCAAGCTTTCTAGACAAACTTTTATAATCAAACTCTTCTTTTATTTTTAACATATTCTCCACCTTCATAGCCTATAGGAGATGAACAACACTACCATTCATCATTCACACTGTCTAAGAAATATTGCTTACAAACTTTAATTATCATAAACATATGGTAGCTTGACTGCAGACAATATGCAGCAAATACACTTAACNATATACTCCATCTGGCACTTCAGTTTTTCCTTCTACAAAAAATGATGTGGAAAAAAATTAAACTGTGTAGTATTATATGCGCATTCACCCGTATATAAGAACTGAAACTATTAAATAACGTCAAATGGATGTTATGTGAAATCATCAAAATGAACGCAAAGACAGTGACAACTTTTATAAGAAAATAATATATAAAATAAATGAACAAACCTCCAAGGCATCAGCAAAATTTCTTTCAACCTCAGAAATACGACTCTGAGCTTCTAAATTTATTCTCTCAACTTCATCGTCAAACGCTTTCTGTTGCCTTTCATTTTCTGCTATGAGCTTGTCCAGTTGTATTTCAAGCTTTCTAGACAAACTTTTATAATCAAACTCTTCTTTTATTTTTAACATATTCTCCACCTTCATAGCCTATAGGAGATGAACAACACTACCATTCATCATTCACACTGTCTAAGAAATATTGCTTACAAACTTTAATTATGGTAAACATATGGTAGCTTGACTGCAGACAATATGCAGCAAATACACTTAACAATTCTAAAAGAAAAACTAACCCTCTGCCCAAACAATATGGTAGTGGAAGTCTCTCCTCGATGACGTGGAGATGGTCCAATGGTCACAATTAATGAGGTTCTAGCTGTTCCTGAAACACAATGACAGATTTCAAGTGAGACATAGAAACAAAGGTAATCAACATGGAAAAAATTTGATGCCTCATAAAGGAAATGTTATGAGGACATGCATATAGAAAAAACTAAAAATTGGGATCCATGGTATAAAGGCCTGAAATAAAATTCGACTACAGAACCAAAATGTGCAATAGGCCAGACAATTATTAGATTAACGATTTAACACAAGCACATTTGTAACACAGAGCATCTCATGAACTGCTTGTTCTGGTCATGTTGAAACCTGAGTGACTTACACATACAAAAGGCTTCTCACCTCCGAATGAATCTTTAAGCAACCTTGTAAGTTTTGAATCACGCACTGGTACATGGGAACTATTCTCTGCGAGAGCATTTATGCACTTTCCTAATGCACTAAGTGAGAGATTAATAGACTTGGCTTCCTCCAACATATGCCCCTCACTTCCTGCCAGAAGAGGGAAGAGAGTCAAATTCACTGCAAATGTAGCTCTAACTCCTCAAGCACAATGACCAAAATCAAGATAAAGCATTTAAAAAGAAACATCATGCAATCATAGAAGTCCAAGTTCACAGGAGAATAAATGTCAACCAAGAGGCAACAATTAATAATCAGATTTACATTTCTGGAACTTTCTGATCACAGGTGTCTTCCGTTCCTATTTTGAATATTCTGTGGTCTTGCAGTGATCAAGACTGCAGTGTTCACACAAAACTTTCTTCTAAAACAATTACTTCTAGAATTTCAAATTATTAACTAAAGCAGCTGACTGGAAGCACTTCTAAATGTTTCTGAATGCCACAGAAGTTCATTAACTGTCACAGCGTTCTACAAGTATATAACAATAGTATAATTTGGTCCAGAAATATCTCTGAAAATAATAGAATTAAGACTGACTACTGAAATTTCTTAACAATCCATCTCATAATAGCACTACAAACATGAGGGTCTGAGTCACACAATTCAAACTCCAAAAATAGTTACAATCAAGAAAAGCATGTATAGGTTGGTCAGATGTCTAATTCCTCTCCCAATCTCTCTCAAGTGGAAGCACAAAAAGGAAAAAGATAGCTCTAAGGAAAATCTTGATATAAAAGAAAACTTTAATCTTAAAATAAAAAATAAAAAACAAAAAAATACCCGCTAGTTGTATTAAGCACCTGACTTGTGAACACGTTCTGAACCTGCCAGATCTACTATAACCAGTTTGCTTCTACGTACAAGTGGCTTCGAAGGTTTTACCAAGTGAGATCCATTGTTAGTTTCACTTGAAAGGGCTTCATCTCCTCCTATGACTGACCTCTTAACATGTATCTGAAAATAATTATAAGTCAATGTTTCCATAAATAACATAGATCTCATAGGAAACATATATGATCAAATACCAGAAACTAAAATTAATACAATGGCAATTAGAAATAACAACATAATGGTGCATAAGTATCACTCACCATCAGAATAGCATGACTGCGTGAAGATTCAGTGTTTAATTTTGTATTAGCAGCAATTCGGTGAGCTTCCCCCAGTCTCAGCAATTCCACAAAACTTTGTTGGTCCCTAATCTCAACAATAGTTGCCCCAGGAAGTGAAACATCGCCAGTTTTTGGATCTTCCACAATAGAGATATTATCATTCACTGGATTAAGGAGATCCTGGATGGTCTCCATATAAAGCTACAAAATTTATTAAGAACAAATTATTAGAAAACTACAAGCCCAGTGGGACATATACATAGAACTTTTGATGTTATCAAAACAAACTAAATAAAATAAAGGATCAAAATTGATAAACTAGTACTAAAAAATGGGTCAACAATGAAAGAGATTATAAAGTTAAAAGGTTCAAATTCAATAACAGGTAAAATTCAGTGTTACATGATAAGGGCCTAACAACCTGCAAATACGAGACACAAACAGAATCTGTCTCCAAAGAAATATCTGCTAAAATATCCTCCATTGACCGGACCATGATTCCACGACAAGAAGTGTCTTCCCCTACCAGTCGACCAAGTGTAAAAGTTTTCCCAGTGCCAGTCTGACCATAAGCCATGACAGTCCCATTGTAGCCATCCAGAACACTCTACAAAATTATAAGGCACAATTAGTTAAATGCTGCATAAGGCATGATGTATCTACCTAGAGACATGGCACAATTTTAAAGCTGAGAAAAAAAAAGTAAAAGACTCATTAGTTTCAGATGATAGAAGATAAGTGATAGAAATGGTCCAGGGCAAGCCAACTCATGCATTGTTGCATGATTTAGCCATGTACACTATTGATAAAGAATAACTAGCTTGATCAAGAAATATTTAAAAAAAAAATAAAAAAATAAAAAAAATTAAATACACCAAACATAACAGACCTCCACAACTGGCTTGGCAACAACTTCATAGACACGCTTCTGCGATGCAAATTCTGTAAGAACCTCATCGAATTCATACGTGTCAGAGTCCCAATTGTTCTTTCGAAGTTTCAACCTCTTAAGCTGAGGTAGAGCAAAAACCCAAAATGATTAATGGCACCACAACCAAGCTATAACCTAGCACAGAGCTCAAAAAACCATCTATAAGAAAAACAAGTGAAACTTTTAACTGCTACCCAAAGTTAAAAGTAACTAAAGTGAGAATAAAACCACCTCTGGCTGCAGTTCCACACAGTCGGCAAAATCTGCATCTGCTACCAACTCTTCCGCATTTCGAGGTCGCAATCTCACAGCCACCCGTACTCTTCCAGGTACTGCCCAGAATACAAAAGGAAAGCAGCAAGTTGAAGAGTTAAAAATCCCACAAATTCCATATCTCATATTCATTGCCTTCCTTGTATGTAACATAAACCCCTAAGTTCATCATTTTTTCCCTCTTTTTGGATCAGCAAAGAAGTGAATCTCAAAACCCTTAATCAACTTATACCTAATCAATCACCAAAATACAACAATCACACAACATATGAATTATAAACACGCCTTATAGCCAGTTTTATGGTTCTTTTACAGTCTTCCACAGTTGCATCTCCAATGAAATTAAATCATAAACAAAATTATAATGTAGCCATTAAACTTCATGGCATTTGCATCGAGTCTATTTACACGCTCATTAAATTGCATAAACGAATAGCGACTAGCAAATAAGCTTCAAAATCGCAATATAAACTCAAATTAAAAACAAACAATATGTATCAAGATTCTTGAACCCTTACAAATGTTAAATACAGAAGCAAGAACATATCAATTTATATATAATTGATTATCTGTAGTCAGAAAGTGCAATGTAACTGACCTCCGTCATTTCCGGCGGCGAAAGATGATGGACTGCTGCGGCGAAGAGCCGATCCCGGGGACTGAGATGGATTAAGCCTAGATTTGAAAGAAGATGATTTAAAATTTGAAGAAGTCGCAGTGATTGGCTTGACAGCTCCCTTCTGAGTCTGAAGAGTACCGTTTCTATAAGCAGTGGAAGCCATAGTCGGTTGCTAATTGTAGTTAAAATACCTTAGACATGGGAACATATACAGAAGCGAAGAGAAGAGAAGAGAGGAATGAGTGTTAGATTTGGGGGTTTTCGTTGGATTCAAACTTCAAAGTTTCAAACAAAGTAATTATGGAGGAAGGGACCCACAATGTTGGATGAGTGGGAAGAGACAGAGTCGGTCGCAGGATAGTGGGTCCTAAATCCTGATTGATGGAATATTTAAAATTACTAAAAAGTTGTATTCTTTGTCGTTATTCCTTATTCCCAGAACTTACTGTTACCATGCTGTGACTGTGTAAGGTAAGGGCCAGTCTCGTGGTCGTGTCATGAGTCATGACTCTCTTAAATAGCGCCGATATGTTCTGGTTGCAGTGACTAGTTCGGCGATTTTTACGTAATTACAAAATTATCCCTTCAAATACAGCCAAGTAATTCTGATCGTTATGTGAACACCGACTTTGTAGTGTCCACCCATCTCACACATGAACTCCACTCATAAAAGTGTACATATTTTTTAGGGCATGTCATGTTCGTGTTGAGAAAAATTAGGCATAATCACGATTAATTATTAAATTTATGTAAATATAACTTTAAATTATTTACTGATATGAATATAATTCATAATTGATTGTGTATTAATTCAATATAGTATATTAATTAAACAAATGTTGCTCCTGCTTGAAGAGTTCAACTCATAAATTTTGCTTTTACTCTTAGCTATCAATCAAAATCACAACAATATGACTTGACTAATTAACCTATGATAATCCCCCCGCATCAAATACGGGCTTGGTTTCCTTAAATGGCAATTAATTAATAATTAGAAGAGAAACTGTGACCCAATGGTTTCAACTTTCGATTTCAGTGTCGGAAAATGATGGAACCATAAATGGAATACTTTTTGACTTAGATTTGAATTAGATTTAATATTTAAGTTATAATTTTTTTTTTCTATTAGTAGGCCCATTAGGCCTAGAAAAAAATGAGCCTGTCACACAGGCTCTGGCGGGCTATTGCCAATTAGCGGCCTCTTTGGTTTACTGACTCATAGGCTTCATTCTTCTAATGTTGTATACTTGAGTTATTAATTAGGTTATTTTAAAGTGGAGTTAACGACATGTTATTACCCAAAAAGTGGTCCATTTACTTCCCACCCTCAAACTTTTAAATCAAACCCAAATATTAGGTTATCCTCTGATTTGGGTGGAAAACAAAGTGATTTACAAAAAAACCCTTCTCTTCTTTCTTCTCTTCTTTTCTCTTCTCAGCCTCTTCCATTGCCGGCAATTGCCACCGGTGTTGGAGAGTGTTTTTCAACCCAACAAACACAAAAATGATACGAATCAAACCCAATTAAAACTCAAAAAACCCTAAGGTGGGAACATATATCAAACTCCATCTAATTTGTTTGATTTATCTTGCACACTGATAATCCTTTAGCGCAACAATATCATTGCCATCATCCTTGTCCAAATATTTGAAAGCTCCCTCCAGGCGCGGGTTGAGCTCCCAATCGGGATTTATCTTGTTAACAATATCATTGCCCCCATCCTTCTTGCTTTGAGTTGATGCAATTTCAGTATCTTCCCATTTGAGCCTTAAAAGTTCTCTTCCAAAGAATCTTATTTCTGGGTACCGCGCTGCATCAGCTTCTTGAAAACTGAAAATAATTCCGCTACCATTTGATGAATTTGGAAAACCATTCTTGATAATCTCCCAAATATCAGGAGTCGGGACATCAAGCAACATTACCAAATACCTTTTCTCACGCAGCTCCTATTTCAGTGACGACTCAAGAGGGAATTTTTTCTCTCCTCTCTTCCCTGTAACCTGATTCAGTATATCAGTGAGAATTTTTTTCTTTTCCAAAATCACCAGATAAACGAACATAAGCACCACAAGCAAATTGCTTCTGGACATCCTCTCTGTTATAAATCTTGAAAAACATAGATTTTTTAGTAGAATCTTCAACCAAAAAATGTGAAAAGGCGAATGAGGATTGACGATAAATTCGACCAACTCCTTCGTTCTAACCTCCACGTCCAAACTATCGGATTTCTTATCAGGATTTTGAACATTGCTAGCGAACCTCTTCAATGATTTTTGAACATTTAAATTACCTGACTTTTCACTGAGACCATTCACTGCCTTTCCCATATTTGAGAATCCGGAAATCTGACTTGAAGAGTCGGCCATGCGAATGGAGGTGGTGGTGGGAAAAGGTGTGCGATTACGGCAAATGGAGGCTTGGGCTTCGTAGAGGAGGTGATGGGGATTCTCTGAATGGTGTCGGAAGTGATTTTGAATGCCGCGATCGGTCGGAAAATGGCAAAAAGGGGATCTGATGTTGCTAACGTGTTCTTCTTCTCCGGCAGCTACTGTTTGGTGACCACTCTGCCCTCATCAATTATGGACTTTTGACTATTTTGCCTTTCCTAACAGGAAAAATTACTAATAAAATTATGTTTTAGGTACTGAAATGGTATTTAAAATCTGGGTGGATACGAATTTGCCAATGAATTATTTTTTGGGTGGAAACATGTCGGTAACTCTTTTGAAGTGGCCTTCATTCGTGCTTTCAAGGACACATATAGAAACCCAAATTTTTGATAATATTAATATATATTTTTTTATTTTCATTTTGCAGTCTTTTACTAAAATATGGAAACATGTTTTCCATCTCCAAAACGTTTTAAATAACACTCGGTAGATTTAGTTATAGTAAAAGCACCATTTGAATCAGTAAAAAGTAAAAAAATAACACCCGTAAATATTTCTTGACAAAGCTGCTTTTCTAGAAGTCATTTTAAAAACACACTTCATACATATGTTTGGCAGCGCTAGTTTCCCTGTATACAACTGCTGCCAAACCTTCATGTGCTCACTGTTATTATTCCCAAAGAAGGGAACTTGAATTCACAAGCTCTGGGGACCTCAACTCAGCACATAGTATCATACTATAGCTAAGAATTAAAGATATAACTGAACTGATTGGAACTAGGATTAGCATTTCTCTGTAGAGAATATACGAAAAACTAGAAGATTGTATATCTACCTTCATTCATTCATTCGCTTGCAGTTTCTACATGCAAGATCGGGAGACCATGTTTGTTTACTGATAATTTAATAAGTTCTGCAATATTCTTTAATGAAAATACTCATGCACATGATGGTTACAGCATCAGTCGAGGCCAGATTCAATCATTAATCTCTGATCAGTTCGTGTTAAAGAACCAAAACAATTTAAAATGGGACAGCAATTCCATTCTTACATCCGTAATTTCCCATGTTATTCCTCTATATCTCAATTCTATGAATTCCGGCCCAAAATTTATTGAATATATAAGCCTGGCTAACAAAGCTAATTAACATGATAAAGATTAAGAGAGACTTAGATTAAAAAGGGAACGAAAGAAAGGAGATAATTAAGCTAAACGACAGTACTAGGTTATACAGAGCCCGTCATTAACAAGGATCAAACTTGGAAGAAAGCAGTGGCAGTGTGAAGCCCTTCGTTCTTATTGATCATTAAGCTTATGCTTAATTATATTAGTGATGATCGTGGCTATCAGGCAATTGGTTAGGTGAATAATGGGGGAACTTGGTTTGTAATTGAGATAATAAGGATTGGTTCTCTTGACGGAGGAGGAGTGCTTTTCTTCTCAGCTTCTCATTCTGTTCTATGATGCTCTGATTCTCCCTGTAAAGTTTCAGGTTCATTAATTCTATCTCTGCCTTGACACATATCTTCTCCTTTCTTTTTGCTTCTTTTGATGATCTTCTCCTCCTGTTACGTACGTTGCATAACATTCTTGTTAGACAGATAAACATCCAAAGAAATAATAGCTATCTAGAAAGGGTTATGAAGAAACTAAATCACCTGTTTAGGCGGCGAAGACGGAGGTTGCATCGCTTCGATGGCCGTCCATAGCGAGAAGCAAATAACGTTGAAGTAGTGATGTATGAACTCAAGTCTGCAGAGTTCATGCTCATTTTTGTTTCCTCTAAGACGAGCTTGCCAATTACGTAAGTGTCTTTTGCTCTAAGAAGGAAGAGGTAGAGATTAGAGAAGTTAAAAGAAAGAGATAGTTATAGAGGATGAATTTCTTGGGGGAGCATTTATAGATTATACGAGAGACAGATGAGATGTTGAGTTGATAATGTGAAAAGAAATGTTGGTAAGCTATATTATTATATAGAAATAGAAGGGAGATGTTGTTTCTATCTGAAATCTGATATAAGAGCGAGAGAGAAAGGCTTTTCATGGTAATGATGGCACGAGGACTCATTATTACCAAGGGCAGCTATAGACGAGAAATGCAGAAACAACAGTAGGTTGAAGGGAAATGGGTTTGTTCCTCTTGATAATTTCTTTGGTCTATTTGATTACTTTGCAGAACCCATAAGACTTTCGCTGCCTAAAACGGAAGGTGGGGCTGCCATATAGTCTCGGGCACACAGAAAACGATTATCATTATCAATAGAGTAAAAGACTTTTTCTTACCCTTAATGACACTTTTCCATCCAAAAAGTTTCAAAATATAACTTCTTCACCTAAGGTTTATATTATGTTAATATTCAAAATACTTTTTACTTTCTCAGTCTGCATTTGACAAGTTATGAGGACCTAATGTAAGAAGGTTTTTATAGAGTGAAGATTAGTGAATCGAATGATGGTGATCGATTGAATATTTGCCATCGAAATCAGCAAAAAATCAGCTAAGAACTGAAAAACTTAACTTTGTAGTGACTGGTAATCGACGAAAAATCGGGTGTTGGAGTGAGAGAGATTATGTAGATAGGAGAACGTAGTTTAAATGGTAGTGACGAAGAGAATTTTACCTCTAAAATCGGCTTTGAATAATATCAAAATATTAACTTTAGGTGGGAAAGTGTCATTAAGGCAAACCTTGGGTGGGAGAAAATCGTTTACTCTTATCAATCAACCCAACCAGACCGCAACTTCATACTTCATTACCGTGCACGAATTTCGCCCCCCTCATTCAAGAAAGATCTACCTAATTCTGTTACCTTGCAAATCCCAAAACGGAACGGAACGGAATGGAACATACATTTCCATGTGGTTTATCAAAACAATGATGCACAATCATTATGGTAAAGAGATTAGACTCATTCAAGAAAGATCTACCTAATTCTGTTACCTTGCAAATCCCAAAACGGAACGGAACGGAATGGAATGGAACATACATTTCCATGTGGTTTATCAAAACAATGATGCACAATCATTATGGTAAAAAGATTAGAATAAATGAATCTTCAAGATCAAGCAAAGCAAATTCCAAGCGTTCACACAGTAAAAATTGACGAGTAATAATATAAATGTAACTGGAGAACATTTATGTATAAACATATTAATTTGCTTTTGGAATTAGTATGGCAGATTTATTTGACAATAAAAGCAACCAAAAAGTCAAAGTTGAAGGTCTAACCCCCATAATTGTGGCCCAATTATGTCAAAGTTGAAGCTTATTGGTGTATCGACGTACGTGCAGCATAACAATTAGATCCATGATGCTAATTAGTAATTACAACAACATCGTAACTTTAACAACAAACCTTATCAAATCTTTTTCGTAAGTTGTTAGTGCAAAACATGTTTCAAACATTTAAAAAAGGAGGTTGGGTTGGGCAGTTAATTAATCCGAAAACATTTATAAAAATGGCATATGGTCAAAGACTCAAAAGGTTTATCTTTTGAAAAGCAGCCTCCTGTTGTGTGCCAAACTCAAACACAACCTTTTCTAATTGGCACAAATAAAAAAACCAAACATTGCTTACGTCTAAGGTTTCTCCAATTTCAAACAGTGTAAACCCAAAACTCTTCTACTTTCTTCCCCTCATTATGATTAATCATTTACATTTATATCAAAGCCTTAATATTCTAACCTTTTAATTGCTTACTAGATAGCACACTTTGGAATTAATGTAAATAGGGACGTTTGGGGTAAGAAAAAGGAAGGCACATGGAATTGGTAGAAGAAGCCAAGATGAAATGAGTGAGATTTATGGGAAAATGGAAGGGGATGAATTGAAGGAATGGGGGGCAGTGGGATATGAGGCACTAGTCAATGTAGTTAGGTTATTGTTTTGGCCCTTTTCTACATGTAATTGAGTACCAAAGCCATGCTCATTTATTTAGAAAATGAAGGCCAATTTGGCCTCTTCTTCTTCGTCTTCATCATCACATTCTCTCACCCATAAGATATTATCATGATGAATAATATAGTGGCTGTTTATTCGGTCCAATTCCATCCATCTCAGCCACTTCACATGGTCCCTTAATTGGCCAGTTGGACACTTGGCTTTCCAGCCCGAAGCGAAGTGGGGACTATTCTATTATATCCATTTCATTACAAGAATATATGGTCAAAATTCAATTGCATTACCATTTTTTTCTTTTTAAAAATCTCTATAGTACACTATTACATGCTTTTGTGATAAATATTATCGAACTAGTACTACCACAAAACATTAATTAAGAGGTTTTGGTTGAACAAGAATAAAAATAAAATAAAATCATTAGTTAAATGTAATAGTGTTTTAAAGATACATAGCATATAGGTTGAAAGTAGGGGAACTGCAACTCTCATTATGGCATTTTGGACAGAAATGGTGGAGGCATTTGATTAGAAGTAGGAATTGGGGTGAGTAGCCCTCACTCATTTCTTGTATTACTACCACCATTATACGCATCTACCTCATGCGATCAAGTGTTGGTAGTCAACAATGAAATCAAACTCTTTTTCTTTTCATTCAAAATTGTTCTAATTGCCCTATATTTGGATTCTTCAGCTAGGCATATCTGGATCTCCATCATTCAACTTGCGAAAATGCTTCGGATTTTAAATCTTTTTTTTTTCCTTCTCTTTTTAAGATTTGGAGTCGGAAAGAGCAAGACAGTTTCCTTATCCAAATGTTATGGTTTGCGTGTGTAAAAAAAAATAAAAAAAAATTATTTAAATCATAAACATAAAACACAGGTGATGAACGTTTTGAAGAATGTATTAAAATCAAAAGGAGCAAGAAAAGAGAGAGGCCATGCACCGTTGATGAAGGAAAAAGCACCATTGATGATGACGATGACGATGACTATTCTATCATCCCTGAGCATCAATGATGGGTCACGTCTAGTCCGGTCCGGATCTATCACCGCCCTACTATGATAATCTCTGACCTAAATTCACTGCAAATAACCACTCAGTTACGTACAAGCCTCCAATACCTCCCACTTCTTTTTAAAGACATCAATCATCACGCCAGCTTAAAGTAAGTTTAAGAGTGGGTTACATTATGCGTAGGTGCTGATATGTTTGACAATCAACAATTTATTTGGGTTTCTGCCACTGATTGTCCAAAGTATCCCTTTCAAGCTCAATCAGATTTACACTTCACCACCTTCATGAGTCTTGGTTTACTCCAGAATTTCTTTTTACCAAATACCAAGAGATAAAGAGAGAGAAGCACATGCCTACCGCATTGACTTTCTATTTCAGAGCTTTCACATTTCAAGAAGTAAACTCAACACCTCAATAATGTTTCTCTAGACCTGCAAGGTGCCCCCAGCATTCCAACAGGAATTGAAAAACTTTAACATAAAGTTATGTCCTTCAAGCGAACAAAAGAATATAGCAGTCAATGTTTAGCTCCCTCAAACCTATCTAGTGCATTCAAAAACATAAATAGAACAATGCTAATACAAATAGATGTGGAAAGACTTTGAACTCTCTGCAGCTGTCATAAGATTCAAACTCTCACATTATAATGGCAGAGCCCACTGTAATTCTGTGAATATCCCATGTGCTGTCTCTACAAAACAACTTTATGAGCTGAAAAAAATTATTATTATATGAAATGAGCGGCCAAAATAGCAAGTTAAAATGAATAACTCTTCGCAGAAAATCAGTCAGTATAAGATGATACTAACTTACAAGCCTACAGTAAACTAACAACTATTGTCAACAAATATCATATTTTATATTCATGGTGTTACTTTTTATGTTACAAGTATTCACTAATAGTAACAACTTCCGGAAAAATCTGGAGTTAAAAACCAATCACCAATTTAAGCACTACCTTGGGAGTCAGCATGCAGAAACTGTTATTGCTTAAGGCAAGCGCAGGCAAGAAATCCCACATGTACATTAATCCTAATAAGAGGATACAGAATAATAAACAAACAGATGAAGAAAATATACAACTGCAGTACCCTTTCTCTAAATCCATCCATGAAAATGATTAAATAAATAAATAAATAAAACAACATGCCTGCTATCCAAGAGAACCGTCCTGGGTAGCATCATCATCATTTTGACCCTCATTAGCTTGATCACTGCCTTCGGTTTCTGCACCCAAAGTGGATCCACCTTTACCATCCACTCTATCATTATTATCATCACTGTCAGCACAGCCTTCGGTATCTGAGCTGGAAGTGGAACCTTGTTTTCTTCTCCCTTGATCCAAATCATCATCCATAGCACCACTAAACTGCTCCTTCAATTGAGGAGCAACTATTCCAATCATCTCACTTAATTTTTGACATTCACGATTCAATCTGGTAGGAGCAGCCTTTGAAATTGGCACACATTGACTTTCTGCCACTGGAGCACTGGAATCATGTAGACCTAGGGCACCTTCCTCATCATTGTCTCTACTTCTAGGAGATTCATTATCACCACTTCTAGGAGATTCATTGTCACCAAGCACTGAAGGAGCAGTGCTGCAAAGCCAGCTCCCAGCTACTTCAGAAGTTAGAAGGTCTGCTGTTCTGATGGTTCCTCCAGGTTCTGTATCCTCGAGCGCTTTTTGATTCTCAGGAGGATTATTTTGGGAGTCTTGAAAAGTTTCCCGACAAATTTGGCGAATCCGCTCATCACTTTCATGCATATGGGCTTCATCATCAATCTGCATTGTATCCCCAGCTAAAGTTCCAGATTTGTCCAAATCAATGTTTCGTGCACCATCAATTCCAGGGCTTTCAGTTTCAAGAACTTGCTCAGTTCCAATGGTATCTCCCTCCAAAATAGGTGCTGTGCCAACACCATCAATATCAGAACCAAAGCCACCCTTACAAGTGCGGTTTGCACTTGTGAATTCTGCCTCTTGAGTATTTTGGCCTTCTTCCTGACTTCTGATGTCACAGTCGTGCTTCTCAGTAGCACTTGCTTCATCACTAGAAGTAACAATCTGAATTCTATCAAACCTCTGGGCTGAAGTAGCAGAACCAGCCTTCATAGTTGGTTCTTTTTCTCTGACTATAGCTCCATTAATGTTGACGTTAGTTCCATTGAGGTCAATATCAACTGAGGTATTCTCATAATTTTCCTCATCTTCCAGAGTCCTCTGCATAGCCTTTAGTTGTTCCTGCTGCTTGGCGAACAAAACTTGAATCTCTGCAGTTGTGGAATAAAATGCCCTTAACTGAGTTTCCCTGGATGGAAATTTCAGGCATATTAAAAAAATAGAAACCTGAAATCTCCCATAGATAATCAAATATGTAATAACCACCCAACGCACTTGTCTGCTATTGGGAGTGCAGAGGCATATTTTGATCAGCCAAACATTAATCACAGAGGGGAATGAAGAAACAACTCCAATTAACCGCTAAATTGGGAGCTAAATCATTCAAAAGCTTCCCAGAAAAGAGAGGGGAGGGGGAGAACCATTAAAGGCAAATATCAAACAACAGTGAGGCTTAAGTATACTTACCGAAGCATAATTCTTTCCCTTGCAGCTTTTAGTCTCCGTCTCTCAAAATCAAGATCACGCATTGCACCATTTATCTCAAGTTCAAGAGTAGAAACTTTAGCCCAAGCTTCTTCTCGTGCCGCCTGCTACCAACAGCANCTATTGGGAGTGCAGAGGCATATTTTGATCAGCCAAACATTAATCACAGAGGGGAATGAAGAAACAACTCCAATTAACCGCTAAATTGGGAGCTAAATCATTCAAAAGCTTCCCAGAAAAGAGAGGGGAGGGGGAGAACCATTAAAGGCAAATATCAAACAACAGTGAGGCTTAAGTATACTTACCGAAGCATAATTCTTTCCCTTGCAGCTTTTAGTCTCCGTCTCTCAAAATCAAGATCACGCATTGCACCATTTATCTCAAGTTCAAGAGTAGAAACTTTAGCCCAAGCTTCTTCTCGTGCCGCCTGCTACCAACAGCAAAAAAACCTCAGCGTAAAAATATAACTTGAATGAAGTTGCGACCATATAAAAGTACGTGACCAGATAAACTCAGTGATGTATTTTGAAAGCTCAGACATACTTCAACTTAAAGATTCAAGACTTAACAATATAAATGAAAAAATGATAAAACAAAAAAACTACGGCAATTCGCATTTTAGAATTGTTCAGTTATTACCTACATAATTTATACAAATAAAGTAAAATGCTTCGTCAATAATGACATATCTGCTCAAACATTATCCTTATAAGTTTTTATTATAGCAAAGAAACTGCCAACCATACCAAGAACACACACAAGTACTCTTTTCACTTTCACTGGAGGATAGGATCATGTTAAGGATATGAAAAATGAAACTCAAAGTGCAAAGACTTCACAGACAACAGCAACAATTTTAATGATACAATTTCTAGAGAGTGACAGCTGAGAGGGAGTCAAATAGGGGCAATTGGACCTTAATAATTAATATTGAACTATTTCTAAATACCTTTTCGCTCTCAAGCTCTTTGCTCAACCGTTTAATTTCATGCTCAAGTTCTTCCACTCTCTGCTCCAAAAAATATAATGCACAATAAATAACAGGTCTGTAATCTAATTACAGAAGGTTATAACCAAAATGAACATAGAAATATGTACTCAATTATATCAAGTTGGCACTAACTGCCATGATTACTTTTTTTCCACTTGCTGAGGCCAGTTGTTCTTCACAAACTTGAGTTTCCAGCTGGCGGATTTTATTATCAGAGATAACCAATTTTTCCCTAGTCTCATCCTGTGGCATAAAGAAATTTAGAAGTAGATCTTTAATTATGTGGGAAAGAACAGGGATAATTAATTTAAAATTTAAAAAATCGGCAGTCATGAGGATAGTACCAATTTGAGCTTCAAACTTTCAACTTGCGAAGAGCTTTGTTTCTCTACTATCTGATTGCATATGCAAAAGATTGCATACTCATGAGTCTTCTAAAATAAATCATCAACGAAGAAAATTGAACCTATGCTATAATTAAAATCCTCCTTACTTGAAGCTTGTTAATTACTTCTTGATGCTCTGTTTCTCGTCTTGAAGTGGCATCTTGGAGTCGTTTTAACTCTTCTTTAGCCTCTGACTGAACTTTCTGCACTGCTGCTTTTAAATCAGCTTCAGACTTCTCTCGTTCTACTCTTCTCTGATCTCGTTCTTGATCTAGTTGCTCCTTGAGTTCAGCTATAGATAACTTCTGACTAAAAGCAAGAAGTTTGACTATTACTGTATATTCTCAAATTTTCTCACATTTATGCTGCCACATTATAGCTTGTCTCTCAGAGTTTACATACGCTAGACGAAACTCCCAAACATAAAGAGACATCCACAACGAACAGACATAAAGGAAAGCTCAAGTAACAATTAGCTAATGCCATTAAGAATTGAAGCTATACTGGGCATAAACAACATTAATGACGCTACTACAAATCTGCTATAGCCCTCAGACAATAATATAGAGAAATGCTAAAGAAATCTCATGTAATCCAATTAGCTAATACCTTTGACAAGTTGTACTAAGCACAAAAAAACATTAACTATTCCACTGCAACTTCAGTGTAGCAAGCAGATAATAAACCAAAATGATATTAACAATTTCTGAGTAAGAAACATCTCCTCTCTTTTAATAAATCTCGCTAAGAGTTGCCTAGTTCTTCAATGAACTTCAAACAAACCAATGAACAATTAAAATAAGTAAAAAAGGACTCCGCATCATAATCTAGCGCTACTGAAAATGTTCATCTCTTTGCCCTTGGCACAGTATAAGAAAGCATATTTGAAACCCAATATTCATGCACAATATAGATATGAAATTTCCATTTCAATTCATAAAAATCATAAGCACATTAGTAGTAAACATAAAATGCTCTTCACCTCTTCATTATTTCATTTGCTTCAGCGCATGATTGCATGGAAGCACTAAGTCTTTCATTAAGGTCTTCTATAGCATGTTTCTGTTCAGCTGATATTCTACTGACATCCACCAGCTCTTTCTGCTTAATGTCTAACACATGTTGCAACTCTTTGAGTTGATCAAGGTATGATTTGGCAACCAAATCTTTCATTTCCTTCATTTCCTGCAAATTAATTAGTATCATACTTAAAACCCGACATTAAGTCACCAGAAAACAGAGGATTTGCAGATGTTACATTTGCAACACATATTGCCTCATTTTGAACAATATATACTCCAAAAAAATAAATAAAATCACGAACAAAAATTTAAAGGATGCAACTTTCCTTCATCATCCCTTTGTAATGAATGGTTACCCACAGTTAAAATAAATGAATCAGTTGTAACACGTAGTTAATTGTGGCATAGGTAAAAAACCATTTTGAGTAACAAAATAGAACAACTCAGCTCCAACAAAAGTCCTGGTCTCATTCAACCACACTTCTTCTCAACCCTTCAAACTGAAAAATTATACGACTAAATGATGTAATGAAGGAAATGTAACGTGCTTTGTTTCTTAATATATAAAAATCCTGATCCTGTCCATTCAATTAAAGCATTTTTTGAGACTCTCATATGCTAACAGAGTTACAAGATTGTACTAAAAGATACAGGTGCATTGTGGAAGAGAAGAAGTAGCAATTCATTAGAAAAGCATACATTTTCATGATGCTCACTAAGTGAGCGGTTCTCATTGCGCAATGTATCGATTTCAAGGACCTGACTTTCCAATTGCTTCCTTAACTCCTGCATGTAGCAGAGCAAGATCATAAGCACTTTAGTAGATATTCTAGGATTCAACGATCATTAGCCTCATGAATTCATAATAAAAATACCGTGTTTGATCGCTGAAGACTTCGAAAATCGTCAAGAGATAGAGGACCATCAGGAGAACCGATTCCGATACCTTTAAGTCTCTTATTTTCAGAAACATATTCCTCTGTCATCAGACCAATAAAAAGCAGTTCATAAAATTATCAATTTGTAAGGATGTGAATCCATAATGGGTGAAACGAGCAGTGTTTAATCCCAAAGGCAAAGCACTCTGTCTACTCTTTTTTTAACAAAATAAGGCCTTAGATACATGAAAATAATGTGTTCTTCCATATTTTGCCAAAAGATCAACATAACCATAAGAAATAGCAAAGTAAGAACCATTACTTTAAACAACATAATGAATTTCGCTACATGTTATTTGCTTCAGAATTCAATCTTCATTAATGGGTTTTCGATGCAAAAAGGCTGCCAATATCTATATGATCAAGAAACATTAATGCAATTGAACTTCTATGAAATTAACAATATGATACAAGAAAAATGTTTTACAAAACTTGCAACAGATAAACAGGTGAAAAAAATTGACCCCTTGATATCATCATGATTTTCACAACCATAAAATATAGCATTTTGTCACTTTATATTTTTAGAATTAAAAAATATCACCAAATGTACCAAGAATCCAAGTGCATATGTAACTGGCTGTCCACTGAAGCAAAATTAAAAGGAAGAAGTACATAATTACAAGATGACTGATGCCTCTAATGAATATACCTGCTTTTCTTTTTGGAATGGCACCAACCATCAAGGCAGAGGACCTAATGACTTCTCGATATACAAATGCAAATGCAAGTTCTGTTATAAGTTGTAGACAAAAAAAAAATTAGTTCTAATTTGTCCGACCGCAAACAGCCCATAGATTAAAAGCAAAAACCGTCATTGGATAAAATATTTTTTGCAATAATAGAAAGGCCAGCAATTTTATTTTTCTTCTAATGAACACCCCACCAGTTAACTCAACATGACCATAGTACTCAACCATAAGGAAGTATCCCGGGTAACTTAGTAATAAAAATTACCATGATGTGGAGGGGCAGCAAATGATATAATATCTCCATGATGGACCTTGACTTCGGAGATATTTTTCTTCAACCGGTTCCAGTTGAGATAAGTTCCATTTGTGCTGTGACAGGCAAGAGCAGTCAATTTTTTTTTTCTTTGTTCTCAAAATTTTCTTTTAGATAAAATAATGATTAGAATTTCTGAGCAAAACACAACCTAGTATCTTTCAAGAAGACAGTTACGTAACCATTACATAAATGTTCTACATCTTCAGTAGCAACCCTCTTCCTATAAATCTTACAGTGGTTTGCACTAACTGCATTTGATTCAATCTGGAAACGCGTATCTTCTACTAGACGGCCAATGCAATGTTCATCCACAGTCAAAAGCATATTCATACCCTGGCTTACAAGAACATCATCAGTTTAACCCATATCATACAAATATGTCGTATCCTCGTAAAATTAACGAATTTCAGGGGGAAAAAAAGTGGGGTTCGTAAAAGCTGGATCAAATTATAATAACTCAAATTCTTAGAATTAAAGGCTAAGTATTTATAATTTTATGCTAAAAATTTAAATTCAAATTTTGTGCTCAAATAGCCAAAAGAGAAAAGTTATTACTTTAAAATAAGTTAGGGTTTATGTAGCGCTACGTACTTGGTGGCGTTTACGGGCATTGTTAGAAATTGCAGTGAGTACGGCCCAGACATTTGGGTCGTAATTTTGGAGAGGCTGGGAGGCGTAATTGGCGGCAACTGAGATGATGAAATCTTTAGGGCTGAGCGGCTTCTTTGGCGAAGTGTCGTTAGGGTTTTGATGAGGGTGGGAGGAACTGGTTTGTGAGACATTATCTATGGGACTGGGAGTAGGACTGGGTTTTGGAACTGTTAGGGTTTCCTGGTTATGGTTGTCTTCTTTGATGCCCATTGAAGAGTGAGGGGAAAAAAGGCGGGGAATTTGTAACCCTAACTACAACTACTCCACTCACTCTAAGCTAGTGTTGAAAACTAATAATTGTTAGTCGTAGCTAGTACGCTTCTTATGAAATAAAGTACTTCAGGAATCAAGAGGACCGGTTAGAATAAATGCAGTTGAGCCGATCATTTCTCACATTGCCACGTCAAAATGTCTAACGTCCGCTGAAACGGCACTCATTTAAAAATAAAAAATAAAATGAAATGAAACCCACTCTTTTTTTTTTTTGTTTTTTTACAGAAGCTACTATTTTGAAATAAGAATTCTCAAACACTCTCAATTGTGGAGGCTGATGACAAACCAATTTATTGGAGAGTTTTCAAAAACCACCCAAAGATTTAGTTAAAATATTAGTTTCAAAATAATTTTTTTCTCGTAGACCACCCAGTGTTCTGTTGAGAAGTAATGAGAACTATAGTTAAAATGGAACTTCCAAGAAAATAAGAGAAGAAAGGCAAACCGTTACCTGTACTAATAGCTGACCACCATGACCAAAAACATAGATTTTCCAAATAAGATTCACAAAACCCAAACTCAGGCTAAATTTCTCACCATATAGGCACAAAAGAGGAAAATCCTGCAAAAGTTACATTTCCGAACCTTAGAAGTTAGTTCAAAGTAATTAATCTAAGAGGATAGTGATAAAATATTGGTTATTGACAAACTAAGACCTCACCAGAGATGTTCTAAATTCTAATAAAGTTGTCCAGCAAGGGGCGTAGGTTGTATTGTTGTGACACAATTGAGTGTTCCTGATCCTGTTTGCATTTGCAAAAGCCCAAAAGTCAATCAGTAACGTTAGATTTTAATTGAGGAGGAAAAGAAAATACCATAACATGCATTAACATTTAACTTTCTTCAGGCAGAAGTGTTGACATTGAGTGGACAAGTTGCACAGCAACTAAAAATCAAAATGCAGCCAGCTAGTACTCAAAATTCAGCGATGCCTAAGAAAATATGTTTGGTTTATTGAATTAGACAATATTTACATGCTATTGCAAGATATCTAGTACATTTTCAATAAGATCCCTTTCTAACTGCTGGACAAACAGGAAAAACAAATAAATTATTAGTAATATGATCAAAACCTAATACAATACCAAAACCATTTGCAGATTATCAGCAATGATGAAATAGTGTAAATATCACGAATGCTGTAAACCTCTGTATCTGAGTCAAAAGTGAACCCCTGTTTTCATCTCCCTTGATAAAAATCATCCATAGCACCAAAAAACTGATTCCCTATTAGAGGAACCACAATTCCAATCATCTCAATTAATGCTTGATGTTCATGAATCATCTGGTGGGAGCAAACCTTGAAGATGCCAAATTTGATGACTCTTTGGTGCCTAAGCATCAACATCATGTAGACTTAGCAAGGAGCAATGCTGCAAGCCCAGCTCCAAAACTCCCAAAGCTAAGAGGTCTACTACATGTCTCCAGCTCCGTATCTCCCCTTCCAAGGCTTTTTGACTCTCAAGAAGACTATTCAATTTGAAGTGTTGCGGTGTTTCCAGACAAATGGGTGGATTTGACTATCCCTTTCATGCCCACAAATGATGCACATATATATAGCCTACAAATCGTTTGAAACTTGAAGTGCAAATACTATTGCAGGCAACTGCATCAATATTAGCTCTCGAAGATGATGGTTGAGAGGGTGTCATATGAAGGCAGCATGACCTAACATATTAACACTGAACTACTTGTAATTTTGTAATAAACCAGAAATATTGAAGTACAACACTCCTAGAAAAGCATAAATCTATCTAGTTTTACGTTTCACTCTCAGGCTCATTGTTCAACATTTTAATCTAATCTTCAAAGTTCTTTTTTTCCCTCTCAGCTCCAAACATATTTTCGTCTTAGAGCAGAACTGAAGAGTTTTCTTTATTTTAATTTCTCTTTAGCCTCAAACTTACATTCTGTATTGCTACTTATGTCCTACTTTCTCTGATCTTTGCTCTTAAACAGATTGTGCCTCAAGTTCAGCTGAAGATTCCTTCAAACCAAAAGCAAGAAATGTGAGGCCACTATATCCTCTTCTCCAAGTTAAAATATACTTAACAATATTGGCAAAAATGAAGGAAAAGTAAATGACATACATCACAGCAAGAAATGTTATAATGTTGAACTGAAAAGTATGAAAAACTAACAATAATGCACAACAAGGAAGAGGACACTTTTAACAAACTAAAACAAACAACATTTTAAGGGTCCTAGCCAATGCCATTGATAAATAAAGCTCTCGTAGGCATCAGAAACATCAATCATTTGTTGTAACTTGCTATAGCCAGTTAGAAATATACAGAACCGCTCAAGAAAATCACAAGTAATCCAATTAGTCAATCCCCTTGACAAGCAAGACCACAACACAAATTATTCCGGAACAACTTTTCTGTGGAAAGGGATAGAAAAAATTAATTCGAGATCCTATCATTTCCTCTGTCCTGATGTATCTCAACAAGAGTGTTTGCTGCTTCAGTGAAGAGTATTTGAAAACAATCAAAGTCATGAATTTGAAAAGAACTAATGAAGAAATCAAATAAAAAATACTCAGACATTCAACATCTCCTATCACTAGTACGAAAAGTTGCTGATAAAATGTTGTCCACATTGTTTCTCTACCCTTAGCAGTACATAAGAAAGTAAGTTTAAAACAAAAGATTAACAGAATATAGAGTTTAATGAGAAAGGTACTGCTTGATTATCATCGAGATTACAGGAAAAAATCATTAACAAAAAGACCAAGTTTTTTTACCTCTTCAGCATTTCATTCCCTTTATTACATTAATGCCTTGCCTGGAACCTTATCTCATCCATTGAGCATGCCATTTAACTGAGCTCACCTTTGCCCGTGCGAATTGGGACTCTGTCTTGGATCACGAAAACTTTTTATATTCCATTGAAATAAAGACCCATCGTAGCAAACCACTTATAATGCCAAAAATTCTGTAATTACACAAAGTGAGAAGAAGAAGAAAACATATAATTTGGTAAAAGAAGGGTTGGCGACTCAGCACTGCCATACTAGTGTAGCACATGAAACGAAAGAATTTCTATGGTACTAAACCCTAATTTATAGTTACATAATCTGGAAAAGAAAAATCACAATAAAATCAAACCAAAAATATTTATTAACTACTAAATTCTGCACCAAGTTATAGGCATTGCATTAACAGTTTTCGACACTTTTTGGCCATGAACCAGCATGTATATTTTCTTTACTTTGGACAAGACCAAAATGGGTTAGTTGAAAAGACACGGGAACACAAATCTATATCATACTACCAAGAATGGATACGAAAACTTGCTATTATGGTCTAACAAAAAGAGATAAGAGACACTCACTTGGCCGATTTGCAAGATCAAAGAAAACTCGCCCAAATTTTGAAAAAGAAAATTAGCGGGAGCTACCGGACCTGTGCTCTGTTTAAATGGAGGAGAAGCCGCGTTTTTACTATTTTCAGGTCTGTTAGTAAGGAAAGACTCATGTAACGTGGTACCTAACAATTGGTTAGTTTGAAATTAATTAGTGGGACTCATGTAAGAGCTAGTTAGTAAATTCACGTTTTATACGTGAATTATATACCCAATCGTATAATTCGTGTATAAAATACGAATTCCCGTATTCTATAAGCACAGCCGAATTATATGCCTTAGCCATATAATTCCCGTATAATTCGACTGTATTTTTAAAAATAAAATTTTGTTATTTACTGAACCAAAACGATATCGTTTTAGGTGAAATTTGATCAAAACGACGTCATTTTATGCTCAGTCTCTTTTTACCAAGCGCGACGTCAATCTCTTTTTGGCGCCTTTTCTTCTCTTTTCTGCGTCCTCTTCCTTTCTCTTTCTTTCTTTTGGCGCCCTCTTCTTTCTTTTTCTCTTTTTTTGTGCCCTCTTCCACTCTTCTTCTCTTTTTTGGCGTCTCTTCCTCTTCAACTATTCTTCAACAAACACCACTCTTCGTCTTATCTTCTTCTTCTTCAACTTAAAAGACAAATAAAATTATTTGTTTTATTTAATAATTAGTCACTTCTATAATATTTGTAATAATAAACTAAAATATTATAATTAAAAAAGATATAAATCATACACCTATAAGGAAAAATAGAGAATAATTAATTCAATGATCATAAAAAGTACTAAAATCAGGATTAATATTACCGTATTTTTTAAAACGTATTATTGATAATATACCGTATTAAACCTGTATATACCCGTACAGTATTTTTCCTGTATCCGAATTTTAAGGCCGAATTTTTATAAATGTATTTTTCACCGTTTGCCGTATCATTCCCGTACCCTTTTTTTACTGTACCTGTATTTACTAACTATGTGTAAGACTCGTTATGAACTGACCAATTGCGAGCTGTCACGTCAAGATTGTAAGAAAAAATTTGTGAAAGAAGGTTATTGGTGTAATATTATTCATTACAAAATAATGGACTGCACAATTTTCAAAAATACGTAATTACCTCTCCTTTTGTTACTTTGGCTGTTAAAACTAACGGTTGACTGGTTTGACTTCTATATGACCAATTTGCCCTTCAAAAGTACAACCATAAATGCTTGAAAAAATACACCGCAATCCCATGCATCCAACATTAGACTTCATGTGGATGCTCTGATAAGCATACTGAACGCAATAAAGGGAAAAGTAAAAGACATATTGAACGTTGGTACACAACAAGAAGCACTATACATTTAAGGGGGCGTTTGGGGGTTATGTGGGAGTGGGATTATTGGGATTAAGTCATCTTATATTACTTGACAATCAAACTAGTAATCTTCAAATATCAATAGTGGTTACTATTGGTAATATTAGAGGTAATTTGATTACCTTCATTTTCTTAGGTATTCTAAGATTACCAGACTTATCTTTTTTTGTTACAATTTTATCCCTTATTAATAAAATTTTAGGACAATAATACCCTTATTTTTAAATTTATTTATATGAATATAACTTTTACTATTTCACCCCAATTAATTAACTTTTTTGACAAAATTACCCTTAAATTCAAAACAAATTGTAGTTCACCCAAG